GTAAAGCCTTATTAAAAACATTTGACAAACCATTGCGGTAGGTGAGCGTTAACACCTATCGTATAAAAGAAATGCTCACCATAAAACTTTGGTTGCGCAACTTTTATTACCGCAGCAACAATCAAGAATAGCTTTTACGATTTACGATTTCATTTAATGAACAATTTTCATATACGGCCAACAAAAAAAACCGAATAAGGTATAAAAAATCGCTTACGACTTTTACCATACCTACTCGTAGATAAATTAAGTGAAATAAAATTAAATCAATACCTTAATATGGTATTTTCAACCCCTCACAGGGAACAGGCGACTAAGCTTCAACATATTTCATTTATTAAGCCATATGTACACACCGGCACCCCATAATAATTTACCGAAGTGGAAACAGCGGGTACCCCATTTAAGACACGGGTTAATGGTAAAACATGCGATGGGTTTTTTATTACCGATACAAATGATTGAATTACTAACAGTATATATACTACGCTTAGTTTTTACATGAAGACCACGGCTTAAAAGAAACAATTATAGTGGAATGCATGATCAATTAGCAGCATACGTAATTGTGGTTAATTGTATAATTGGAATTACGTTCGAGTAACATAAGATAGATGATTATAGAGAAATTTATATAAACGATGTCAAAAGAATAAAAAGTAAAAAAGGCCGTACAAAAGGGCGATGAAATCTTTAAAAAGTGAAACGTCATTCTAATGGAACGAGTGACGGTGCGTGTATAAAGATATGTAATAAGGGCATTGTGTTTGAACATGTTTAAAATAGGTCCAGAATAAGTACTGTGATTTATCATTTAGTCTTAACAAAATGAAAAGGAATATGTTAAATTGTACAATACTTCGTTTAAGAAGCGAAAGTTTTTGTAGTGCCATTTTATAAAGTAAAAAAGTCGTATATAATTTTGTTGTCCAATTTTTGAATTTGGAACCATTGATAAACTTGAAAATAATATGCCAGTTGATTTGTTTTATTATTGCACCAGGTTTACTTATCATTATAATTTTAAATAGTACTTTACCTAAACATATGTATCGTGAACCCTAAAGACAATTATTTTCAAGGTTTTTTATTTAAAATGTTAATATTACTGAATACTATTTCCTACTAAAGAACACGTTCTGTTTTTAAGACGACGTTGCAAATTCATACTGGAGGTACAAAACGTGGTTAAGATTTATTTCCAAGACAAAACATTAGGTAAAACTGATCTCCAAAAATGTAATAACATTTTCTCATACATTACTTTATGTTCATTCGTTTTTTGTGTACTCAAGAATGCGCCTCTCATTGGATTTGAGGAGCTGACAGAAATTTGAACGTGTTTTTTAACCAAACAACCCAGTTAACTTCGTTTCAACGTAAAAAAAACTAATCTCATTCTTTAAAAAAAATATAACTCGTTAAAAAATCGTTCCTTAATAAAATATACAGAAAGAGTTAGGTACTTAGTTTAAACGCACACGTTATAAAATAATTTTATTCCAAACTATTGTTTATTTTAATTGTAAAACAATTTACGTAAGCACGTTCCTGAACGTGACGTAGCCTCACAACTTGTATAAATATATTGACATAAGCATAGCGTTCGTAAAATCATATTATGTATCTACAATAAAACATTGTGTCACTGGTGAGTCACTGTTCTTGACCTATGCTTTATATCACGATAATAGGATGAGTCTGTAGATAATATACTATTTGAAACATTGTAGCATTATCTCTTATCACAATTTTAAAAGAATTTACAAAGCATTTTAATGAGAAGTTTTTTCAATACAACCGTACAAAGGCAGGTGATATACGGTTAGTTAAAAAACAGGTATTATTCACATTTAAAATGTGCTACCGTCCTACCGGTGGGTGGTTTCAGTAGTAATAATCGCTGTTGGCACAGCTGCAATAGTAATTTACTTCAAGATGTTCATCTAGATAAGAGTAATTCGAGACTTTCGATTCCACAAGCGTGATCAAACAGTGTCGATAGCTCCCCAGAGGAACGTACCCCTAACCAAATATTGGCGACAGAGCTCTATGCAATCAAAAGATCTCATATTTACATAGCACTCGCCTCCCCCGCTTTCATGTGTAAACACAATACCACACAATTCGTAATTGCTTGGGAGTCCAAAATTCAAATATGCTATCTCCGTGTGAATTGTTTTGTGTACAATTGCATTTTTTAATATCTTAACAAACATTAGCATTCAAACGTACGACTTTAGTACGGATTATTTAATTTTATGTATTGTAAGAAAACATAATAAAATTGATAACACACGATTAATTTTTATAAAAAAAATATATTCAAAGCAATATTAAGAATTAATTCAAAAATAGCTGTCTATAACGATTTACAGCTTAAAGACTTTAGTAAAATTGACAATACATTGAAGAAGAATATAGAACAAAGCCACGGTAGAAAACTTGTTAAAATTTTAATCATCCCGAAATCGAATTTTAGATTACTATGCGGCTACCCGTCCACGGTAACGACTATTCCAACAACCCATGAAATTATATGACTGACCTAATTTTATTTTATTCAAGTGGCCATAATATAACATTCTATTGACATTCATAACATATCCAAGCGGTTTATGGAATATAAAAACCAATTTCCATAAGAATCCTTACAGTTACGTAAGTAATATACTAAAGTATTAAAGCAACAAAATTCATGGCGCGTCACGCAATCATCTACAATTAAATACCGTCTACGTATTTAAAGGATCATTGTATTCAATGAAAGCGGGAACCCACGCACGTGATACTACACCAAAGATTACTTCCCAGGATACGTGACATCGACCCGCCATGGGTGTTCGGCGGTAACTAATAGATTCAGAAAAAAAAACTTCCAAACTAGTTGCGCATAGATAATAAATATATAACACCGATTTAACTCATATTTCCGAACGTAAAATTACTGAACTGGAACTAATTTTGTATAGAAATTTATATATAATAAGTAATTCACTTAGAAACTGGTTCATAAATTACAGTATGACTCATCAAAGTGTATTAAAGTCGACATTTTACTACTATATTATGTAAGCGTTTCGAAACTCGTAATACATCATAGCCTCCTAAGATAAAATGATAATGTACATACTGCTTAATCCTGGCTATTAAAGGATTATATAATATGGAAAGGAATGACAGGGGATTTAACACGTAAAAAATGGTAAACATTCCAGAGTGATTTCCAAAGAGGTTTAATAAAATATGAACCAAAAAAAAAGTTTGAGAGCTCTAAAAATATTCGATTTTTAAATCCAAATTATAACGTCTTTTACTGGCTTATAATAAATATGTATTTGATGAAACATTATTGTTAAATCAGTATAAAAAACAGCAAATTCTAATTCTATCTAGCCACATTTGGTAATGACCTACAAAGTAAATAGCATCTCATATATTCTAAACTGCAGCTATGTCATTGCATTTAATTGTATTGCTATAATTAATTAATTAGTGATAATTTATTAGCAGTGGAAAATTAATAATTGCATAACGAACAAAATATATTGACATTGTAACCTAAAAATATGAATAATACATTAGCAAAAAATAAGTTTTAAACTTTTACTTAATAAAATTAATTTATGTTTGTAATGACCACATATAATTTGTCTTTACTTTTTTTTTGCTTCAAAACATTGAGAATTACTTTTGCCTTAGAAATGTATTAGATAACATCACATAATTCTATTAAGTATTCTTTTTGTATCCTTGGTTTTTAAGTATGGCCTTCATAAATGCAAAGACATGTCTTTCTTGTGCATGATAAATTTTTGAATGTAATAAAATTTAACAGCTTTGACTGAAGTCACAATTGGGAAATAAGAACTATTCTGACGATACAATAAGTAAACACTTATTTTATGTTTAAAACTCTGTATTTATTGTTACTAATCAATTAAATTATTATTTTCTAGTAACTTTGATTGCATAACATATAATTACTAAAAAAATCTTCCTTTTTCATATTAATGTTTCATTTTACTTAAAGTGTCACTTAAACATCAAGTATTGACAATAAAAGTGCATCATGCATACATATTTATGCATATATAATCTTTTATATGTATATACTCTTAAAATTAACATTGTTTTATCATAATAATAAGAATTATGACAATAATTTAGTTAAGAAATGCTAGTAATATAATTTCTTTTAGTTTCTTAAACCCAATGAGCAATATAACTTCAAATATAATTCCTATAAAGCTATTTATTTTTATAATGGCATTATTTTTTAAGGGAAAAATTATTGCTATATGTTATGTATATAAGTGATTATGTAATATGGTTATTCTTAGTAAAATTATTGAAGCAAAATAACTGTAAAAGTTACATAATATGAAAAAATACACTTATTAAAAAAGTTTTAATTATTTATTATATAATAACTACTGCAATCAAAATTGTTTAACAACTAAAGGTATACATCAATAATGAAATAAGTTGCTAGTAGAAAATACATACATATAATATATTACAAATGTAGAAAATATTAATACTCTAATAATTTTATTGTATAAAAGATAAAAAAGATTAAGATTTTATCAATACCATATAATATTTGCTATCAGAAAATTCTATTTAGAAAACTCTAATAAGACTTAGCAGTTGATTTTATTTATAATTTTGTTATTTTCATACAAGAATAAAAAATGTTTTCTCATAGCCATTGTCAAAAACAAGGCTAGGATTAATCTTTATCTTATAATAAAATCATTCATTGATCTTTCAATATATTCTTCCAACAAGACTTACAGTACTAACTTAATTATTGATATTTAAGAATAAGAAAAGACTAAATAATATTAGATTTTATTTGTTGTGTAAGTTTTCCTTGAAATTAATATCATGTAGACTCTGCAGTTATTACATAAACCACAGCAAACTAACCTAATTCTGTGACATTTAGTTACAGGTATGTGTTATGTAAATAAAAGAGATATTAAGTTACTTACCGGCGAGGGTGAACCTGTCCATATAGTTGATAAGGTTAACATAACACAATATGCCGACGGTCATGAATTCTATGAAGGTGACATCTCTCAAACTATCGCGCTTTCTACCCTGCTTCTCGTTCAACAATGCAGTTGCAGATTCATTATCTCCGTTAATTACTAACTGCTGATTCGATGTATTTGGTGTTATACTACTTTGGTCCATGATGCCCACCCCGGTTTAACCCTATGAAATTCAACCCTTGCCACTTATTCCGGTACACGATTTAAAAAAAAACTCGATACACAACACAAAAGAAAATTAAGGATGTGATGTCTTTAAGTATATGAAGTTTGGTTTTGGACTTTAGAATTTCCTAATTCCCATACCAATATTTTAATGGTATTTCCAAAATACAAAACAATACACGACCGGAACGATAGCCGACACTCTGACAAACTGTTAACTGACGTTGTGCTGACGTCTGAATTCTTTTTGACTTTCAAGTTCAAATGGTAATGACAGTTGACATTAAATGTTGACGTTCACTGATGACGTTTACTATTTTAACTTAAAACTTTCATTTTTTAAATCATGCCGTTTTCATTCTTGGTAATGTAGAAACTAATACTATTGTGAGTACGAAAGTTCTAAGTTATGTTAAACTCCAAGTGGCTACCAAATTCAATCACATCCCTTTTCCTCTACCTACAGGAGCAGCTACAACAATGCTTGTGAAAATTTAATCATTTTACAACAAAAATATTGAGTAAGAAATCAAATAACGTTTCATAAAGAAGCGTTGAGATTTTTTAAATAACAGTTTTAGATATTTCCTTTAAAATGTATATTTTCACTTTACCGAATTAATGGATATTACATTTAACTGTCAACTATCACTTATCCTCAAAAAGACTCGTGTCCAGAGCCGTAAAAACATTTACGAAAAGAATTACTATCACTTGTCATTCATTTCTACAAAGTACAAATTTATTTCAGCCGCGTCGAAATAACAAGTTCCTTGCAATTACAGTTAGCTTCCTAACACATTCCATTTTACTTTTTTTCTTCTGTTTAAAGAAGTTAATTCTTCTGTTTAAAAGTACTAATTATCTGTATTCAGACATATAAAAGAGACTGCAACGAATAATAGGTAAATTCGGTCAAAAGTTGCAGCCGATAGAAAACACTGTAGATAAATTTCGGCATTAATACATATTTCACTATCTTGTGTTTATATCTAAAAATATGAAGTGTCTATATTTAATAATATTGGTCTGTGTTACCTTAACTTCGGCTAAAAAATACAACGACGAGGAAAAGCCGGCTTGGGCTAAGAAAGACATACGAGACTTCAGCGATGCTGACATGGAACGGTAATTAGTAATTACTATCACATATAATGAATTAAATGTTTATTTTATCTAACCATGACACTTTTACGTCTAGTCTTTTCGATCAATGGGAAGAAGACGAAGATCCTCTTCCTGAGGACGAATTGCCGGAACACTTGCGTAAACCACCATCTCTTGATTTAACTAAGTTGGATATGTCTAATCCTGAATCAGTGCTGCAAGCGACGAAAAAGGGACAAACTATAATGATGTTTGTAACTGTTGCTAACAAACCAAGTCGACACAGGACAGAAGAGTTGACTAAGATATGGCAGTCGGGTCTTTGGAGTGCTCATATACAAGCAGAGAGGCAAGTTTTAAGACATTATTATTAAAATTTAGTGCATAACCTTATTGAATATATATTGCAATTTTAGTTCTTTATTTCCTATGAATATTTGTTATAACCAGTTTTACTTTTACAGGTACCTTATAGATGACGACAGAGCTATATTCATGTTTAAAGATGGTTCCCAGGCTTGGACAGCAAAAGAATATCTTACTGATCAAGATGAACTCAAAGATGTGCAGCTTGAAAGCCAAACTTATCCAGGGAAAAAACCTGATGTTAAGAACAAATCTGTACGAGATGAACTATAATGATCTGAATATATCTCAATGTATTTAATAAGGAAACTTTATTTATGTTTTGTAATAAAACTTTTTTTTTTTACACTTTCATCTTTATTTCTGTAATGTATAAAAAAAGGTTTGTGTAATGGTATAGTTTGCTTTAAGTAGCCCTGAAGTGCTCTTCATCAATCGTTGAATATATATGACCTTCATTGCACATGAATTCCAGAATGTTCCTGTAAAAGAAAAAAATAACATTGTTTTGCTTAAAAGAATGATAAGTTATCAATAATTTATGAACAAATAATAATATTGCTTATTATTTCTCTGATCTTTATATGAAGTTGACATATTTGAAACAATAATATTAGTGAATATTTTATACTGAGTGTTGCTTAAAATATTGTTAGTATTGAAAGAGTTGGTAATGAAAGTGTTAGTTAAAATTGTTTCAATGAAAAATGCATAGGGAATGTGAGTCAAATTGAAGGCAGTAATATATTTTATTGTAAATGGACATAGAACATTAAAGATTTTAAACATTATTGTATTATCAGTTATAATTATTCATTTTTTTAAAAATTTAATATCTGGAAATTGACCTGAAATTTTATATACTAGGTCACTTGTGTTTTCTTAAGGGGATGTTTTGTTTTACTTTTTGTATAAAATATTTGATTCAGCACTTTACAATTAAATAATTAGGAAAACTACTCTTCAGACTATTATTCCCTACTAATATTATAAATGCTATAGTAATGCTGTCTGTCTGTCTGTCTGTTACGCTTTCACGCCTAAACCACTGAACCTAATTTTAATGAAATTTGGTACAGAGATAGAGTTGACCTTGAGGAAGAACATAGGATAGTTTTTATCCCAGACTTGAAAGTTTCCTTGGAAACGAGATACAACCGAACTCCACGCGGGCAAAGCTGCGGGCGTTAAGCTAGTTAAGAAATAATACAATAAAATTGTCATACTCACTCTAATTCAACCTCAGTCATACGATCTCTCAAGTTTGATAGCAAATCCTGTTTGCTTATACCCTGGTCTGATGCAGCCGATGATATCAACTTGTACACCATCACTTGACGGGCATTCAATCCATTGAATGACATGTTATCATTCATTCCGACCATCGAGTTGGCCGGCAATCCACCCATCATTGAAGAATTATTAATGGGTTCCACATCCTGAAATAAACAGGTTCAATACACATATACAATTTCCTTTTATATTAAAGATGGTAATAAAAGTACTCTATAACATTGATAATATCTATATACTCTTGAAAATTCATATCAAAAATAACTTGTAATATGGTTTTTAGTTCTGTCATGGTTTGTAAAACCCCTGTTATAATAAGAAAATTTTACAAGGTAAATACTCTGAAAATAATAGACTATTTTCATATAGTGTTAAAAGTATTGCAACTTTTATATATTGAAATTCACTGCTTTAACTCAAACAACCAATATATGTGTAAATTAATATGTAGTGTTTACCTTTTTCATACCAGGTTGTAATTTAAGTTTGTTATTAAGACATTGCAAGTAGTGGAATGTAATGGCATTGACATCGGTTACAGGCATAATTTTGAAAGCCATCAGAACCTTCCTTCCTTTATTGGTTTTCACATTGCCGTAAATTTGTATGTAATCATTGACATTAACTTTGGGTGTTGATTGATCCTGTGAAAATTATGGGTAAGTTTATGTATTACTTAATAAATTACACATATAATAAAGATGTTGCGAAATTCTCTTACATTTTCATCCATTGATTCTTGTTCTAACCAGAGAACAGCTTTCATCCTTCCAGTTATATCTTGTATTGTATATGTGATTTTGGTACTTTGTTCTCTAATATTTTGAACACGAGCAACAATCGACACAATTTGTATTTCTGTGCCCCATATTTTAACACCTTCGTCCCCACAATTTAAAGCCTGCTTAATAACAATTGGAGCAGTGCGTGAAGCACGTCTTGCCTATAAAAATAAACCAACCCTTTTGATAATGTATTATTGATTGTAAGAAATAGGAGGAATTTAAAAATGACAACGAATAATAAAAGGTTTAGTTTGAAACGAATTCTTAATAAATAGATATATATAAAAATATTCAGCAAATCTAATTCTTACAGACTTTTGCCTTTGGTTGGGAGTGTTAGTTACATTTCCAAATTCGTTTTGACTGTTGAAGAATCCTCCATCAGTTCTCGATTGATCTGAACAAATATAATAGGCATTAGATTATGTACCAAGACATTACTCAATTGTTATAATTTGTTGAATTAAAAAATATATATTTCTAATTAGAAATTTACCATTCCACATTTTGCTTAAGTTGAAACTAAACTTATAAAACAACTTATCCCGTTTAATTTAAAGACTGTAAGGCAAATTTATATTTTAAACAAGTGAACCAAATAACAAAAATAATTTCAACAAAACTCTTAACTTTAAAGTTAAAACGGCTTGAAAGATAAAATTCGGCGCGAATTTGACGTATGACAGACTGCAGTTAACCTATACAGAATACCAAAAGTTACCTTATAATAGATAATTATAAACTAATATAATTAACTTCTTATCTATAATATTATTTTTAATAAAACTTTATTATAAAATAGTATAATAAATCTATACAATATTGTTCTTGATTAAGAACTAAGACATTGTTTTAATTGAATATTAAAACAATTGTTAATAAGAATTAAAATAAAACTCATAGTATGTAAGGCAATTGTTTTAAATATTTTAATAAAAAATAGATAATACATTTCAACTAAGCTATAAATATAATATTTAATGTTAGGGAAAATATGCAGAAACTGGCGTAGCTCGATACGTCGTTGGTCTTGAAGACTTTTTTTCTCTAAAATCAACCTTCGGTAAATCGACATGTTTGTTTTCTTTTCCAGATTTACTCTGAGCATTAGCAGCCTCTCTTAAACAATCTGTAATAAAAAAAATTCTTAAATGTTCTATATTTCCATAGTAATATTTATAACATAGTATGCAATGGTATTCAGTAACATCAATATGGTTTAACTGGTAAACTAATTTCAGTAACTTATGACCTGGAGGTAGGAAGGTTCTTGGAAAAGGAGTTAAAACTTATTTTTGAATTGTAGGTCAAAATTTTTGACCCACAAACCCTATCCCTTCCCTATCCTACATAGTATGTCAAAGCCAAGGTCAGTATTAAAGTAAATTACCCTTTTTTTGTATTCTATTGCCTTCAGTAGCTGGTTTTAAATATTTTGGATCCAAGCCTTTTTTGTTTGCGGGTGAAGGTTTAGGGCTTTCTTCCACACTAGATCTAAAAAGAAAAAAAATAAGATTAAAAAAGAAAATTAAATTAACAGTAAATTCGAATGTAAGACAATACATACAATTTAGATGTAGCATAAAAGTTAATTGATTCATCTGTTTCTTGGGAACAGTTCTGTACATTTTTTTGTAAAAAATAAGGTGTTGATGTTGCAGATTGAAAATCTGAGTTGCTCTTATGAGGATGATCATTTCTTGCCATTCCATTGCCTTCTAGTTTCTTATGAAGCCATTGGATCACTAAAAATATAAACAATTTTTATATGACATTCAAAAGATATTACTTAAAATTATGTACCAATTTAAGTACCCATATTGTTATTTTTTATAGTTTCATCTCGATCTTTTAATGCTTCCTCATTTTTATTATACTTTTCTCTAAACGCATCAAGTTCACTTTTAATTTTTTCTATTTCCTCTGAGCTAGATTTTATTTTTATTTTAAGTTCCTCAATTTCTTTAATGTTGCCTTCTATTACTTTTTCCTGTTCCAATGCGATTGCTGTTCTGCATAGAAGCTGTTAAAAATTATTAATTAAATTAATTAATAATTTTAACCAGTAAATTAAGAGAGTATTATAAGGTTACCTTATCTTTAATTTCAAGAAGATCATTATTTTGTTTGGTGATAATTTGATTGGCTTTAAGTAATTGTTCTGTAGTGGATTGAGCTGCTTCTGTGTTTTTATTTGCTAATGATTCACTAAGGCTTAGTCTCCTCTCAAGATTACTCTGTAATAATAAAGACAGCAAATATTAATATTCTTATTGTTATAAATATGTTTTCTCAAATGATCCACTCACCTTTTCATTTTTCAATGATTGAATAGTTTCATTTAATTCTTTTATGACATTTGAATTGTCTTTGACTGTCTGAAAGAAGACATGAATTATTAAAACATGTTATAGAAATAGAATATTAAATTATATTAGGAATTTTTATTCATCTTACCTTTTCTAAATATGTACAATTTGAATTCATCTGATTGATAAGTTTTTCTTTGTCAATGATGTCTCTCTCCAGAGTTGAATTTCTAGCATTCAATGTGGAAACTTCAATGTGAATTCTTTGTAATTCCTTTTCTAGATAATTGGTCCTGTTTATCTTTTCACTAAAAGCATATAATGGTGGTCAAAATTATATATAAAAATAATATCTGATAAAAATATAAGGACAATAAATATATTTTTAATAAAACAATAGTTTCTGCAACAACTGAAGCAACACCTGAAGAATTGCATTTAACAAAAGAAATTATTTTATTACTAAAAAACATGTGCAAGTTAATTTAGTCTTTAGAAGATTGTTTGAAAAACTATCTAAGAATATTAAAAAGGGATATATGTACTTTAACAGTATTCTGAAATTAAAATTGTGGATTACAATGGCAACGTTTTTTAGGTAGAGGAATTTAGTGACAAAATCGGAAATCAAAATGTGTAATATCTAAGAAATACTAGAATTCTAGAATGTAAAAGATATGATTAAGCTCAGAAAGGACAACTGGCCAGAAATTAAATTATGAAAATCTTGGAATACCTTAATTGATTTTCAATTTGTGATACTTTGTCCCTTAATTGTTTTATTTTGTGGTTTTGTTCTTCTATATGTTTGTCTTTTCTATTTAAATTGTCTTGGGATGCAGTCAGTAAGTTATTTGTGTGCGCCTCATTTTGTTTCTGCCATTGAATTTTCTCCTAGATACAGAGACAAATATTATATGAAGATTAATAATAAATTAAAATATAACAAAAATAGCTATTTCATACTTGCATGAGCCTGTCTCTTTCTAATTTTAAGTTTTCTTTATACTCTATTTCATGCCTCAACTTTTCTTCTTCAATTTTAGATAAGTTTAAAGTTAAATCATGAAGTTTTGTTTCTAATTTTGCACATTTTTCACTCCACATCATTTCATTGCTTGATGATGAACTTTTTAGTGTCATTAGTGTTTTCTGCAAATTTAATAAATATTTAATACACAGTAATCTGCTTATTTATTAATTTATATCTCTTCATACTTTTAATTCCACAATTGTATCAGCCATGTGTTGCTTGAGCTCAGTATCATTTGCCGGTTGAGTTTTAAGTGATAAATGAACAAGTCTTTTAAATTCATTGTGTTCTACAACTTCAAAGTTGTAGAGAATTGGTGTTACAAGTTGAAGGATCAGGAACCTAAAACATAAACCAGATAATATATTAAATAAAGGGATTAATAAAGAGATATAATAATATGAAAAAAGTGTTTCAAATTAATTATTACATGCTATTTGAAGCACATTGTTGCAATAATCTAACTACTTGTGACGGAAAATTGTCGAAGTCTATAAGAAGTCCTTGTTGTTTCTTCAGTTCTTCGTAGTCGCATCTCGTTAATAAAATTCTGTATAGAAATGTTGAATCTTCTTCGTCCGATAAGATAAGCCTCTGAAAAATAATTAGAGGTACCACTTTTAAGTAGTAATGTTCTATAAATCAAAGAAAACGTAGTTTAACTTGAAATCAACAAACCAACGAATCGTTTTCAAAAAGTTTTTCAACTGTTATCGTTATATCTTTTTTAGCTTCTTCAAAGCCTCGTTTGATTGATATAAAATATTTTCCTCTATGAAATACTTTGAAAGCTGTATTTTTCATTTTTGACTACAATCAATTCATTAATATTAATACTTAATATAAATAATTAAAAGTGTACCAGAACAATATCTCTTTTAAACTAAACGTCAAAATTTAAAACCTGTATATTGTCAGAACTCAAGTGTCATGTAAACATTGAACAGATTACGTCAATCGTCATTTATAATTACCATTGATAAATTTGGTACATATGTAGATACTATCAATATGGCTGCACCAGCACTTATTAGAGCCATAAGCAGTTGTCTTTTGAAGAATACAAATCTAACTAACTATTTACAATTAAGTTCAGTAATTGAACATTTTGGGAATAGTTTATTTCGCCCTATAATATAATATATGACTGATACAAGTAAATTACAAATATTATATAAAAATTTTATGTACATACTTGTTTTCTTTAACTCTAATTTTTAATTTCTTAAATTAGTACAACCACAAGGTAGAAATTATTTGTCTTTTCTAAAAAGTTTAGTACACACTTAAAACGTGCAGTTGATTTACAAAAAATTGGTTGCAAATTATATTTGACTGAACAAAAAAAGCTAACTATATTAAAATCGTGTTTTAGGTCAACCGTATAATTTTAAATATAACGATATCTAGCAAATCATTATTAGGAGATTCTTTGGTTATTTTTAAATACCTAAGATTAAGATAATGTACTTATTTTGTCCTTTATTACCGCTGTATTCATGTCTAAAAATGATAATGAAATGCCTTCACGCAATTTCATATAGGTATTTCAATTTCAAGTTCAATTTTGACTTTGACAACTATACAAAACCTTCAAAGTTTTTTATCTATGTTCGGGAGGGGAAGGTGAATCAGATGAATATATTGTGATTCATTCCAGTTGTATTTATTATTGTTAAAAAGTAGTCACTCTTTAAGAGTTAGAGTGGAAATCTTAGCATATGCATTAAACTTAAAAGTAAATGACCACCAAAACATTTAGTATGACAGACGTTGTAGTGTGAAAAATCCTAATGTGGGTTAAACATTATTTTATCAATTTGCTCGATTTTAGTGAAGTGTAGTGTAGTTTTAGTTGAAAATGCCATTCGACTTTTTGTGTTGTGTTAGACCTGGTGTAGAAGATATAGTGGAATTAGATTACTCTCACCATTCATTGACGGATGTGCCGACGGAAGTGTTTGTCTACGAGAGGACTCTCGAAACGCTATTATGTCAAAGCAATCGTATCACCGAATTACCGCGTCAGCTTTTTATGTGTCATGGCTTAAAGTATTTAGATCTGAGTGACAATGAGCTTCAGGCCATCCCCACAGCTATATCGTCGTTGGTTAACTTACAGCATTTGAACCTAAGTAGAAACACCCTAGCATCCATACCGGATAACATGAAATCATTAAAAAATTTGATGTTTCTAGATCTTAGTGTAAATCCATTAGAAAAATTACCAGAAACCATCACAAACTTAATAGCAATGCAAGATTTATATTTAAATGATACATATCTAGAGTATCTTCCTGGTAACTTCGGCCGTCTCGCAAATTTACGAATACTTGAACTAAGAGATAATTATCTTATGATCCTCCCGAAATCACTGTCAAGATCAACTGACCTTTTAAGACTAGATATAGGTCAAAATGAATTTCAACAATTTCCTGAAGTAATTGGAAGATTTTCCAAGTTAAAAGAACTTTGGATTGATAGCAATAGCTTTACAATAATTCCAGCTGTCATCAAGCCATTGGACAACTTAGTACATTTAGAAGCAAGCAATAATATGATTGAAGAGTTAGCACCTGAAATTGGTTACTGCTCTCGTCTTGAAGATCTCACTTTATCAGTGAATAGTCTCACACAACTTCCGGACACTATTGGACAGTTAAGTAATTTAACAGCCCTAAAGTTAGACAATAATAGACTTTACAGTATACCAGACAGTATAGGTCAGTTAAAAAATTTAGAGGAGCTTATGTTAATGAGTAATTATATAGACAAACTGCCATCTTCCATTGGTCTCTTGAGAAAACTACAATATTTAAATGTCGATGAAAACATGTTAAGAGCTATTCCTCCAGAAATTGGAAGTTGTGTTAAATTATCTGTTCTGTCGGTCCGTTCTAATAAATTAACAAAAATCCCACCTGAAATTGGACATCTTACTTCTTTGAGAGTTCTTAATTTGGTTAGAAATTCATTGAGCTATCTTCCCCAATCCTTGTTGAATTGTGATAATTTAGTGGCCCTTTGGCTCTCTGAAAATCAAAGCAAACCATTAGTGCCTATGCATTCTGAAGTAGATCCAAATACTTATGAACAAGTTCTGACCTGTTTTCTCTTCCCTCAAGTGCCTTTAACTCCCATAGACATTAAATTGGAGAATGTGAAATCAGAGGCACCAAGTGTTCCTCGACATATAAGCTTTGTGGACATGAAACCAGCTGTAAAGAGCAATGAAAAGCCTGGCCAGTTGAGACGAGCACCTACACCATATCCAAAAGAATTAAGAGCTATGGCAAAACATGCACGAAATATTCATAAAGACGGCACACAGGATGTCCCCCCACCTATGCAGAATGCAGTTCATATCAAGGCTGCCAAAATAACCCCAACATTGCAACAGAGATTTGCTTCTGATAACAAAACTGATATAAATAATATAAATCCTGACAGTAATGTTCCAGATCCAATGAAAGTGTCTGTCTATGATAATTTACCACCTGAAAATGCATATGACAAGCCCTTAGACCTAAACTACGAAGAGGACAAAACATATAAAAGTGTAGATCATGCTTTATATTCTGATAATAACACTGAAACCATATCATATAAGGATGAAAATGTGGACACTTGTGGATTAGGTTCATCACATTATACCATTAAACAGAATGAAAGATATTCCCCTCGGCAAGAAATCACCAGATCCAGTTCTTCATTAGCGACTAACAATTACAGAAGTCATGCACATGAAAATAAAAATTATCCAATGTCTGGTGAGCATTCATATCAATGTTCCGATGATACTTGTAATCAGATGCAAAGATTAAGTGTTAGTGCTCATGAAAGGCACTCTAGAGAAGAAACTATTCTAAGTCCTCAATTTCATGAAAACCCATATGGTACAAGGTGTAGAATAGATAATTTACCACATTTTGAGCCCATGTATGCTAGGAAAGAGTCAGTATGCCATCCAGAAAACAATTACCATACTAATACCTATGCAAGCGATGGCTTGCCTTGTGGTTCAGAAAAAATTTATCCCCCCAAAAACTATGACGTATTTAATTATCATCCCCATGTAGGTAGGGATTTAACGGCCCCAAGAGTCCATACTGTAAGTCATATGGTTAGTTCAACAACCATGCCTAATATGTGTAATTACAATAACATGTACCCCCCACCGAATGTTGATAGCAATCATTATAATGCATTGCATCAAACCGCATCAACTAACTGTAACATATATGATATGTCAGCATCAAGTCCAACTTATGTCCAATCTCAATCTCCGGAACTTTATTCACCTACTGGTCACACAAATGCTACAAATCCATATCGCATGACAAACACACCTCTCATATCGGACGATGGTAGTTTTCCACATGTACAACCTATATCTAGTCATAATATGTATGAGATATATGATGCTATGCCAGCTTCATCGAATACACCTAGCGTTGTGAGTCATCGACATAGTCCTAGTGGACTTTCAGAGACTGTATACATGAGAGGTCAGCCCCCACCTTACCACATTGCTGCTCCTTATACAAAACATGCTCAATACTTTAACGGTACTGGGGGATAGCATTATATGTAATATACACCTTAAAGTTTTGTGACTGACTTTTGAAACTTTTTTTATATACACATACAATTTTAATTTAATTTACTTCTCTTGTGTACTACTGTTCTCTGGATGTGCAATTTAAATGTGATAAATATATAATATGAAAAATTTATATAATATAAGGTGCTAAAATGGATCATTAATGTTATCCAGATGGATATTTTAAAAGCAGTTAATGTTCAAACGAAAAAATAATAATATGTATATTCAAAAAGAGAAATGTTGTAGGTACTGTTAAGTACAATTTGTAACAACTATGTTGTTTGTTATATTAATATTCTGAAATTGATTGTAATGTGAAGTGTCCTGGTGTGTTTTTAACTAAATAACTATAATTTTACTATTGATACATATTAATTGAATAAGAGTAATGCATAAATTTTATGTATTGTATAGAAATATTTTCTTACCCTTTTCTTAAGTGCAATTAAGGACCACTGATCGAACATTTTTCCTCTTTAGGTAAATGTTACAATACATGTAATGCATTTTATTATGTTATATTTTATGTATGCTCTCTAAAGGGTTCTACTTCATAAAAGGTGCTCAAGTTCCTAAATGGATTAAAGAACTTGTAACAACTTTGTATTCTGCACATTCTTTTGCTCTATGTTCCTAAATTCTACAATATCTATTTTATATTCTATTTTTCGTATTTTATTATAAAGTATTTTTTCAATGTTTATTTTATTACATTATAGTTTTATGCTAAACACCAATTTTACTTTCTAACAGAATGAATGCTTTGTGAGCTATGTATGATTTTTGTATCGGTAAATGAGGGTCTCATATCTGAATTCTAATGTACTTAAGTTATTTTTTTAAAATATTAAGGGTTTGGATAACCCCTTCGGAGATAGAAAATGTCAAAGAGTTATGGTGGCAAAGTATAATTATTAATAAAATAAATTACGTCACGTAAAAAGTCTTTGAAGTGTATAGTAGACTATATTTTTTTTAAAAGATAAACTTTAAATAGAAATGTAAACTGTATTTCACATTGGAGTTTGTTACAATTTTTACGTTTTATATGTTAAAGAGAAGTGAAAATAATAATACGTAATATAATAAGAATGACATTGTATGTACATTTATAATATCATTTTTATCTAATAGCAATAATATGAATAATCACATTTTACAATTAATATTAACGTTCATGTTAAGATATGTATGTTATGTATTAATTACTTATATATTATCCATGAGAATTTATTATGAGTTTGATTACTGTAATGTAAATAACTTTATTTAATTATGTGGCGCTGACACATTAGCTGTCATAAAAGTATGGTATTATAGAACAAAAGGAAGTTGATTTTGCATTGGACGTATACGTTCAACTTCTGCGGTCCATCATCTATGAGTTGTGATTAAAAAAGATCGCCTCGACCTATTCCGTGTATTTCCGCTTGACCTATTTGTATGAAAAGATATAGGTTACAGAATTAACAAGGCTATTTGTTTATTTTACCTTACTTCTGATTCAGTAAAATTATTTTTCGGTTCATAATTCTATATCAACTATAAATTTTAAATTTCAAAGCTTGATGTTCTTGTTTATAAGTACCTAATCGCAATAATAATATAATCATTTTTAAATTTACTTTGACCTTGGGGCCATTTAAAATCTATAATTGTATATTATACCAAATTTGGAAATAATAATTAACGTTGACGATTACGTCTTTAAATTTGACTTAAACGTATATACGTGGCTTAAAGTCTCGTACCCTTGGTGGGAATGTTTATCGTAAAAAACATCGACAAAAATTCATTATAGAACAAGTTAACTGTCGGTGCTAAAGTTTTTGATGCCGATTCGTACTAAGGGTACCGTTTAATTAACTAATGTAGATAGGTGAATACGATTTAAGTATTTAGCACCATTAGCTCTGACTATGAATTCTTCATTAGGTTCCCATTATGCAAACGTATTACGTAATAACTTATTTGCTCCGTTGTGAATTTAAAACGCAACACTTTCTAAAGACTGAAAACTAAAAACATATCATTTAGCAACAAACAATCTATTTTATTAATGCGTACATACAACTAAGTGCGTTTATAATTTTTTCTAATACATATTATATTTTGTTTCGATCTATTTGCTACTGTTTATCACTTGAACTGTTATCTGTAAACATTATAAATTTCGTCCACTTCATCCGCCCATTTGTTAAAGTTTGATTGCTCTTTCTGAAGATTGTACTAAACTTTCATCTTTATTATAAATTTATTGATAAGGATTTTGAAGAAAAAAATTGACAAATGCATAATAAAGTTACAGAAATTTTGTAATTTTAGCAATTTTATTCCTGACTGCCAACCTCTATCGCTATTTTATTTTGTTTTTGCTAATGAATAATAAAATATTCAAAATGGCTCCAAATGACTGCATGACAGTTGATTAGTTTTGTTGTATGTTGACATTATATATTGTATGAAATTTCTAAACGTTTCATGTGGACATTGGAGGAAAATATAACAAGTAAGCAATCTAACAGATACATATTAAAATTATAATAAAATTAAAAATTATATAGTGCAAATTAGAGTAAAAGTGTATGACTAATCAAATTCATAGTTATCATTATATTATAAAATAACAATATTACGCATAGATAATATAAACAAGTATTAACTCTTGAAATTGTCGTTTCACAGGGATTATAAGATCGGTATTATTTTCTATTTTTTTTTTACATAGTTACATCTTCAATTAATTTATTTTAAAGAGAAAATGCACATATGTAGCATGCTATGTACGTGCCACATTATCATTTCTACCTCATTTATGAAATGCCAAATTGCAAATACTCACTTTAGTGGTAATTTTTTTTTGTAATTTGGTTTTATTTGAATTGCGGGATGTGAAAATCATTGCTTATAATAAAAATATTTTTGATTTGAGTGATTGTATAGATATGATTTTATCATGTCACAACATATTGAATTAAAATGAATATTAAAATAATTATTTTTTTATATTTTTCTATTTTGTTTAATATTATAAAGGATACAAATGTTTGTATTTGTAACGTGTTCCACGTCTTCGAGTGTTATAAAAGAAATCGGATTTCGAATACAAATGCCTAAATACGTAAAATCACAAAAGTTACAGAACTGAAATTTAAAGAACGCAATATTTTTATACTCTTTATTCCGTTGTCAATACTTTAACGACTTAACATTTATTGTACTAAGTGTTACAAACGCGCATTAATGTGTATAAAGTTATTTATATAGATTAAAAGATTAATAATTTAATAATATTTTATGACATCAAAAGGAAAAAAGAGAGGAATGTTGTAATATTATTTATTATTTTCTATAAAACCAATGTTATTCGATTAGAACGAAAAATAGGCACAATTAAATGTCTTTTCTACGAAGTCTTCTTCGTATGTAGTGATTCAATAAGAGAAATTAGATATTCCTAATAACTTTACTGTATTCACATGTTGTAGTTTAAAACAACACGTCTTAGAGAAATGAATATTTAAATACAGTGTAAGTGTGAATTTGTTAGTATATAAAAACTGAATTGTAAAGAAGAATAGTTATGTTTTTACACGATAATGCCGTAAATATTGTAGAATGTCAATAAATTGTTTGAAATTTAAGTTTTTTTAATACGTTATCACATACCTCACCGACGCGACGCTCTAATATGTGGGAGTTGATATCGAACATTGTTATGCGAGTTTATTTTTAAAGACGATATAATTTGATGCTTTTCTTTATAACTTTAAAAGGTAATTTTTGATTAAAAGTGTAGAATTTGTTAAAGAAATTTTGATATATCTGGTGAAATAAAATTTCATTACTTAAAATCTTCTTTACTTTAATTCAAAATCTCATTGATTTTATTTTATCTTTTTTTTGAATTTTGTTTTCTTTTTTCGAATACCTGTACAAAAGTCAATAAAGATCTTTTATATAGAAAGTTACAACTTCATTTTATTATATTTTCTTATTAAACTTTGCAAAAAAGTTTTTTTTAAAAAGGTCTAAAAAATTTAAATTGTATCGTACTTAATAATATTTTTTATATGCATTAATTAGATTGTAGATTTGGCTACCACCTTAAGCATTTATATTTTAATAAGAGTAGAGATCACTGCTGACATCTTTATATGTGCTTAAAAAAATGTTACTGTAATTACGATTTCATAAATTTTATTTTATTCTTGTAATTTTTACATAATGCATGTTTTAGTTAAAGGTTCTATAGAAGTATTATTTTGTAATGAATAAATCTTTTCGCTCTAATTAAAACTTGTAAATCTATTTGTATGAATATTTAAGGGGTAATGATCAAACAAAATTATCAGAATTATGCAACAATTAACGTCTACATTCCTTAACGGAATCTAATTTATAAAAAGGAACGAAATCTTATTTATAAAAAGAAAGCGAACGCTATCAAAAATTTAATAAAACAAAATTCATTTCATAGTTAGCGATGAATGTAATAAAGCAGTTAAGGTCTTAAGTATTTTCAGTATGCATTGCCCACATTCAACGTAAATAACTTTGGGCTCATCCCTAAATAATCGATCGTGTGCGCGCGCCGTTCTATCGAAGCGCCTATCACTGGGACATTGCAAATATCGTCAGCTGGTCACGATATTAAGAGGTACGTTGTACTTTCTGCCAAACTGTTCTGTAAGGTAGAGTTCTTATTCTTAATCTGATTGGTTAAACATAATTAGTTCATAAAAGTGTCTGCCTCAATGATTTGTATTTAAAAAGATATTTTAAAAAATAGCTCTTCATTTTCAGACAGAAAGTAATTGATAAAACTCAGTTCATCGCAATTTTGGCTTTGTCTCTGTTCTTCTTGTACTTTGACGAATTTTTATATTTGTTGCTTATAGTAATCATGCCTGGAGCCAGACACAAAATCCTGGGGCACGTCCTCTCAGGATTTTGTCATAAGATGAATCGACGGAAGCCTATTTATGGAGACGTTTTGGACACGCCACTTAATCGTTGTCTAACAACTTTTGATATAACATTACTTGGTAAGTTATGATTCTTACATTAAGTAGATAATAACTTTTGGAAGATTTAATTAGAAAATTCGCCTTCATTTCTAATTATGTATATGATAATCATTAGTTCTGCGAAGGTTCGATATTTGTGTTCGATAAGTGTTTTTAATTATGGTATCTTACAGGGGTCGGTCATATGGTTGGAGCTGGAATTTATGTTTTAACGGGAACTGTTGCTCGTCATATGGCTGGACCAGCCACAGCTCTTAGTTTTCTACTAGCTGGAATTACGTCTACACTAGCTGCGTTATGCTATGCCGAATTCGGCACAAGAATACCCAGAGCAGGCAGCGCTTACGCATACACCTATGTTAGCATTGGCGAGTTTTGGGCGTTTATAATTGGTTGGAATATTGTGCTTGAATACATGATAGGTAATAATTCTGATAAATATGAGATATTTATCAAATTTAAGCTAAAATTATCATGATATTTATTATTTATTCTATATTTTAGGTGCTGCGTCAGTTGCTCGTGCTTGGTCGGGATATCTAGATGCAATATTAGACGGCGCAATAAGCAATGCCACGATTTCTGTCACAGGGGAGTTGCACGAAACACTCCTAAGTAGATACCCAGACGTGCTAGCGTTTCTTATATGCATAGTAGCATCGTTAATTCTAGCCGTGGGCGTGAAAACTTCCGCATATATAAACAATGGCCTCACCATTTTGAATCTTACCGTCATTTCACTGGTTATATTTTTAGGTTTTTATTACGCAGATATTGCCAATTGGTCTGAGAAGAATGGAGGTTTTATGCCATATGGATTTAGCGGAGTGTTAGCTGGTGCGGCTACCTGTTTTTATGCTTTCGTAGGTTTTGACAGTATATCTGCTTCTAGTGAGGAAGCTAAGGACCCATCGCGTTCGATTCCCATTGCCACTATATTGTCCATGGTAATGGTAGGACTTGGTTATATCCTGGTAGCGATAGCTTTAACGCTGATGGTCCCATATAGTACTATTAATCCGGAAGCAGCATTGCCTGCAGCATTGGGTGCGGTTCATGCTGATTGGGCAAAGTATGCTGTAGCTGTGGGTGCAGTATGCGGAATGACAACAACTCTTTTAGGATCATTGTTCTCATTGCCCCGTTGCTTATATGCAATGTCAGCCGATGGACTCTTGTTCGGATTTCTCAGCGATGTTAATAATAAATCACAAATACCTATATCGAACCTCGTCATAGCAGGCTTCTCATCTGCATTCATAGCTCTTTTGTTCGATCTCGAGAAACTTGTGGAATTTATGTCCATCGGGACGTTATTGGCGTACACGATAGTCAGTGCAGCGGTTATAATATTGCGATATAGACCTATTCCTCCTGAGGAAAAAAGTTTCGGCGTGCCGCAATTGGACTCGCCTATTGATAGAGAAGACAGCTCCGCTACTGGGACTCCAGCAACTGATGGCGGATCATCCTCTTCAGAGGTATTTCATCAAACACGTATATGTATTTATATTAATAACCTTTCAACTCATATTACAAAGTAGCGTGCTGAATATGCAGAGTAATATTCTTCTTTTAACCTAAATCCTTAACATGCTCTATAGAACTTATCAGATATATTACTTGAAAATTGAAGTTCTTACGCCACTTACAAAAATTACCAATATTTACGTCCATCCAATTCCATTCAAGTGTAGGAATTAAATGTTTTGACAAAACTCCATTTAAATCATCAATAATATCAATTGACAATAAAGTTCAAGTTTTCTAACACAGATGTTTGAGGCGCTAACAGTGGGTCGGGTTCGCGCCCAATACGCTTGGCTTGAACCGCTGGCCGGCGGGCGAGCACCCGGGGCTGCGGTGACGTCTTGTGTATACGTGTTCACTGTCGCGACCGCGGCTCTCTGCGCACACAACCATTTCCTAGCACCCAACGCTGGACCCTGGGCCCTACTACCGGATTTCGTGCTCACGTTTATTATTATTGCTTGTGAGTTTTCTCGCCTTAATCATTATTTAAATTCCACGAACTCTTTTTAAGAAAAGGAAAAAGAAACTTTTTTCTATGATACTTTGAATTAGAATCCGTGAATTTGTTAATACCAATCAGTTTTTTAGATGTGAATAACAATTTTGACAAAAGACTATACAGCAGCATTAAACTATGCAAAAATCTAATAATTCCGTCACGTTTTTTTTAATACCTTTATGTTTTGCAAATTCTCATAATGAATTATAAATTATACGAAATATATTTAGTACTTTCCTATGTATAATGATTCCTACCAGGTCTGTTTATTATCTGGGCTCATCAACAAAGTCCCCTGCGTCTACCGTTCCGCGTCCCCTGGGTGCCGCTACTGCCGGCGGCCAGCGTCATGCTCAATGTCGAGCTTATGGTCAACTTGAACGCGCTAACATGGGCACGATTCACTATTTGGATGACATTTGGTAAGTGAATTTGAATGATACTTAAAGCATTGTAATTACATACATTATTACAGTAGAAGGAAAAGCCTAAAGTTGTATTAATGTTCAACATGATTCAATGAAATATTACAATAGCAAAAATCCAAACGGTTTGATAAAAATCTATTTAATAATAATGAGATCTGAACTAAGATTTTCACTAGTACTCATTTAAATGAAACTAATATTTTCGGATTTTACTTGAGTCGAGACTCACATCTCGTCTGCCCTTGATCACGGTTGCTGAAAAGTAGCCGAAACGTCGGAAGTATGTAGTTAATAATCAAAAATAAATACACGAAGTAAAATCCGAAAATATTAGTTTCATCTATTTAATATATTTTTTGGATGTTATTTAAGATAAATACGTTAATTCCAGGTTTGCTCCTGTATTTCCTATACGGCATACATCACAGCAAACTCGGCGAAGGTGTCACAGGTTTGTTATCACGATCTGGCAGCGGTGCAGCTCACAGTTGGGGCGCAGTCGATAAAACCTCTTCGCTAGCAAGACGAGTAGGACGCCTGGGACGTGGCAGTAAGAGCGACGACCGCAAGCCTATAATAAGCGACGACGAACTAAACAGACGCGAACAGTGAATTTAAATTTCGAACACGGTTTCGAAATTTAAATTTTGTATGACACATCAGATTTCACTTTCAATCAGTCAGTCATTTGAATTCGTAATCTCAAATACCTAATGCGAAACATTTTGCCAATTATCAAGATAATTAAGCAAAAATGGAGTCTTTAAACAATATGAAAGTATTTCTTATTATACAAAAAATAAGAAACTAGATAAACGGAAGTCAATGACAGCTATTTAATTTTTTATGAATATATGTATATAAAAATGAAGTCTGCCACTTCTCGAATTTTAGAAAATCTCAAAATATTCCTGAAGAATACACAAACTCACCATTCAGGTAAAAAAATATTTATTTTCTTAAATAAACATATTTTTTACTAGTCTATTCCTCCAAATTTATAAACAGCCAATAGAAGTGACAGGTCTTATATGAGCACAAAAAATAGAAGTATTTTTTCCACTAAACAGAAAAAATAACAGGACATATACGTGTTTTATAAAAATTTATTATGCTTTGTGTAAATAACACTTCGTAAAAAATACACCTTAGGATTATCAGCTTCTATGTTTTTTAATGTTTAATAAATGTAGAGAATTAAATTTAAATAATAGTCAACAATGTTTAGTAATTATTTATTTAAAAAGGCAACATTATATACATAGTATATCTACAAGTCACAAGTAATGAAATGTTAATTAATTTAATGTATTTTTTGATATTGTTGTAATCGGTTGACATAATAATTTTTATTACTTATTTATGCACAAAGTTGTCTTATAATTTATTTACATGATTTCTTCCAAACGTACAATTTTTTTCAATGTTGCTATATGTTAATAAATGGAATGTTTATTAATTATGTTAATATGAAATCCATAGAATTCATAGATTGTTGTTATATTTTAATGTATGTTGATGTGTATATAAACAGATGATAGATAATAGAATTTTTATTTCCCTGTATAACATATACGGTTATATAAACCACTAACACAACTTATACGACACTTGTACTCGTTCAAAATTATAAATAACCTTATAAAATATCACATTATTTAATTAGTATTTATAATAATTTATGCTCGTTTCAGAGCTCACGCGATGTGCTGGTATTTATGTTACTTAATTTTATAAATTACTTTATCATAGAGATAGAAATTAATAAAAAATACTTCATAAGGGGATATATTAGAATACATTTTTATTCTCATAGAGGAGGTCAGAAAAAAGTTTTGATAGCAAAAAAAAAAAACTAAAATGTTTGTGCCTTATATTTAATGAACTAAGATGTTTCAGATTCAGTCTTATCTGTTACGGTTTATTTGCCATGAAGATGACGGCAGTCGCTGTATTCTGCTTATAGTTTTTCGTCCCCATTGAAGCCAGAGGAATCCAGCGATAAGACATATCACCACTTCTATATAGAAACCGTCGATTCTTATATTACACGTTCCACCATTTGACTTACACTCCTACAAAACATAAGATATTAATTATTATTATTGTCTTAAAATTATATAGATAAATATAATAATACACTTTATAATTAAAAAATCAATACTTTTGGCTTTATTGCGTTGTGTTAAAATATATGTAGAAATAATGTAATCTTAAAATTGGTATATATCTTATATATAAAATTCTCGTGTCGCGGTGTTAGACAGAGAACTCCTCCGACTCGGCTGGGAAGATTTTGATTAAATTTTGTGAGCATATTGAGTAGTCTGAGAATCGGCCAACATCTATTTTTCATACCCCTAAGTCATAAGCGTTTTTAACACTGAATTTTTATTTTCGAACGAAATTTTTTGTTTCTATTTTTTATAATGTAGCATTAAAAAATACATACAACCCAAAATTTTTACTTTTTTATCACCAACCTCTATTTTTTTATATGGCAAAACAACGTGTGCCGGGTCAGCTAGTGACTTGTAATAATTGTATTTACCTCAGTTTCCAAGGGCGATGCACAAGTATTATCAATCAAGGTACTGCCACTGCAAGATTTAAATGTAAGATGATCTATTGCCCACAGTGCTAATGTGTTTGGCCAATTTGTTCCCAGATTAGACACAGTGTTTAATAAGGTCATGTATGTTCCACCAACAGCGGGATCGGACACTTTAGCGAAGAACGCCATAACAGCCACGAACATACAGTATAGGCAGGTCTGAAATAACATAGGTAAATATTATTACGAAATTAATTATAAGATTTTATATTTAAATGAAACAAAACATAACTAAAGTCAAAAATAAAGTCGCGTAGTATATCCGAAAAATATTAGTTTCATTTAAATGAATGAGACTCGTGAAAATCTTAGATCTTATTAAGATTTTATATATCCATATTCATATTCTGTCCAGAAACTATTTATTTACTTGACTTTTCTACATAATTTACATTTCATGCAATCTCAAAGAGATGTTATGTTTTTCATATACCTAACAATTTGTTCCTATAAGTTATTTTCACTGATACCCTATTTCTTTACTAAATTCTACATAAAGATAATTAAGCATAATAAATAAGTTCTACGCTCGATCGCTTCCTTACTATCGCATAATATAAATTACAATCGATGACATAGCCGACCTTGAAAACCATATCAAATTCAAATAGGCAAGTGTCTTTATCTTGTGATAATATATAATTTACGTTAAACAAATACTAAATAAGAAAACAATATATAATACATATCATTACTGAAGGTTGCGTGTGTACGTAACAATTATTTAGTAATAGGATATTTGAGTAATGAAAATACTAAACAAATTGTTCCAACACTACAAAAACTGTAATTTTTTAAACCAAATTAACTAACACACTATATAAATAAGACTATTTTTATAACAAATCATCAGAAAAGAAAATAATCGTCTGTCATTATTTGCAAGGAAGTGACATTAAAAATTTTAATGTGATTTTCACTGATTAAATCAATTAAAAGATATCAATCTAACTTCAAGAATCAAGTGCTTTATGGAAAGATAATCAATTTGAGATAATATCCAAAAGTATTGTCTAAAATCTGTCAAATATAGTATAACTTATTGGAATATAGTATGAATCTTTTTGTAATAGTATAACTAATTTAAATATGTACTCACCTGATGAAATACATAAAGTGACATAAGAATGAATAAATATGAATATGATGGGCCGCTATCAGATAATAGTGTTGGTGTTAAAGCTACAAGTATTGCAGCTAACGGTCCAACCAGCAAACGAAGTGGGAATGCTCGAAGCCATAGAGATAAAGGTGCCGGGCCTGTTGTGTGTTTTGCTAATATCTGAAATTTATACCGACATACATCTTAATATTGAAATTAATAATTAAACCACAAGAAAATAAATATTATATGTCATTGCTAAGCCTAGACATTGTATATTTAAGCTGGGTGTAATGAACTATAAATTATAAATTCAATTTTACAAAACACATTTTTTGTGTAATTAATATAATCAGTAATACTATTAAGTTAATAAGTACAAAATAATTGTACTGAAAATAAAAGTCAAAGCCATGATGAAAGTCAGTAAATATAATTTGTATATAATTTGAACAGCTATATAAATATATGATCTAAATCATATATCAATAATTACTAACCACAGGCATGATAATTTGCACAGGAACTAACGGTACTGCTAGGAGCGCCAAATCTTCTCTAGGAACGCCTGCTTCTACTAACTTTAAGCCGGAAACAGCATCACTTGCACAGAAACCGAGCTGAAAAAACAATTACATAAGCAAAGAAAAATTCTCCTTGAAACTTATTGTACCAATAGTGAAATTTAATAAGTTTCTTAATTACCTTAGCCGTGAATAACACTAAAGTCAACGTTCTAACAGCTGGCAATTTCACAATAGTATATAGTTGTTTGTATGCATTCACAATATCTTTCATACCCTTTGTTTGACTTTCTTTTGTGTTAACAGTATCATTGGCTTCATGTTTGAATATTGCTATAAAAGTTGTCGTAACAATAAAAACCCAGCCCCAGAAAAGTAAAAAGCTAGCCAAAGTTACAAGGCCAGTTTCTTCGGGTACTGTCCTTAAATACTTATTGCAAAAATATGGAGACTCCAGAGCTAAGAATAATACATAACCAAGGAAAAATCCCGCCGTTTGGCCAACTGTGTTACATGTAGAGGCATGTCCAACATTACACCTAAAAAAAATTGTTCCTTTCAATATCAAGCTAATAATTTTAATTCACAGATATACAAACTATTTAATTCTTCTATTTATGTTTATATTTACATTCAATATTATAACTAATATAGAATTATATGTATAATGGCAACTTAATGAGATCTAAGATTTTTGTGAGTTTTATTTCATTTAAATGAAACTAATATTTTTCAGATTATACTATGCGACTTAATTTTTGTAAAAAATTACATACACCCTATGTTTCAGCTACTTTACAATAACCGTGATTACAGGCAGACAACATGTGAATATCTGTTGATTGGTCAGACCAACTGATTATTAACTAACTTATTTATTATAGAGGCATTTGAAGACAAATCCTCACCTCTTAAGCATAGTCAGAGCCCAACCATCAACAGCGATATCTTGAGTGGCGGCCAGAAAGTTGAGTAATAAAAATGTTACAGTAAGTATCATCATTGATGGAGCCTTTTCTTCTGACCCCAGCCAGTCGGTTATACATGTTGACATCAAAATCATGCCTATACCAATTAAATATTGTACAGGAACAAGCCATGTTTTCCTTCTCCCAAACTTCGGCCAGAATAATGCATCCACTATTGGAGCCCACAATAGTTTAACACTGAACGGCCAATTGACAAAACTAAACTCAGCCTGTAATTTAAAAAATAGGTTTTTTAAATATTTATTACTTAATAAAATCTACTGATTTCTTATGTAGCAAAGTCGTGTAATTGTTGAATTAAAAAAGTAAATAATGACAGGTAGAAATATAAATTATGCATTTAATTCCGTTCTATACCTTAAATTTAATTTCAAGCAATAGCAAAAGCAATTAAAATTTGCGATTATTATTTTTTTATTGCCTATTAGTTTTTAATTACCTGTTGAGTGTATGTAATGCCACGATTTTGTAATAACATAGGAACAGCTCCAGCCAGACCCAAAGGGATGCCTTGAAGTGTGTATAGAAAGAGTAAAACTGCTATGTTTAATTCATCCCCTTTTATATTACTTTGATTAAAAACTGGATCACCATTTTCAATCAATTCTTCCTTTTCATGAGAACGTTTTCTTTTAGTTAAAGACATTATGGCAGACTGTAACGCCTAATATAACAGGAGAATTATTATTTTCAGTATAAATAATACACGTTTGCCAACAATTTACACCACGTCAATAAATATTAAAAATGTAAACAGCTATCACTGTTTTACCTTAATTGTCACAGTTAGTACAATTCAGATAATTTATTAATTAAACTGGTAAAACTATGTAATTTTTGTTTTATTTTTCGACGCTTTTATTTAATTTTCCACTTCTATAATCTATAAGATCTAAATTTCCGTATTTTTCCCAATTAATCAAATGTCACTGTCACAAAGTGAATCAGGCAGGTGACTGGCTGTCCTATCAATTGTTTGAAAGTGCGTGGGAATTTTAGTATGGTTGCTGAATAAACGTTCTGAAATAAATCAATAATAAGTTTTTCAATATTTTTAATTAGTACTATTAGTAGTTTATAAATATATATTTTTTTCTATTTATATCTTCCATATAGAACATTTAATTTTAAAATAAGTATTGAATATTAACTTATTTACAGTTCCAATAAACTTTTTTTTAATAAAAATGTTGTAAGGGTTTTAATACTGTGACATTTGTTCACTTATTATTTTTTTGTTTTCTGCCCTTAAGGCCTTAAATATTACATCGAATAAAGGAATATACGAAAATAATTTGTTTATATTTCTCTTCAAATATTTTTAGTGGTAATTATAATAAGAATCTAAAATCCATATAAATAATTCAGCATTTATTACAGTGTTTAGTTTAGTGAGGAATTAGGGTATGATAAATATTATTCCTATTAAACTACACTCTTCATCCTATGACCCTTCGCCTGATTTATGAATATATATTAGTTCATACATATGTTCAGTTCTTTAATATTTTAAATCCATCTACATTGACATGTAGAGGGTTGGCTTTAGAAAAAACCGAAAATCTAGAGAAAAGAAAATGTGAATAAATCAGCTGTTGTTGTTTGTGGCCACATCTGTCAAATCCTTAGGTAAACGATTTTTGAAAACAGTATTTTTTTTTATTATTTTGTATTGAATAAATTATTTTTTATTCATGCTTTTTAAATAAAACGAATCAAAAATTCTAAACTGTAAAAGAGAATGATACGACAATGCTTCCTACGATGTTTACTAGATTCGCATTCACCTATTAAATTACCACATAATGTAGACGTTATAGTGGGACGCAGTAAAATTACTAAAATAAAAGACCAGTCCTGTTCTCGTCAGCAGAGTAAGTAAAAAATAAGTTGGTTTTGCAGGCAAAGAATTTAGACAGGTTTAGAATTTGCAAAAAATTATTACTCTCCATTGTGATTATATTTCCAGTTACTTTAAAAGCCGATTGTGAAGAATGCTCTGTCGAATTAAAATCGATTGGTATTAACCCATCAGGTCTGGATGGTTTTGCTCTAGAGAGAAATGGCTTGTATAAAGTACAACATGGCAGCAGGGTAGAGATTTTATTAAACAATTATATTCATGTAATTGAGTTTGAACCACCACCTGATAATTACAATGAACAAAAACAGAATAAAAGGAAACTGGAAGAAGACATTGTGGATTCAGCTCCACGGAAGAAATCGAAAACTGAAGCTGAGTTAATTAAAGTCGGTATGAAAGAGGCTGCAAGAGATATGTGGGAAGAAATTGATAAAGGCGAAGTGTATATGTTTACGGCTAAGGGAGTAAAATCTAGTAGTAGAATAGCAGCTTTTGATATGGACGGAACATTGATAAAGACTAAATCGGGGAAGGTTCATCCCGTTGACGTCAATGATTGGCAAATCGCCATGCCACAAGTCCCACAGAAGCTGTCGGACAAACTCGGTGAAGGTTACAAGATTGTGATACTAAGTAATCAATCACCAATCGGAAGTGGCAGAGTTAAAATTGATGATTTTAAGAAGAAAATTGAGGGTCTAGTCCAGAAATTAAATGTCCCAATACAAGTGTACTTAGCTACAGGTAAAGGAATTTACAGAAAACCTATGACAGGCATGTGGAAACTTTTATCTGAAAAGGTATTCTTCCATTTCATATAATTAATATTACAATTATTTATTGTTAGTTGTTTGTACCAATTTTAATATTTGTGATACAAAAATACTTTATTGTCTGTCAATTCCTGCGATTAGCAATATATTTTTCTTAGATCTTCACTTTTTAACTTCTTAAGTCGAGTAAAGTTTATTAAAGTGACGTTTTCATCTAGACCACCATGATAATGATTGTTGAAAAACATTTTAAATATCAAGATAGTAACAATAATGTTGTACTTATAAGCAAGTCATAACTGATTAAAAGCATTTTACGTAAATTGTAATAAAATACCAGTGCCATCTATAAAGTCTTATTTTATGGTATATAAAGATTAATTTTATTTATTTTCGCAGTATAATGATGATATAGTAATTGATATGGACAATAGTTTCTACTGTGGAGATGCAGCAGGCAGAGCTGCCAATTGGGCTCCGGGAAGGAAGAAAGATCACTCAATGGCTGATATACTTCTAGCCGAGAACCTGGGACTTAAATTTTATACACCAGAGCAGTTTTTCTTAGGACACTCAATTGCAAATGTTCCAATGAGCAAACCGGAATTCATACCAAAGGAACTTAAAGCAGAGCCTTTTAATGAAGATTTAATTAGCAATGAAAAGGAGGTTGGTTATAGAAATAGTATTTAAAATGTAATGTTAAAGAAATATTATTTCTATATATTGTCATATTTTTTCAGCTACTTGTTCTGGTAGGCTATCCTGGTAGCGGAAAATCATTTGTAGCAAAATTAATTGAACAGAAATCAGGAAACAGATATGTTACAGTGTGTAGAGATGTTCTTGGTACTTGGCAAAAATGTGCTTCGGAGGCAACTAAGTTATTGCAGGTATTTTATAATTTAAATAGTATGAAATGGTCAATGAGGTATTTTTATAAAAGTCCTATCCTATTCAATGAAACCAAATGTGGAAATCTATCTATTAGTATGAATGGAAAGTACATTCACCATTTTTTATGTATCTATAATCTCTCAACAAGAAAACTCATAGTTTTGTAGATTGTTATGCTTAAATTATTTGATAAAACTGTTAACAGTTTAATTTAAAATTAATGATTATTTATACATGATATTAATAGAGAGCACAATAATATAGCCTTAGTATATGTATTACATAGTTAATACAAAAATTTTACTATATTTTCAGCAAGGCAAAAGTGTGATTGTAGACAGCACAAATCCAGACATTGAATCCCGGTCTCGTTGGACCACATTAGCAAAAAATTTAAAGGTACAATGCCGTTGTGCAAGGATGATGACAACCAAAGCACATTCATTACACAATAATAAGTTTAGAGAGATTATGAAGTTTAAACATGTGCCCGTCAATGAAATAGTATTCCATAGTTACAAGTAAGTGGGTTTTTTGCGTCCCATTAATAATATAATTTATAGTCATAGATATACTGAATGGGCGATCTCGTAGAATTATTCACATAATTTATTAAATAACAATTTATTTTTCAGGAATAAATTTGTTTCACCGTCACTAACGGAGGGATTTAAGGAAATCATAGAAGTCAAATTTAATCCCACTTTCAAGGACGAAGAAGCCCAAAAAATATATAGAATGTATTTATTGGAAAAATAACAATTTATAAAAATGTCTTTGGAAAATATGAATAAAACGTTTTAAAATATAGCATATTTTTTTATTGCAAAACTGACTTGACAAATGACAACCAACTTTGATATTTATAAGGCCGATTGCTATTAATTATGCCAGAAAATACGTGTTTGTATTTTCGACCTTGACATTGACAGTTGATATTACGTTCCTGAATTCAATGTTTTATTTTCATTTATTTACGTAGAATCTTGAATCTACATAAATAAATAACGTGTCGGTGTTAAGGTCGACAGTATAAACTATGAAACACATTATATTATATATATAATGTCTAATACATATTCCATATAATTTATAACTATAAAAGCATAGAATTATAAAAATATATCTATATAACAGTAATATGTGCTTCATTATAAAACTTTTAAGGCTGCCAATGATTTACATCTATTCATTATATGATACAATATGTTCTAAGCCATGTGATTTAATTTCCAAAAAGTTACTAAGTGTGTAAGCATTTATTTTACATGTCAAATACATACTGAGATACAATAATTATTATCAATTACTAGAATATAGGCACATTTTTCTCTAATTATCATAGTGAAAGGCAATTTTGTTAGCGATATTACAATATTATATTTTAAAATATCTTCTAAATATTTTTTTCAGTAATAAAAACTCTACATTTTTATCCAGTAAAAGTACAATTGTGTTTCTTACTATATATTAAGAATATACAAAACACTTGAATCTCCATACTCTTTTAATGTATTTTTTTGGCTTGTATTTCGAAACACATATACCTATAACTTTTGAATAATTGTTGAATATCACAGCAGGTGATATTGTAACTAATTTTGAAATCGTTAATGACGAAATTTCGGTATTATTTACATGTATGGACGGATAATAGCAATTTTTTAAAATCATATAACAGGTTTAACGTCTTACAAAAAGCTATTAAACACTATTTTTCATTTACCAATAGAACGATTTCAGCAATGTACTTTTAACATTATGCTATTTTTTTGCGTTGCAGAAGTTTTATATATTTTAATTGACTAAAATTGAAGATTTTTCTCTTGTTTTAAAAATCTTCTTTAAAACGACATATATATTTTGTTTGATGATATTTACAGAATTTTCTACAAAATGAGCACTGATTTTGCGTAAATTGTTAATGGATATTTTATGAATTGTTTATGTTTATTTAGTGATGATGATTATAGTTTTTGGTTCATGTCATTCGCCGTCAGCATCCAGACCTTCATCATCATCTTCTAACAGATTATCAAGACTCGAATCCGAGTCATCTTCTTGTCATCTGAAAAAATAATAATCTGTGTTAACGTTGGCAAATCTAAAGGTACTTTAAACAAACTAGTAAATAATCTATGAAGCAAATAGAAATATTGCACAAATGTTACGGGGCCAGCTCAAAATAGGGTCATCTTTATTGATCTATATTCTATTCAAGGACATAAATAAATACATAGTTGTCAAACGACATGAAGAACATGAAACAATGAAAACAAAACACCATAAAACATCATGTCACGGAATTTATATCACAAGTTTGGATGAAACCAGACACTTTGCCTAGTTTCAAATTTACTATATATCACAAAGCGAACAGGCGGCCTCTTGGAACGGCTACATGCTTTAAAAAAACAAAAGGTAACAATAATAGAAGAACGCTTTAATGAATCACTTGAGAATAGCATTGTCAATACTAGTTCAGGTCAAGAAAAATTTTCTGTTACCAAGTCCTTTATTACTTACTCATTTAAAGTTACAATAATAGTAACATTAATAATTCCTAGCTTTTTTCATCTTACACAAAATATAGCGTATGTAAATCATGTATAGGGCAACATTTCGAGGCTGATTTGAAGCAGGTTTTTATCGGTGAATAAATTATAATTCCTGAAATCAGCAGTCGGACCAGAACTTTCATAGATTACCCTCTTCTCTTTTTTTACATTTACACATGTAAGACTACCATAAAAGAAAGAAATCTTCAAAATGTTTGCTTACCGTTAGCTACCACACTGTTGCTACGCAAATATGAAATAACTTTGTATCGACTTATGTTTAAAGTCAGTTGGTATATACCTGGCTATATAAACGGTGTCAACGTGGGTGAGTCTGGCTGAGGGAGCATGTCTTCGTCTTTTCTCGATGGCTCCACGTGCATGATGAACGGCCAAGTCTCCGCACCAACGCTCGCATCGCGCGTATATCACTACGCCTGTCAAAATATTATATCCTATTGAGGGATCTTACAACAGTTTTGTTTTTGGAAATGGTTTAATATATATTAACTGTTGATTATTTCATAAACAGGGCAGTTTAAATTACTATGAAAACTTGTGATTTTAGATGTTTTGACCAATCTTTAGATATGTTTCAGGTGAAATACACTTTATTTGTTCTGGTATCTAGTGGAGTTTTCCACTGAAACTTCTTAAGCGATTCCCGTGAGATATCTGTTAAAAAGTGAAACATTTGGACAATTAGCGAAGGATAGAATTTCGTATTAAGTAATAAATTAATTGAAATATATTTAAGTATGTAGGTACGCTAAATTATAAAACATAAAAATATGACAAGAGTTCTGAAAGGAAAGTTTTTGTTTTTGTATAAAGAATAATAGTTAAAAAAATAATATTTAATAATTTTTTCATTCGACTTCTCCACATAGTAGTCAAGGTTCGTCCAACAAATAAAAATCATTAACATTGGTTAAATCTTTTGCGATTCCAGTGCGAATGAAAACATAGCATAAAATGAATAATAGTTCAAAGGTTGTTGTTTAAAATCTATAAAAGTGGTCAATTTATTTTATTACTTTTAAAATTTGTAACCATAATTGTAAAATCCGGAGAAGTACTACATACTTGTCTTTGAAATAAATATATATGTCAGTTACACTTAACATATATATTTTTTTGTTATAAAATTAATTTCTTTTATGTTGCCATATAATATATTACCAACCTGCTCCCGCAAAGAGTATTATAGCTGGCCAGGAACTGACGAGTAACGGAGTCAGTAGTAAAACAGATATTATCAATGTGAGCGGTGCTTGTATAGTCTGGAGCCGTTTGATGCCTATGTTGTGAGACGGCTGCCACGCTATGATCAACAGCCCACATAACCATACTGGATAAACAGAAATAAAGTCACATATATTACTTATTAGCTTTCCGCCCGCAGCTTCGTCCGCGTGGAGTTCGGTTAAATCGCGTTTCCAAGAGAACCTTTCAAAATTCTGGGATAAAAACTATCCTATGTTCTTTTTCAAGGTCAACTCTATCTCTGTACCAAATTTCATTAAAATCAGTTCAGTGGACAGAGTTACTTTCGCATTTATAATATTAGTAGGGATATAAAGGTTACACAATATTAAGATGATAATGAACATGAAAGATATTGTTTTATTTTATAAGTACAGTATAAAGTTTCATATATACTGGTGGCTGTAATTATTTTTATCTATGAACAGTTCAAAATGCCAAATTGAAAAGTAGGTAATCCGCTGTCGTGTTAAACGTCCTTCAAACGTTGACATTGGCAATTTTTTCTACAATTACAATGAGAATGAAGCCATATTCACGAACGCCTCTTTATAGTTCAGTACAATATTCAGACATGACATTGGCGAAATATTATGACATGACATGACATTATGATATGACATTGGCGAAATATTAGTAAACGCCAATAATCAAAGAATCGAATAAAAAGTAATGAAGCCATAGCATAAGATAAAAATGTATCTTATATCTTGTATTTTCGGGATATAATTATGGAGTTAATATTTGTAATATCCTTACACGGCACTCCAATAGCGAACATGGGTATACGCAGGTTTTCTTTACAGGAACCGATGGCTATCAAAGCGTCGGATATCACTTGTACCGCTGCTCCTACGGCTGACCACTTAGCTCCACGAATACAGGGTGGTGTAGGGACAGTAGCTTCTGGGATTGCTGTTACTACCTAATGACAACAAAAACTTATCAATCAACCCACAAACTTAATTGTTTTAAGTACATGTACATGTAAAAACCAATAGAATATAATTTGGATTTGATTATTGAACATGTATAAATAAAGGCATTTGAAAAACTTTTATTCGTTTAACTTCGTAGATATCATCATTATGACGTATAACGTTATGACGCTTCCAAAACAAACTGTATTCAATTTAGATAATAAAATATTATCATTAAAGAGGATTTATAAAATGAACCTGTATTCTGTCTCTGTATTCCTTAACAATCGCATCGATATCAGTGGAGTCATCTCCTGAGGTTTCAGCATCGCTGCCATCTATATCAGACTGTACGTCTTCTTCTTCAGCCAGAGCGATGACTCTTGTACCGCTGCTGCCGCTGGTCACGTGATCTATTTCCTCCGTAGGACACCCTGTATACTCGTCTAGGAGAAGGCATTCACGATCATCTGGATCTAACATAAGAATTTTTCATATTTATGCGTTGACATATTTAAAAAAAAAATTCTAATTGAATGTAATTTAAATAATTTTGATTAAAAAAAGTTTATATTTAACTTATGAGATAAAATATATTTATATACCACATTTTTAGGCTATTTTTTGTATTTTTTTTTTAATATTTCGATTCGTTTCAAATTTTTTGTATTAATAGGAAAGGAAAAGAAATTACAAAATGAAATTAAATTTGAGACTACAATACTTCTTACCTTTGCCGACTTTAGATTTTATGCTTTCAAGGGTTTTTGTATGACGAATAGCTGACGGTATGAACCATAGACCTCGTTTTGCTTTTTTCTCAGAACATTTCGCTGTACGTGCAGTAGTTTCATTCCCGAGACGTTTGTATTCTATATCTGTATATAAAATGAATTATTTAATATGTTTACGTGTGTAATGTAAAGAAAAATCTTTATTTGTACCTCCAGCTTCCATTTGTTCGGCCGTGGGCACACATCGCAATACGATAAAATGAAACGCCTGGATTGTAATGCCAAGTAAGTGACTGGCATTCATCAGTGTTATCATATGTGACAAGGGACAAGCAAATGCTAGAATTGCTGCAAGACTTCCTAGAAAACAGATAATAATTAATATAATATTAAAGTAGTGCGATAAAATTAAAATGATTTAATATTATTTTACTATTTAATCAATATTTTCCTTCTTTTCTTAATATATAAATAAATTGTTTGGTTGTCAATTATGTTAAATGTAAAATGAACTGGGAATTGGGTAATTAGGTAATCCGAAAAGGGAATTATAATATTGATTACCTGCAGTAAATACTGCCAGGACCGGACTGCCTGTTGTAGTACTCTCATAAGTCATGGATCTCGTGAGAACTTTCCATTCTGGTGATGCCAGTGTTACTAGTACGTTAAACAATAACGGACAGAGTTCCGTCAAAGCCAGACAAATCCCTGCTACTGTTATGGCAGCTAATACAGGACAAATCCATCCCGCAGCTCTAGCCTCTAATAAAGTTGTTACAGGTAACGCAGCGTCAATAGTCGTTCTGAAACATGATATGACAAATGAAGTACAGTAATTCAAAATATATTATTTGCATTTAGAGTCTAAATCTTACCCCTTCAGCATATTTGTGTAAAGGAAACACAGAGTGGCTAATGATAATGTAGGTAAAACAATCATTACAACAATCTTCTTCTTTAAACTCTCGTCTTCCTTTGGTGGTAAAACCACGGCAAAAGCATAGGAAATAGGCGCAGCTGCTGTAAACAACTGAAAATACCATATTAATTTACAGAAAACAATAAAAAAATATAATTGAAATATTAATTCTTGACTACCTCGTAAACAGTTATTGGTATGGGCATTTTTATATTTGTTATATCTAAATTCATCAAACCAAATATTGCGAAGCACTGGCTGAAGATATATAGCACCACCAATAGCATAAACGTGAACATTATGCTCTCCTGAAAACAGATATACATCTATTATGTAAAAGAAAGTTGTGTTAGTTACACTATTTATAACTCAAGAACAGCTGTAGAGAAATGGTTGAAAATATGTGGGGAGGAATCTTAGAACCAGGAGACGGATATAAGATATTTAATTCTGTTTGATCCCAAAAAAATAACCTGAATTATCAGTATCTGGTTATTTACGGCCTCTCGAGCGGAATGAGTTTGCCCGGTCAGCTTTACAAATATTACTAATTTCGAAATTAACGCAGACAAAGTCTTGGGTAAAATCTAGTTTTATACTAAAAAGATATATGCATATAAACGTATATGAGAAGCTATGTATTAAACTCACCTCTAAGCCACACATAAACATGGCGCATACAATCATAACAACAGTGACTCCTAATACATCAGGCCAGGGTTCACCCAATGATCTTGTTTCGTATCCAAACAACCACCGTCTTGTACGTCCTGCGGTAACGTGATCTGCAGTAGCACTTAGGATTCTAGCACATACAGCTACTGCAACAAGATGGGATAAGAACGACATCCATAACGCCATGAAGTCTGCAAACGATCTCAAATTCCTCTCACGCCGACCCCTCACAGTTTTATTTGGTGGCAGCAGTTCATCCAGACTCTTTAAATCTCGTGACGTAAACGCTGAAAATAGAAATAGTTTAGTTACCTTATTTAACAGTTTAATTATTCTCAACAAAATTCTAATAAAGAAAGCTATTCAATCTATTTACTAGACTTTTTTTTAAACATTTAGAAGCAATATGTTGACTTACTGGCTAATGTTATGAAGGCAGCTAGCAGTATTATTGCCAGGACAGCACAATAGCTTGAGTTAGCAGCGGCAAGAGGAGCTAGCAGCAGTGCCCCGAGCGTCCACCGGGCACCGCAAGCCTCTCCACCGCCCAAAACACTCAGTCTACTCATTTTATAGTTGTTTACTTATGATACTTCATTAGGTTTACGAAGCTAAAATAATAATTAACTTTATATATTTTTGGTCTTGTTTAAAGATGATTCACTTAAATTAGAGACAATTGTTATATTTCTAAAAACCTGATGTAGAATTTTAATAAAGCTATATCTTCTTATAAAATTTATTAGATTCTACCATCAGTTTTTTTTTTGGTTTTATGTAGGTACTTTTGTAGTCAAGGTATCAATGCTTAATTAACGACTGGAACAGTTAAACGTAAATATAATTTTGTTATGTAAATTTCAATCGATTTAAGAATAATTTTGCCTAATGATAGTTTCATGCCTTTTCAGATATTAATGTTATAAGGAAGATATTTATTTGTTTATAAGTTATTCATTTCTTTATGTTATTATTTTCTTATAATTTAATTAAACACTTTATATTGATATTACGGAACTAAAGTAACATACCATGATTGTGATCACAGATTAATTGATATACACCAATCACTACATATTGCACTTATGTTTTTAATGATTTTGTTATAGAATATTTAAATGATAGAAGTATTCCCGTGTAAGCAACACGCGGATAAGGTAGCTTTTCAGTTTTCATGCGACAAACAAGAGAAGAATAGGTGTATACTTCCGTCTCTTTCATCTTTCTATAAATCGATACAAAACTGGGGCTAGGGTGACCAACAAAACAGACAATTTCGACATTTCACTTATTAAAAAAAATCATATACTTGACACAATATATTCTATAGTTTTTATGTAACAACTAGAAATTGTAATATATTTTTAAGTTTATTCAATTATAGCAACTAACAAGATTGCAAGTTTCATTTGTGCTGCTTGGTAACGTGTAATTTATGATAAATTGAAGACATTTTCCTTAATATTAATTTCCGAAAGCGCCTAAGAAACTTGAAAATTTTGAAACTTATTTGCCAAAACCTACAACAATAAGCAGCGTAATTTTATCTTTGAAAAAAAATTTCTTAAGTTGAAAAATGATTGATGCTTTAATTGTTAAGACAGGATTCTTTAATCAAGAAATATGTATAAAATTGAGAAAATAGTATTTTAGTTTCTAAAAATTGGACTTGCTATAACTATTGGCTATCTTGCATGCATTTTCCAGTTGAAACTGACGCATTAAAATAAATTAGAAACAAAAGTGCATTTATTACATTAATGTACGCGAAATATATAAATATTGTGGTTGATTATGGATAACATTATAATTTTAATTTTATTTCAAAACATATTGCTATATTAATGATCCGTTGAAAGGCATTACAGATACAATAAAAAAGTTTTTGGAGTTTTCGAACATTAATAGCATGTAAATATTATAAGTTTGTTTTTTATTACCTTGCTTCCCAACTTTTAATAGTTATGCAATTGTGTCTTACGAAGAATCCCTAAGGAATTTGGTGATGGAAATTTCTACGAAAAATACTTAAAACATCTATATTCTTTAATTCTAATTAAGGTATTATTCCTAAAGTTCCTGCTATAAACATTTAGTGTGGTTCACATAGAAAAACTTTTAGGGCTTCTGATAAGAAAATTTAATTGTAACGCAGTTAATTTAATGTGACAGTATTAGCAAAATAAGGTTTAATATGATAACCGGTCAAAGTTCTACAATAAAATAGACAATTTGTATGATAATAAGAACACGTAATACGGGACAAGTAAGAGATGCCTGTTAATTAAATTATCTTTTGACTCAATGTTCGTCACTCGGTTCGCGGAATAAATACGGATATTACGGATGACACAACGATAACATTGGCTAATTAAATAAATAATGTAAATAATTTTTATCTTCCGGTATTATGTGAATCAATTAAATGGTGTATATATAGTGATACAACATTGTATATATTTTTAATCTGTGCAAAAAAAGAAATCTAAAGTATCATTTCATAAATTCGTAATATATATTTATTAATTAGGTAATTATTGTGTATCCGTCTGTTACTATGCCTGGGAAAATCTGAAACTATCAACCTATTTTCTTTTCGTTTTTTTTCAATTTAACTTTTTTTCTTCAATATAACAATTGAATGAAAGAATCCAATTAAATTTTTATACGTCTTCTATTCCTAATAAATCTATAGGAACCGTCGTATGTCAATATATTTGCTAATTTTTTTTAAAATTAATAACTCACCAGTAAACTCATTTTTTATTCTTTGGTCTTTTAAAGGTCTTTTCCTTATTATAATTTGCGATGTTTGCAATTAAACGGTCCATTAAAACAGCTTATCTTATTAAATAAACATTTAAATTATAAATGAATATAAAAACATGTTGTTTTATAAAGACTCAGTCTCGCCTTCACCGATAACAATGCTTATAAATTATTTAGCGATAATATTCTTTTGTTTGTTTTAACTTATGAGATTCTTTTAATAAATAAATATCAGCAAAGAATACTTTTTATACGTTTGTTTCATCATACGATAGAGATATCAAATCTTTTCTACAAAGCTTGAAGTTATTGTAAAAGACAAGATGAGATATGTCTTAGAGATCGGATCTTTGTTCTTAGAATACAAGTAGGTATGTGTGTATAAAAGGCTTTGTTTTTATTTGAAAATCGATTATAATATTTTATTCCTAAAAAACAGTTCTGCCATGTCAGTTTTTGATGAAATAAATTCATGTGTATTGTAAATAATTTTGAGTAAAATCATTTATATTTTCAAAAGTATGTATATGCTACATATAATAATAACTTATTAGAAATGGTTATGTTTCTTCAATTGTTATTTAATATATCTAATTCTTTTTTAAAGACACTGACAAAATAATCACAACATTTTTTTTCTTTCTTATCAGACCGACGATTGCTTTTAATTATAACATTATTTCACAAATGCGAATAATATTAAGCGTTAAAATAATTGGCAAAACAATTGCTTCAATTATATGATATTTAAAAAATGAGTTTTAAGTTCCTAGATAAGTATTTTTAAGAAAATCGTAGGCCTAATTTCAGGCTGGCACTCTCCCCACTGACTCCTTGGAAGATAACCTTAATTTTTTCACAATAATTTAAACAACCATCTTTTCTAAATACAATATATGAAAAAAAATATAACAATAGCTGTCAGTCAATACACAACAATACGATTGTTTTCAACGAATGTTACGGTGTACTGAAAGAGCTTTCAGGCGTAGAAAAATAGTTTTAAACAAAATAAAAAAACAGTTTGCCGAGAACAATGTAACCTAACCTACTGAGTTCTAAGTATTTCGCGTGGGCAGTTGTCCGCGTTCCCTTATAAGCGACGGGAATGAAGCTACCAATCACTGTACCTTATAACTTTGTGTGACACTGTCGTCAGTAACTGGTTAGCGGGAATTCCCATTATGAAGTGTAATACAGGACTTTTTGTTTTAATTCTCCTCTGCGTCATTGTTATTTTGGAAGCATATCCAATGATTAATGGGAACATTGATTATGTGAGTATTTTTTAAAATTAAATACACATAAATAAAATTATTTTTTTAAATTAAAACTAATGTATTTTTTGAATTAGTTATTAAAATGAATTTTATTTGTAGATTCAATAACTCATATTAAAAAGGAGTATGAGATTTTCTTTAAAAAATAATTATTGCAACTTAATTCATTAGTTTGTTTAACGATGTATAAATATTTTTTTTGGGTGAAAAAGTAATAAAATCTGATTCTATTATGATTTTAAATCCAAGTTATTTTCTATAATATAAAAGTTTTTCATGTAGTTGTTGAAAATATTTAGAAAATGCATTTGATATATATATTTTAATCATAAAGTGAGAAATGAAAATTAAAAACAATAGCAAATATTCAACTTCAGCACTAATAACAACAGAGTCGAAATGAGAGCCTTTTTCTAGGTTCTTTGAACCTTACATTTAAGTATATGAATTATTTAATTTATTTTCTAGCTGGAAGCCTTACGACGTATGAGGCAGGTTCCTCAATGGCATTGCATGAGGTACAGACGATTCCAACTTCACAGCCCTTGCAGCCGATGGTGGATGATGAGAAGAACTTGATTACAATACAGATGTCGATGGAAGTATCGATGTTGAAGAATATGTGAGAGAATATAGCCTTAGAAGTCCAAACTTAATAAAAATCATCTACAATGGACTTTAGTAAAATGACTGGCACTATAGCAATACACAAATGAATCTTTAGGTTAATTATTATTAGATTTATATTTATTATCTTTTAAAATAATTGTCTATTAGAGAAACAAAAATAGAATAGATATTGTTCAAGAAATTAAGTCAAAAAATGAGATGTTTTGAGAAATTTGGCTCATTATTTGATCTTTGACTTGAATAAAAAAAACATTCATATCTATCAAGTTTTTACTTCTTATATATATGTGTTATGTTTATCATTGCAATGTCTGAACTGCGAACTCTGTTTATCATATAGAATAAATCGTATTTAATTTGTGACATTACATTTCCTGAGTTTCTTACAAGGCCTGCAGTATACTAGGTCATTTCTAGTAAAGTATTGATTTGGTTCTTATTAGTTGCATTTGTTATTTATTAAGACGCTAGTAAATATAAGACGTAAGTGAAAATATATAGAAGTATGTCATACTTATAACTTACAATTTATATATGGTTTTCTACTTTTTTAAAGTATAATAGGATTTTTTTGTGGTATGATGTATTTCATAAGGACTTTTACGCACTTACATACTAGTAATCTCATAAATTTTATCCGAATATTACTTTATAAGAATAAATACAGAACTTTTAAATATAATAGTGTATTTTCCTGTTTTAGTACTTATCATTAATCATTTTATCAATATGGTCAATAAAATATTCGATTCCAGGCTTGATTTTTATTTTTTCATCTAGATTTACAATTTTACAAATAATTGAAACGGGTCGAAAATAATTAAGTATATTTTTGTTAATTTATTTTTTTATGAGTCCAAAGGTATAATTTTGTTAATTTTCTATAGTAGTTCAAACAACTATAAAACGATAAAAGAGAAGAAGTATGTAAACGATACCAAACAAAAAAATATTGTCTTATACAGTTTTATAATTTTTTATTTAATATGATAATGCAACAATTGATACAGTATGTAATATAAACATAAAAAAAAACAAATAGTTTACAATATATTTATATTTGGAATTTTATTATAAAAAAGTATTAATAATTTAATTTTATCATTTATTCATACATATTAATATTGATCATTAAATAAATGTGTTCGGTATGCAATCAAACTTGAAACCGTTGCTCTTGGAAATAATATTTATGGACTTCATATAACATATTTATTATTTTATTTACCACAATTTAAAGTAATTTGACAGAAAAAAAAAACAGTCAAAGTGACACCAAAGAGGTCGTATTGCATAATATAAAGGTATTGGTGGTTGAATAAGAAAAGTACATTCTTATAGGATATAAATAGAAAAACGCCTTACATTTATTATATACAAAATTGCATAGCGTGACTGCGGCAAAGTCGTTTAAAACATGAGCTTATTTAATTTCAGCGAGTTTAATAAAACTTGTTAGAAATTGTATGTGAGATTATAAAGAAATGCATTCGATAAGTTCGTTCAAACATTTATATATTTCTTTATCTAATTGAAACAGTTTTACGTTTCGCCATAAAAAGGTTGCTTATAAAGCGTACCGTGAAAAAGAATATAAGTTCCACAAAGCTGAGTAAACTCGCCCCAACAAACAAACCCGCAGCGCTGCCCAGAGATACTGAAAATTATATTTAAATACAAATACAAATACTCGGAATTACTCTTATCAGTTGCTTAATTGTTTATTAAGTTTATATAATGGTGTTGGCATGAAATTTTTCGTGTTAGAAATGGAAATATGCCTTTATGTCATTACTTACGTAAAAGTATATGATTATTTCAAATTATATTAAGAGACAGACATTCAAATTTATTGAGTACAAAGTATTGTTTTTTTTAATACTCACCAACTAAGTCCAAACGACTCCTGACAACATTACGTTTAAATCTCTCAGTCGGTAAATAAGCAAGCGATAGTTCAACGACACTCTTTTTAGTTTTACGTTTGAACCTAAAATATAAAAAAAAAACACCTACTTCAATATTAAATTATGAACAAACATAATTTTTTATAGAAGTAACTTTAGTTGTAACGAAGAAGAATTATAGTTTTTCCCCTTAAATATTTTTCGAAGTTAAATGACTTTATAAGTTTACAGTAACCGCTTATAAAGGTTTATAGGCTTTCGAATTGCAACTGATATTTAAACACGATTTTACCTTCTTTTTCAATATATTTTATAATATGGAGACCATCAAAAAATATGTAAGATATTTTTTAAGTATTCAATATAATTTAAATTAAATCTTGGTCTCTTCATGGACTATAATTAGAAAAAAAATATCTATAAGCTGCACTATTTCTAAGAAAAGTAATATATAATGCGTACGGCGTGAACACATCTTTGATGACAGTTATCTCAGTTTCGTCACATGAAGGCAAGCACTCACAGATGAGTCCTGATTTCTGAGCCCAGGGTGGCTTAAAGGTGGTCAGTTGACTGGAATGTGAGTGAAGGCACCACATACCTGTTATATTACATATGTCTGATTCTTCTGAAATAAAAAACCTCTGGTATTATAAAAGCAAAATACAAACAATATTTTTGTCTTTAAAAATGTTCGGTTTCAGCTCAAAGTTATGAAATTACGAGTAGGTTTATTTTGTTAAAACATTCACCTAAGTCAATCTAACTATGGATGGTTAATTTGAAATTTAAGCTTAATAAGTTTAATGACATATATATTGAGAGGTATTATAGTTTGACATGAGAACTTAGGAAGAAAGTCCTTAAATTGTTTGATTATATTCTGTACAGGACAAAGTCAAAATGAGTACGTTTACTAGTACAGTGATTAGAAAATAGTGTTATGTATTGTTGAAAGTTTTAAGAAATGTATCTGAATGATAGTAAGTAAGTAAGCTTACTAGTTCCGAGCATAAAATGGTCATTGCATTGACAGAGATCCATTTGAGCATCTCTTCTACATTTGACGCTACAAGCACTGTATGAATAGAACGGATAAAGTCCACCCTCGTTCTCGTCATGAAACCTGCAGGCTCGTTGCTTAGGAGTCGTCTCAACTAACTGCGGATCATTTTCAATGTATCTCATAGTTACTTGACGACTGAAACAATTAATTCGAGTAATATAAATGATTCATAATTTTATAGAATTAATTTTTAATAGTTTCCGACATATGTTTTGTTTATATCTGTTAAAAAAAATATTATCTTCAAAAATAACTGTTATATATAATATGTTAACCATGAATTTATTATGTTTTTGTTTTCATTAGTTTCGTTTTGCAAATATACGATAATAAAAGAACAAAAAAAGTTGAACCGTATTTTAGTTTAAAAATACTTTAAAATAACTCAAACAAAAAGATTTAATGTCAGTTTCGATCTTTATATACAAAACACGAAAAGATTAGATTACTATAATATATTTTTGTTTATACCGGTAAAACTTTCCGAAAGCAACTTTAAATGTTGACGAATAAAGAGTTGTTACTGTTGGTACCTCGTCTTCACCGAGTGTATAAACCTGAAAAAAGTCAACTGTCTTTATTCAGATCTTAATAAACTTATTTGGATATAAATTGCTTTACCATGGATGTTAATAAAACGGTAAAACGAAGAATTCCCTCCTTTTGTTTTATGTTGCACGCCATTGGATACGGTTTAGGATTTCTAAAATACAATTATATTTTATACGTGAGATTGCTGTCAGTAATAAAGTGCATATTGAATATTAAATATTATATTGACATACTTTGTTTGTATCGAATTTATGATATAACAGGTACCAACGTCCGTAGCTATTGGTTGGAAATATTCACAGCAATCGAATGGTATTCCATTGTAAGAGCAATTCTTTACAAGTTGCTGACACGAACTTCTTACAAGTGATGCGTAATAGCTATAATTGGCAAGAGGACATAGTGGATCTATTTTCTTTGGTAGATAGCAAACTTCAATAAGACGGTAGGCAATTCCTCGGAAGTATGCTATGTCTTTGAGAACATCTTCCAGGTCCCAAAGGTGGTTCGCTGACCAGATACTAAATATGAGACCTAAATATATTGTAATATTTGATTTTATATAGTAATTTGAGGTTCTTTTCAGTGTTTTTCTACGAAGAAGGTGAAAGATTGATGTATGCTTGCTAAATAATTCAGCTGTTATTACGAATAATAGACTTTTTTAAGGTATATTATGTGACAAATACACATATGTAAGTGAATTTAAATACCAATAGTATTGAAAGTAACTCATTCTTACGTACGTTTCTGAGACGTTGTAAATCTGATCATCATTGTTGATTTCGCAGATTGCCACAGTTGGTAGTTTGGTATCCCAATCTTTATAGGTAGTTTCTACACCAAAGCTAATTGGGGAAATAACGAAAGCTTCCCACGACGCCATTATGAGAAGTGCCGATCCATACCAACAGAGAAAAACGAGTACTGCCCATAGCCATCTAATTTGATATAATAGCTATATTAGCATTTTCAATGATTCATAGTACCTACTTATTCTAACTTAAAACTTTGTATACAGGTAGGTTATTTATTTTTTAGACGTAAGCAAAGTTTTAAGCATAATTTTACCTTTCACTCCAATGTCTCTCATCATCAGCTATAAAATGAACTCCCCCAAAACTACAATTCCTACAATACTCCTTTACATGAGATTTGTATGACATTTTAGAAATTTTAAAACGAAATGATACTCGAAAGTCGTAACGATTGTATGTGTATCGTTATTAAAATATTTAGAGCAAGGGTTTTTAATAATTAATAGCATGATTATGCATTGGGTAACAACGTTCACATGATGTTGAATATTTCATGTTGAAGGTCATAACAATCAACATAATTGTTCGTGTAGCAGTTTTGCTTTTTATTATTTATTTATTTAGTTTTATGTTATTAAATCACGCGGTTGGGCTGAAAGAATTTATAATGAAAATATTAATGAATTCAGTTAGACTGTTCTTGTTTTAATTTTTACGTGTTTTACTCAATTTTTTAACTTCTTCTAAATGTTTCAGAAAAAAACACTTTTGGATAAAAAGTAGCTATAATTCGTCAGCACTAATCATGAGTAAATTCAACATAAGCGGCCTTGTAGTTAGGACATAAAAAACATTAATAAACTTTTACTTTCTTAATTTTTATTAAACTGTAAGTCTATAAATGTCTCTGATAAATAATACAATTATGTTATATAAAATTATTTAGAAATAGGTCGAATAAAACAACACACAAAAAGAAGAAACTCATTTATTTACATTGCACAAAAACATTTTCTTTCATCAACAATTAACTATTACGCAAACAAAAAACAAAAGTTTCTCTACAATCGCTATACAGTATACACTTTATGACTACATATAAAACCTCCATTGACGAAGTTATACGGAATTTTAATTAAAAAAAATATATACATACATTTTATTGATTTTCTTATAAATATTGTATTATATTGGAATTAATTTCGAAAGGTATATCGTTGTGATGGAATGATTGAACTTCAGAATGATATTTGGGTATATGATTTATGTATCGTTTACGACCAATAAATCCTGCGTGAGTTAGTATATTGTAAATCTCTTTTCGCGGTATTGTGTCCGACTGGCGTTCGAATACCTGTAATTAATTGATTTATTATATTTTACATGATGAATAAGCACATGACAATCAACTTAGGTTTACAAAGAAAAAACTAAAATCCGTAAGTAATGTACGACGTAAATTTGTCATAAAGGCTGATTTGTAATTATTAATGTATAAATGTTAGTATTAATATGATAAGATGTTAAAATTTTGTGTTTCCAATATCCACTTTGAAACAATTGAAAGGAAATCTTTATCATGACTCCAAAAAGAGACTGAGTAGTAGTTTACCGGTTTTTCTCCTTTATGAAGAAGGCTAGTTAGTTGTAGAGTCTCCAGAAAGTGAGGGTTTCTTAAAGCTGGACTCCTCAGATGTGGTGGTAGCTGTTCTTCAGCATGTCTTACATCCACCACCGCAGGATGAGGTGGTGGTAAGCTCATTACTGTGACCGCGCTTAAAACAACCAGCGCTAATGATGCTCTCGAATTCATTATCTGCGAAGTATTACATATTTAAAAATTTTATAATGATTTGAAATTGACAAATATTAAAATATTAATACATTGCATATATCATATTAGTATAGAGAATAAGGAAGTAGATTTAAGTGAAACCAATTCATAAAGTATGTTATAGCAATTTGTGTTACAACATTACAATGATAAAAGATATAACATTCTCGCCGAGACATCTTATAGAATAACAAAAGGCATACAAAAACATGCCACAAGATTGCATCGTCACACTGCAAATAAAGCAATTTAATTGATTCATTTATAAAGCATTAAACTGTAGTATTAAAGTAGTTTATTTAATGACAAACGGGAAAAGTATCATATCTAGTGTAAGAATGCAAACCTGTACTAAATATGTAGAGAACCGAAAATTTCCATAAACGCGTTATGTTATTATTTATCAATTTTCTGTAGTTTTGAAACGATTATGATTATTTTAAAGAAATATTTTATTTTAGTGAATTAATTATAGTGTTGAATTGATGTTCGTATATCTAAATTCTTATGTTGATCTTAACAAATATTTAGACAAGCAACCTTCTAAATAATATGAAGATCGAACAGTAATTCAAGGCTTTGATAGTCTTCACTTTCAAATAACTTTGGTTACAAGCATTTCTAGAATATTCATGTTATGCTAAAATTAAAATATTTGCTAATGGTATTTTAAATTTATTTCATAAGACATTTCATATTTTACCAATGATCTTTCAAGTGCTTTCAAAAAATAAAAGACAAACCGTGTGTTCAGCACTTAGTCTTTTATTAAAAATGTACATATTTTTAAAATATCTATATAATTACTTTTTTACGATTCATACTTTTCTCAATATTAATGAGGTTTCAACATATTTTTTTGTGTTTACTGAATAAATATTGATATTAAAAGCAACGCATTTACAAATACGCTTTTTCTAAGAAGTATGTAGTTATAACAACCATTGTTGAAAAGCGCTCCTTATTTTAGTTGAAACAAACATTGTAAAAGTGTACACTCAACACTTTATAAAGTATACTGCGAAATGCGAATTATAAAATCAAAGTAATAATTTAATATTTAATAGTATAAATATATTTTTGGTAACTCATTAAACATTTGTCAATCTTTTAGGAAACTGTCTCTAGAATCCATTTAAAAATTATCGCTTAAGTCTACTGAACAAAAGCGTCATATTTTTAGACGTGGACGGTAGGCATAAGTTCACTTAAGAGTACTTCATAGTAGTAGGATTGGATTTTTTTAATATATTTAAAATCCCTAATGTAATATTTATAAACATACGTGTAATATAAAGATGATTAAAATACCTTAAGTCTCGAAAACCACACCTCATTAAATACTATTTAACGATTTTATTCATTCTGAAACAACATTCTGATATATTGCTGTATTACATTTTTAAAATATAATATCACAAATATATTTTAACGAAACAAATATTAAATGCAGTTTCTCATGCAAATAGTGATTGTTATAGCTAAACAAAAATATTTATCATTCTTTAATATACATCCAGAAAATTTAAAAATAACGGCATTTAAATAAATATAATAATGTATGTACGCACTAAGTTTAGAACAGTAATCCAAGCAGCACAGAACATAAAACACAAACACAACACAACACAGAAACAAAAAAAAAATATAACAAAGTTAAACAATCCGATCGAAGCGCGTTGAGTAAATGTGAAGCTGGCCAATTGAAGAGAACGTACACCCACCACCGAGGAATGCTGCAACCAGCGAACCTTCCATCCGACGTTACGAACATGACCTTGACCTGGACCACCAAAAACTAGAAACATTCGCTATATATGTAGTATGCGAATTTTATCTAAATCATATCATCTTGGTACATACAATGGAAGTTATTTGTTTATTTATACGATTTTAAATAAGTAGTAGATTAAATTTTTATGAGCTTTCAATATTAATACTCGTTTCATTGCAAGAATCTTATTTTTTTTTAAACTTAACGTAATGTAAATTAATCTGGGATTGATCTGGAAGTCATCACAATATCAAAGCAAACTTTCAAGTATATGACAATAGTAATAATTTTTAATATTTATATATATTAATTAAACACTAAATTCATAATGCTTAATTAATGTTAATTTTTTAAATTTGTTCCAAATTCAAAAAACAAACAACTGTTAACAAGCATACTGTCATTTTGTTACGTAATAAATTACAAATTCTGAGGCCGTTTTATAATATTTAAATTAAATATGTCTAATTCCTTTGTATAACCACAGTCAGTTAGACCGTTGTGTTGCGGCACACTGGACTTTTGGATTTTTATAACACAATGTTTATCGAGAACATTTTATAGTCACATGATATCCATTAGTCCAATAACCTAGTATTCGACTACGTAATGTTACAACATTGTTTCACATAATTAAAATAGACATAGTATACAGATTTCGGTTATTTGGATATTAAAAAGATATATTTTTATATATAAGTTTTGTTTAGGTGTGGTCTTTATTTGCATAGAGATTTTAATGTCTGTGAATGTATGACGTCATCGGCCCTTCAATTACGAAGCGCCAAAAAGATTGATGAGAAAATTAAGTAAAATATATTTATGGTGATTTATAATTTAAGTAAATAAAAACAAGATTTTTTGTAGGTATATTCTTAATTATTTAAATTAAATTATTTGCTTAACAGATATACTCATTTCATATGGAAAAATTTTAAAACTTTAATTTTTATTTATCGAATAACATTTTATGTTACATACTGATGCAATTGGCGCCGAAGATTGTTGACCTCAAAAACTTTCCACTAAAGAACATCGCTTACGTTTCCCTTATGACCATCTACTTCTATGTTTTAGCCGTACTATGTGTTAGTACTATATCTAAAAACATATATGTACATGTATAATATAGATATATTTCATAATTAAATTTCCTCCTTTCCATATCATGTGTTTCAACGCGGTCATGTAATCTTGGGGAAAGGATGCGAAATATAATCTCATATAAAAGTCAATGCACTTAATTGACTGTAAGATGACACCTGACTTTCAAAGATTCGAGTTACATTAGGGCTAGAGATTGAAAATGTTATGTTCTATCAAATAAGATTAATTGCTCTAAGGAAAAAAAAATATTGACATTGGTAAAATATTCCACGATTTAAGTGCGAATGAAGCAATAGTTTTAATAAAAATGATTAATTGCCATGTTTTCTTTACGTCAACGTCTTGTAAAAATGTCTGTATAGCATTTTGATGGGGTTAGCATTTTTTTGGGTTTCAATTTTAATGTGTATCTGTATACATGTGAAAGTTTGTTAAATTATCTCATCCAACTAGAAAAAAGAGTACTTAACTATTATACCTTTTCAACAATTTTAACAATTGTACGTTATTATTTCAGCTTTACTCACTTTAGTATCTACTACTATTAAATATCTTGGAAATGTAAAAAGCAATATTATTTTAAGCCCTCAATGATACAGAAAAGTGGAATCTTTGGGTTATTTTATCGAGAAGTTTGCCACAATATGCTTAAACTCTAATCTGTTTTATACATAATATTCTTATAATTTTTTAATCTCGAAAAGGAAACTATAAAAAATCACCGAATTTCGTTTCCAATTTGTTTAAAAATTGTTTAAAAGGAAGCGAAATTCAAGCCTATATCCAGAACACAATATTAAAAAGGTCCATTACGTGATAAATCTGAATAAAAAAACATTAACAGGGACAATAAATAATTTAAAATGCTTAATGAAATAATTTTATAATTATATATTTTTATATTTTACAAATGAGATTATAATTAATTCAGGTCACAAAACGACAACCTTTTGTTTACATATATTTAAAACTTTCAATAATAATTAAACAAAGTTTCATTTATTTACAAATTAAAATGGTCATATCTCAAAAAACTATTTTACTTTATAATTTCATTACATAAACTTTTCATATGTCATTTGTCAATCAAATGATCTTTTGCTTAAAAAATATGAGATTTGTTAGCACTGCTAATAACTATTATCATTAAATATTATCTATAAACAAAAAGCTTCAACAAATCAATATTTGTAAAGTGGCGATCAATCACAATATTTAACGTGACATGAACGGCTCCGATGTTATCACATAATAGAATATTTAACAACTGTTTTCAAGTACTTGTCGCGTTGTTTTATTTAACATTTTATATAAGTTTCATTCTCGTTACAAGCAACTATGGAAGACTTTCATACTCCATATGTTGTTGCTTACCGGCGTCGTTTGCAAGCGGTGAAGAGACCATCAAAATTTTCTACTATAAGAAAAAGTTTAAAGACTGTGAGCAAAGAGTATTGTGCTGAGTCATCTATATGCGGTCTCAAACATCTGGTTGACGTAAACACATCTTGCTTTGAACGGTAAGTATGCTTGTGAAAGTACTATCTTGTGAACTTGTTTAGGTTACTTGCTCAGTAGGAGTCTGGGATTGTCCAGTTATATAATAATAAACTTGTAGTACGTTATATCACAGTCTAGAAGCCTCTGATATATAATCAAAGAGTTTATACATTTAATAAATGTAAATAATTATTATCTAATAGATAAAATCTCGTCTGCTTCCTTAAAATTGTAATCAGAGTTATTATTAAGAAAATTACTTTTGTGGTATACCAAGTATCGATATTACTTCGTATTACAGTATTCTATGGATAATAACAATGATTAGTGCCCTAATCTGCTCAGTATCCTTGGTCTGGATGACATTTAGACGATATTACAGCGCGCCCTTAGTCACCACTCAGATGCCAGAGGGCGTTTCCGTCAGTAAAATTATATTCCCAGCCGTCGGTATTTGTACAAACAATAGAATAAGCAAACGAGCTGTTTTAGAGCTTTCGAATAAATTGTAAGTCTTTAAAAACGAAGACCTAATTATATGGCTATAAATAAATGTGGCTCTTATTTGTCACGAAATTTCGTAATGATTGATATGATCTATATAATTCGAGGTTGCAAAAATCACGTAATAAAAAATACACAGAAAAGGAGATGTTGTCGCTGCTTATCGGTCTCGGTTTGTTATACAATAACCAGCCGTTGGACGACAAACTGGTCAAACCTATGGAACTGCATCGAGCACTCGGCGATTATGATGTTAACGAACTCATGCGAAATGTGAGTACGCTAAGAAGTACATGATTTTAATAATTCACTTTGTTAGAAGTACATTTAGAAGGTTATTTAATCTCTTTTCAAATATGGCACGTATATTCATACTTTATTTTTGTCAACTTACACATACTGTAATATCATTATATTTTTTGGAAAAGAACGTTGAAGTATGTATGTATTTGAGCGTGTTTAAAGTGATTTGTTTTAATTGGAAACAAAATTTTGGAAGGATTCATATATGTACTTGAAGTTTTATTAGTATTGCAAGTATTACTGGATACATAAGTTAAATAAAAAATATATCATATCTTTGGGATAGTATGATGTTTTATAATTTATTTGACCAAACATATCAAGCGGGATATTTCATAGCATTTTAATATTTAATTATTTATGAGTTATCATATCTATCTTTCTTTAATAATTTTTTTTTTATTACTGACTTACTGTTATTACGTTAGAAGTTTTTAATGTACATGTATTTGCATCATGGAAAATACTAATAGAAGTTTTAGTTACAACACATGGTAATGATGATGACTATTGTTTCGTAATAAAAGAACTTAAAAAACAGAAATAAAATGTAGAGAATTAAAAGTTCCGTAAGAACGTTGTCTTGTCTGCTCTTTCTATGTATTTTTAACTTTACTTTTAATTTCATTTTATCTTGTTTCTAAAGTTAAGTTTATACAAAATGCAACCATGTTTTGCTTCTAAGGATAAAACAATAACTACTTACTATTAAGTAGTTAGGTATTGTTTTATTCTACAGTGATTGTCACAGATCTCGTAATCTGATATGGTTGCTGTAAATTAATCGAAAAGTCGAGAATATTGTATAATACAATCAAAAATATTGTAGTTGCACCGGAAAATAGTTTCATTTTAAATGGGTACACGCGAATATCTTAAATATTTTAATAGAAACTCAAGCTGAAAGTTAATTATGTATTGTTTCAAATTGATTTGAAGATGTGAATATTTTTTAGTTGACACCAAAATGTGAAGATTTATTATTGAGATGTGAATGGAATACAGTAGCCATGAATTGCAGCAAACTCTTCGATTTTCGCTTGACAATGAACGGGTACTGTTGTACCTTCAATTACTTGCGACAATCTGACGTTACTTTCGAAAGGTAAGTTTTTACCAAGCATGTTAATAAAGTTGGCCTGTATGTGTTTTATTATCTGTATTTTTAGTGCGGACAGCACTACAAGGAGTTTGAATATGTATAATTACGGAAATAAATCTAATTTCGATTTCGACGACGGATTGAAAGTATTAATGAAACTCAATGAAAGTGATGATTTTTATTACAATATGCCGTTGCGAGGTGCTCAGGTAATATTTATTCTAATGCTGTTGACTGTTGCACACATTCATTTATATGATATTTCTTAAGTCCTTATTTGTATTAAGTAATTAGTTACTAAAAGCATAATACTGTATTTAATTCGTTAACCATATTACCGAGAGTTTCGGTGTTAAATTGTGTTGAAAGTCATATATAACTAAGTTTTAAAGAAAGAAATATTTCAATGCTGTGATTGTTTAAATATATGAAGAAAAATCTTAAAATATTATCGATGTAATAGTGCCAACTTTATAAATTCTACAGTAAAAATATTTTTCTATTTAGTTACAGTTTTCAGACGCTTACGATTTCCCGGATGCACCAAGCGGAAGTTTTGCTATGCAAATTATAAGTCCAAATGTTCAAGTATGTTTTATTTCTTTATTTTTATGTACTATTCATTATGTAACATTTTTATGTCAATTAATTTATGGTACTAATAGGTTTCATTATAAAAAAATAGTTTTTTTTAAATCCATTACCACAGAATGTTATATAACGAAAGTAATTCTGTTTTTTGTATCGTTTTTTAACGCTTTAACTTTTAAGCCGACTCTCATAATTCATGAAGATGTTATCTTATTGCGTGGTCTAATGAAAACAGCTGTGAGGTACTTAAACTTTGGAATCTTAATATTACATCACTAGTAGGCGTAAAATATAGATTCAATAACGAACAAAACAATATTGAATTTTTTATCAAGTGGAAGAATATATTCCATTATATATAGATATTTATAAGCTATATGATTCTTGAAAGCGTTTATCTTCTATATACAAGTTATTAGTACGTTCGAAGCAGTGGTTACCAATTAAATCTCGTTACCACAGATGACGGTGATGGTTACAGCCAGTTTCACACAGGCATCTCGTGATATCCAACATGTACCAGTGAAGCTGCGACGTTGTTTGTTCTATGACGAATCATCCTACCTCCCGTTTTACACCCACAGTGACTGTTTGCTCAAATGTCGCATGTTGTTCCTTCTGTCTAAATGTAAATGTACTCCGTTCAATATGCCCAAGATGATTAATAAGAGGACTTGCGATATGAGGGATGTGCCTTGTTTGAAGATATACAACGGTAATATATAGATAATTCGTTATAACTTGTATGAGATCTACTATATAATAAACAATGTCCTAGAATGAAAATCGTTACAAAAGTTTTCATGTTACATATTAATATTATAGTAAAGTAAAATTACTAATTTTAAATATTAAAAGTAATTGTGATATTTTTTATAGGATCTAATCTATAAAATTTATAATTATAATGAAATACATTCGCGAGTATTTATATAAATCAAATTAATATTATTCGACGACGCCTATTTTATCATTTTAAAAAACGACATACTCCTGACGTTTCATCTCGTCTACTCGTGAATACGGTCACCGAAAAGCAACAGAAATTATATTCTGTCCGGATAACAAAGAAATTTATTTAAAAATTAGACGATCTGTTCCATTTCGACGACTAAATAAATATTCTTATGATTATCACTTCCATCTAGTGCCTTGAGCTTGATTAAGTTTATAGTCCATGGAAAAATTGCTAATGCAATTATTGAGATACACGGAAGTCGGAAGGTTCTTACAGAAGTTAATATAGTTCTAGTTATTTACGTATCATGAAGTTTTGATATCTATAAAAAAAGAATTTCTTATATAATGTAAACTGTAATTTTTAGTTCAATCGAGAACGGTAAGACCAGACGTATATCCAATACCTCCTGAGCTTGAGTTGGAGATGGTTGGTGGAGGCATACCTTGTCCAATGTGCTACCCCAGCTGTTCCAAGACTGCATACAACTACGACTTCATCAATGTTAAAATATACCCTGAACATATGAACGCTGTTCCAGAGAACGAAACATTGGATTGGTTGTAAGTATAAAGATGAAAGTAATACTTACTTATTTGAGTTTTGAAATATTTTATTTCACTTAGCATAGAAAACAAATAACAATATTGTCGGTGGATTCTAAACGTAGGCGAAATCAAATTGTATTCGATTAAACGCCTTACACATTATTTGGTAAGGTGAACAAATATTAAAATAAAAATCAATTTACAGTTTATAATTAAATTTATTTCAAAAATTTGATAAAATAATTTAAGTAACATACAAAGGTTTATCTTCGTATTTCGAAATTCCGGAACGCACAGGTGTTAATAGGGCCTTCATTCCTAAAATCCGCTTTCTCGATTCTTGATTTGGGGCTGCCGGTTTTCTGGAGCCATACTTTCATTCCGTCTATTGCTATTTGGGATCCTTGCATCTGGCCGATAACGGTGCCTTGAGATGTATTCATCACCCAGCCTTTCAGACCGAGTTCGGTAGCCTTTTTCTGGGTGTGTTTGCGGAAAAAAACACCCTGTACCTTTCCAAATACTTCGAAATCAGATGTCACCAATGCTGGTTTCTTAGCAGTAGCCATCCTATAGCCAATATCGGAATATGAAATCGATAATGAGATAGCGTGTATTACATTTTGACGCCGTAAACTTGTTTATTGGTTGTCCGGCAACAGTCAAGGAAAGAAACAAAATATATCGCGCTTGTCAATATTCAAATGATTTTTAAGTAAGATTGTTAAGTTTTCATTACACTTGAAGTTATAATAATATTACTTTAGTTCGATGAGTGGAATAGTCCAAAATATACAATAACGTTAGTATGAAATGTTCTCTAGAGAAGTTTCTGTTGTTCTATAAGCTAAACAAGTAAATATTGTTGTTTGTTGTGCAGACGAGGTGCGAACTTCACCGGAACATCCATTGTTCACGTGAAGTATGCCAGGGAAGTTGCAGACTGTTACGGACAGAATGTTATAATGAAATGGTTCGACTTGATCAGTAAGTGTACATTTGTATAGAATTTGAAAAATATTTTCTATTACAAATAGCTTATAATTGTTAAAAAAAGTATAATAATGTAGTTTGTATGATTCCTTATCAAATGTTCCCTATTTACTTATATTTTTAATAGCAGTAACAATCACTATCTCTCTATTTACACGTAAGTTTCTTTGTTTTTTTCATTAGGATTTAATTTATTCGAATGTTTGTTCCTCCGTCAGGTAACATCGGCTCTACGTGTGGATTCGTGACGGGATTCAGTTTCGTTTCGGTTCTGGAATTCATTTATTTCTACACAGTTAAGCTATATAGAGAGATTAATAATCGACGAAAACAAGAAAAATGTAAAGCAAGAGAAATATCCGCGTCCAAATACGAACCGATTAATCGTTACCGACCAATTTACTGGAATGAAATTGGCGGGTCCACAAAGTGGAGACCAAGCTCTTAGAGGACCTTATAATTTTATCAATCATTTATTTGTAATATATCCTTCAATAATAATCAATAGTAGATCATTAAAATAAATAATAAACGAAGTAATGGTTTTTATTTTCGTATCAATTATGATAAGATCGACAAAAATTATGTGAGAACAATAGCCACCTGTGTTTTTCTCACAATAAAACCTTTATCAGATTCTAAAGCTAATATCGTGTGTTTGAATCGTAATTAGGCAAAAAATATTATATATAAAACCAAAAATCTGAATTTTTGTTTATTATATCAATGCGAGTTGAAGTTACAAAATGTATTCTAAAAGCAAGCGCTATTTTGAAATATGGTGGCAAGGAATAAAGAGTTTGCCACAAAAAACATCGATACATGGCTTTCGTTTTATTGCAGATCCTAAACGACATTGGATAGAAAGGTAAAATATAAATACAAGCCTAAATTAAAATAATATTCAAACGTATATTTTAATATTAATCAGAGTATTTTAGTTTCAAATTAGTATAAGAGTACTTTTATTTCATAATTTTATTATCATACAGGCTCTTTTGGCTGATATTTGTAGCTATGTCCTGGTATGGATCTATTCTGCTTATAATAGCTCAGTATAGAGCATTCCAGAATAGTCCAATTTCTTTTGTTGTCGAAACAACTTATAAGGACTGGAACACACAATTTCCTTCTATTGCTGTTTGTGAACAAGATAACTCGGTTCGCATTGGAGCTGTATCAGACGGGTAAATATGAAGATTTCTGTATATAATAAGTAAACATATTTTTTACTTCACTTTTTTATTTGTCAGCTTATGGGGAAGCGATCACGATTTTAATATGGAAGAGGTTTTGAAGGAGATAGCTTTTTTCAAAGGTGTCACATATTACGTGTCGGAAGTTTGTCAAGGAGAGGATAGTGCCGAAGAATGTTTTAAATCGAATTTAACCTACTACGCTAATTTGGTTAGTTTAACTTGTATGATCTGATTAATATTATAAGTGCTTCTTGCATCAAAAATAATTAACTGTAACGAAATTAAAACATCGTTTGTACAGACATAGGTAACCATGAGTTATTTTTTAATATTCAGGCAATCCGAGCTGTAATTGGCTTTTAAGGATTTTTTAAACGTATAGATTCATTTGATAGCTAAAATTCTTTATCCAGTTAATGTGGATTTTTATATATGAACTAGCTGTGCCCGCGACTTCGTTCGCGTGGAATAGTGACTATGAGCAGCGTTTTTTTGACATAACTTTTTTATTTATGAACCGATTGACATGAAACAAACACTAAAGCATAACTGAAGCATACCACAATATATTCGTGAAAACCGCATCCAACTGGGATCAGCCGTTTCTGAGATTAGCGTGAACAGGCAAACAGACAAAAAAAAAGTTAATTAAATTTTTGGGTTCGACATCGACATAACAATAACCCCCGCTATTTTTTTATTTTTATTTTCAATGTACAGACAGCACTTTTCTACAATTTTATTATATGTATAGATTTCAATAAACATAATTAAACATATTTAGGATAAAATTACGAAATTATAAAATATATTAATATAAATATTACAAGGTGAGGAGCGATTGCAACGATGTAATGGCGAATTGTTCATGGAATCAGAAGTCATTTGATTGTTGCCGTTACTTTCGACCCGTTGAAACGGAAATCGGTCCCTGTTTCATTATAAACACGATACAAGGGTAATGTATTGTTTTAATTGTAGTTTTTTTAATGGAATAAATAGCATTATAATATTATTAGAAATGTTATTGCACAATTAAATCAGGTTTAAGTCCTTTCAAGAACATTAAAATTGGTTTACTAGTAAGTAATATATGAATTACAAATATTTTTAAGGGGAGAGGAAGTTCCAATATTAAAAATGCACAGCAATAGAGCGACGGGGCCTGGCAGAATTCAATTTGATGTCATGTTGCCTGTGAGTGTGTATGTACTGAATGAAGAAGACGTCCCTTCATTAAGCTACCTCGGATCAGAAATTATGAATGTCGGCTTAGAAACACATTACAGGTAATGAAGAATGATTTGTACTCTCGACGGTATTAATTAAGAAATATTTACAATTCCTTAACCTTTTTTGTTAAACAAAAGATAATTTTTATCATAAAGCGGTTCAAAATTAGGTATTTGATTGATTATATCTTTGTTTTGGTTTCTTTACTTGTCTTCTATACTCACACGCATTAATCAAAAGAATCTGGACTAAACTTAGATAAATGAATAGCATAAATAGCATAGCGATAGTTATAATAAAATAAAGCATAAGATGCTCATTTTTAAATTTATATTATAAAGATTATGATATTTTTTATTTATATAATATCTAAAGGTTTGTTTTGAAACATGATTTATTTTTCTACATTCTTAAGACTACTTTGAAAGAAAAATTCTTGAGTGATTACTATTTTCTTAAAATATTTATTACATAGGATTTACCTTTCAGGCGTTACATAACAGTAAAAAACATAGAAAATGACGCAACAGCACGAATGATAACACCAGAAAAGAGGAGGTGCAGGTATTCAGATGAGAATAATCTACAAGTATATCCATATTATTCGTACTCAGCGTGTACAGTGCAATGTAGGAAGGACGCTCAGATGAGATTATGTAACTGTTCAAATTTCTTCATGCCAAATACACCAGAGGATGAGAAATGCGATCTAAACGGTATAATTTGTCTTAATGACAAAGTCAATCATCTTTCTGTAAGTGAGAACTAAAATATTTTATAAGTATGTTATATATTTTACACTAGCTTTCCGCCCGCGTGTAATTCCGTTATATCACGTTTCCAAGAGAACCTCTCAAAAGTCTGGGATAAAAACTATCCTATGTTCTTTCTCAAGGTCAACTCTATCTCTGTACCAAATTTCATTAAAATCAGTTCAGTGGTTTAGGCGTGAAAGCGTAACAGACAGACAGACAGAGTTACTTACGCATTTATAATATTAATAGCGATATTAACCAACAGCGAGTGAAACAGGTGTATTTAGGGAACTTAGTTGTAAATTTGCGTGCCAAAAAAATATCAGTATTAATAATACTAAAGTAATTTTAGATGAACCCATATAGTAATAGTGTCCTTAAGAGAGTAAATTTTCCAGGTCTTAAGAGCTCGATGGTCAAACCACCCAGGGCTTTTCTGTGATTGTCTTCCGTCATGTACAGAAGCAGAGCTGACTATTGTAAAAGACTTCATTAAACCAACTGGTCTTAATTATGCCACTGTTGAGATACAGCTATCGGTTTTACCTAGTGAAAGGTATAGGCGAAACGTTGTTAGGGGCGTTCTTGATTTAGTTGGTACGTAAATATCATTAAAATTGCTACATAAATAATCAAATTGTTGATTTTGATTCTCGCTTAAAAAGTAAAATAATCTAATCAAAAATAACATGTACTGATGTTTAATAATAAATTCTAACTTATCGGATATGTGAGAGTTAATGTAAATTTATTTTTAGTGTCAACTGGAGGGACAGGCGGTTTGTTCTTGGGAGTGAGCATTTTGAGTGTATTAGAGCTGCTCTATACACTACTATTGAGACCATTTTTTGACATTTACAGCCAACGTAACGAAGACCCGTGGCATAAAAAATATGGAAACAGACGTATTGAGGACAGCAAATTTAAATTTAAGAAAAATACAAATAAGTTGATTATGAAGAAAAGGCTAAAACAGAAAATGTAGCTCTACATATTATAATACATTTTTTTAAATATAGGTGTTTTGACATGTACCTACCTCTATGCATATATATTGTTCGCAATGTACCAAATACATTGTGTGATAGTTAATTTACATTTGTCTGAGATAAGGGAATAATTTGCTTTGGCGTTATCTGTGACAACATGTAATGATTTATAAATGATTAATTTTGTAAGTGTTGCATAATTAATGCAAGATGTTATAGGTTTGAAAATGGGACTAAGTGTGTCGCATAAGAAAAAAAACAACAACAACTTAAACAATTTTATTACTAAGTCTAGTGAGTTGAAATAAATTTTAATACAAATAGTTAATTTACGTACTTAAACAATATCGATGAACAATTTCTTCGAATATAGGCAGGATTTTTTTCTTATAACCTTCGTTATTATTAATCATTGCTCTAATAAAAGTAGCTTTATCATTGTTGAGTATTTTTTCGAAATCCTCAGTATTACAGAATATCTTCTTAGTGAGCTCCTCACTTATCCAAAATTGAGGGACGAGACAGGCGCTAACAATAATACCCCACAATCTTTGTTCCTCGCAAGATTCTATAAAGTCCCTAAATGGTATGACATTCTCAATTGTTATTCCATTAGTGCTAAGATTATTTTTAAGTTGTTCATAGTAGTAATTAAGGAAATAATTTAAATTTTGTTCACGAAAAACCGGATCTAATGTGCAATAGAGGAGAAGCATCACATCACTAGCTGGCGGTTGTAATGACACAGCGGCAAAATCGACAAACAGACAATCAACGGCTTTCACAGTATTATTAACATTTTCATATCGAAACATTATATTATTATTCCATAAATCACGGTGACAAATTACGTTACGGTATTTATTTGACATTTCGGTAATTTCCAACGCTTTGTACCATACTTCAGACCATTTATTTTCTATTTGTTGTAAAGCTTTTGCATCGTTTCTATACTTGGACATAGTTGTGACTATTTCTAACGATCCTTTCATACATTGCTCAAACCATGTATTATGTTTTTTGTAACCACCTTTATCAAACAGATATTTATCATTTATAAAATACGGTTTTTCAATTTGTTTGCTCTTCTCTTCTTCTAAGATGATAGAGGAAGCATGAAATCTAGCAAGCGTGTTTAGGGCGAGTAAAATATGCTCTTCGTCGTAAACTTTAAATTTATCTCTATTTTTGTATTGAAGGGCATTTAGATCTTCGAAGACCATCGCTTCATTAGTCGATGTGATCAAACGGGAACTCCAAGGTTTGAGACCTAAAAAGTAAAATAAATCATGATAGTTTTCTTTTAAAGGATTAATGTTTATAATTGAATATTTTTGTATCCCACAACATAACATTTAATGGCGAATGATATTTTAGTTAAAAAAAAAAAGTTAACAATTTAATAAAATTTAGAATATTACTTCGTCAATACATACAATTTGAATTAAATAAAAATGAAACTACTGAAATTTTTAGTTCAAATAAGACAGAAATATTGTGAAATCCTACAGTAACGTTTTCAAAATGAACATTTATTAGTTTTATTTACTTATTTTACACAAAACTTACCGTTTTTGGACATTTTCTTTATCATGGCGTTGTAAAACCAAGATTCCTTTTCAAACAAATTCATGTCTCTTGCCATGTCGGCTTTGGCGTCGTTGGATTTCGAAATTGCTTTGATGAAGAATATTTTACGTAACGTGTCATTGTCACGTGTGACCAACTCTACTTCCAGTTTCCAATAATCACCAAGAAAACCAAGCATTTTATCACTCGCTTGATTTATAGAGTAGTCTTTTATGACTACACCTTCCTCTATTTCTTCTGTATTAGCGATAATCGCATTCAATTCATCCAGTGAAAGTGTTTTGTTTCCCATTATGATTTAATGTGATAAAAAAATAATAATTGGAATTGCGAAAAATAACTAGATGTTGTATGCAATGTGTTAAGAATATAAATATTAATTTATATTACATATTCAGTACGTGATGTTATCAAATGAGTATATGTTTAATTAAGATAATGATAGACATATTAACATAAGATATAAGGCATTAAATACTAAAACAATCAAATACTAAAATCATAGTTTTTTTGTTCTAAATTTATTATATTCAATTAAACACAAATCTTTCAAGTAATTCATCAAAAATTTCACAAATCCTTACTCGATATGTTTCGTCTACTTTAGCGAAGTCTATAAATTCTTGACTTCTACTTACAATATTGAAGCGATAACTTTTATCAGCATCTGAAAAAATATTTTTCTTTACATCTTCGTCAAATGTAACTATAGGAATTATGATAGCAGCTTGGGTCAAACCAAATAACATGCTTTCATTATAATGCTCCCTAAGATTTTTTTTATCAGGAACCAATCCTACATCGATCCCTTCCACAATGAGTTCTCTAATGAGTGAATCGTGATAAATATTAATTATTTCATCTATAAATTCTTCTCTAAATGATTGTTTGGTGTTAAAACATATCATGGAAGCGAGATCTATCATCGGATCAGCATAAACTACAGTCTGGAAGTCAACTATAAGAGCATGAATATTTCCATCATTATGTTGTTTTAAAAATATATTGTTAGACCAAACATCGCGATGTACTACAACGTTTCTACGTCTTGTGCTAGGCTTGATTTGTTCTTCAGCGAGACGAAAAAGTTCAGGAATTCTTTTATCCACAATTGATGTGAAATTATCTTTTGTCCTATACTTTGAAAAAACTTTTAGGACATCGATAATGGCTTTCATTCCTGTGTCTCGCCATGATTGACCTTGAGCTGGTTCTTCTAAATATTCGCTATAGTCTTCCCATATGTGATATGACCTTCCCAATGATTTGCTTTTACGTTCCTCAAAAATATAAGACTGGGAATGAAATCTCGCCATAGCAGAAATAGTTGCTTTTAATTCGGGCCATGTTAGATTTTCCCTTTGACATGGCATTTTATATCCCAATTCCGTAACATCTTCAAAAACAAATAAATCCTTTTTAAGTAGTAGGGCTTTAGGTCGATATCTTCGCGATCCTGAAATGGAAATCATGACTATAACAGAATAAAAAATATAATAATTTCAACTGGTAAAAGAAGAATTATTACGTTCACATTATAAAACTTACCTACTGACAAACACTAATCAAACTTAAACTTTGAATTTAAACTTAAACGTTATGAGTTTAAAGATAGTAAAAAAATAATCCCTATATTACTTAAAAAAAAGATGTTCTTACCATTTTAGAATAACTTATTATAATTAAAATATTTATACTTTTCCGAGACCTTTGGAAAATCACTCACCATCGTGCTCCGGGAATTTTTTAAACAGATCACCCAACATCACATATTCTTTGTCGAAGAATATCAAATCCTTCAAAAAATCTGCCTTCCATTTTTCAAATCTTGGTAAGCATTTCACGAAATATTTTATATTCTTCAATGCACCATTCAACTCGAAGCTGATTTTGAGACTTAGATGTTCCCCGAGGTATCCCACCAGATTGTTGGAATAATCCGTAATCAACCAATTCATATTACTCACTTCAGGATATCCGTTATTCCTTAATATTGTTTTGATATCATTTTCATTTAAAAAATCCATTTTATTTGATGGTCTTATAAGTACAGTTACTAACATTACGTGTAAATTATTATATTCATATAACAATACATCATATATCTTTAATAAATATTTGCAGTTATAATGATAGTTATTTACATATTTGTTAAGTTTATATCTATGTAACAGGCCATAAAGATATGTTTCTTCTGTAAAATGTATGGAAGATAGTGTTGTTTACCAGAAGATTACTATTAGCGAATATGCGATAAAATCAAGAAGTGTATTTGTATTTTAGATTGATGTAGCTCTTTTTTCCTCGCCAGGGAATTTCGGTCAATGCCAAAGCGATCCCGCATTGACTCAGTAGGAGGATGAGGGTAGGCGTTCGTTGTTTTCAGTGGATATATCCGTAAGCAGGCTAAGCTAAGCATGTTTATTGGGAAACCCATAAGAAAACTCCAATCAGGGTTCTGCCGGGCGGTCCATTAATACATTTTTCTTAACGTAAAAGAGTTAGTACGTTGCCTATGAGAGATACTTCAGAATTAGGATATTGTTTATTGAAATAACTAATAAATTAAAATTTAATAAAGCCCCCGACCCAATTAGAAACATCAAGACAAATTCAATGAGCCCAAACTCGATTGCTTTACTAAAAGGCAGTCCAGGGTTACGTCTCCTATCTTCAAGCTGTAACAGCAGACCAGCTCGGTGGTTCCAAAGACATTAGTGTTTCAAATGTCAGATCTCACATATGCTTGCAAGCTAACTGTGCGAATAACATTCCTATCACACCTAACAAACGACCTGATGACCTTGAAGACCTGAACCGATTTCCACAAAACAGCTAAGAACACTATCGACGGATATATCTTTCAAACAAAAAACCCATTAAAATCTAATCATCCGTTTGGGAGTTCCTAAGATAGACACATACACACACTGACACACACACACACACACACACACACACATACACGTCAAACTTATAGCACCCACTCGTTTTTGCGTCGGGGGTTAATAAAATAATAAGCAATGAATCGTTCACTAAATTTCATATGGTCATATTTTAGTTTTTAATTTATGTATGACTGGTGTAAAGAACATATTGCTGTGTTGTAATAAATCTATACCAAATTTTAATTATCTTGCGAAAACGGCATTAAATTATTTAAGTAAATTAAAAAAATATACATGACAGTTCTCTATTCAAATTTCCTAAACCCATATAAGTACGGATGTTACGTCACACACGTGTATGTAACGCTCGCTGTCCATTTTAATAAACGTCAAAATATTTCGTTATAAATTAAATCCTAATCGAGTTTTTTGTTGATTTAAACCTAAATTATTATAGATACGCTAGGAAGCAATTTTATAAATAATAATTACATATTAAATAATAATTAAAACAAAATTTGTTTGTTACCTTCATTTTTTTATAAATATGCTTCACACAACACAACTAACTTCACTACTTAAATGTAACTAATAACTACAACACCAAAATACAGCTCATAAAATAATAAAAAAAACAACATTATGTGAATATTCATTTTTTATTTAAAAAAATTATTCACCAAAAACGATAGCAATAGATTCGTCATCTAATAGAGGTGTTTCTAATATATTCATCAATCTCTTTTCCTTAACACCTTCATAGTTCGGGGCCCACATTTGTATGGCCTTAGGCGTGTATTTCGATGGTAAATCTTCATCATCACTTGACTGAGGATCTACTTCCATCACTTCCTCTTCAATTTGTTCAGTTTCTTCATATCCTGATATATGTTGCAAGAACAATGGACACAAGAGACTCACTGGCGGGACCATGTGAGGGGCTCCGGAAAGGAACTGAAATTAAATTCATATTATTTTATAGCAAAAAAAAAATAACTAATAATATGTATGAAAAAAACTAGTATTAACCAAGTTCTCATAAATTAATACTGATAATTTAGTTCTATTATACAGTAAAGACTGATTGTATGAAAAAATATATAATTTGACTATCTTGTTAGAGTAGGAAACCCACATTGAATGTATAATGACGTCACTTAGTGAACTTATTAAATCTCAGTTTCGAGTTGGTACGGAAAAATATGCATATGTAAGTATAATGTACACATCTTAAATAATGTATATCACATTATTGAGAGAAAAAAATTCTAAATGTTTGATATAAAAAAAATATTATTAATCCAAAATCTTTTGCTTTGCATACAGGATAAGTATTTTTGAAGTGAAACTTGTAATACTACTTCGACGTTGCGTTAAACGTTCAACGCTCCTGGGGATAAAAAGAGGCGAAGCCGGAGTAAAAAGGTAGGTCAATTATGAAATGTAAGCAGTTTTTGTAAAGTTTTTCTTAAGTAAACAATATGAGTTCACTAAAAAATAGATTTCTACACTTCATATTTTGATTTCGACAAACGTTATTTCACTTCTGGGGCTACTCCACGCACTATTTATATTTTTATACTCAATTATCATAAAAAGAGTAGCAAAGTTTAACATTCAGAGATATTTGAAGGTTGCAAAATCTCTAAAAAAAGGTCCATATGCAACCATTATGCTAGTTAATCTCAGTACAAAAGGTAAATTATTACCCTCCAGGAACTGTTTCAAATTACCTGACTGATAGCGTTGTTACCCAGCTGTTCCCTGTTAAGCTGTTCCGTCCCAGCTGTTGTAGCTGCTCGTACGTCGTACAGCTGTTGCTCAGCTACTAGGACGCTGAATTTAGACCTGGGCTGGTTCCTCTGAGATATGACCTCCAGCTGTTCTTGAGACTTCTCTGGCTCCAAACAGTATATCTCCTGGAATATGATCATAATAATTAAATACTAGGAATGATTAGAAATTAACAGACTGAACGGATTAGTGACATGTATGTTAGTAGAAGTCAATGTATGAAGAACATATAGGTTTCTTAAGAATATAAATTAAAGAGTTAAAACAGTAAATTATGAATTAGAGACGATACAATCATAATAAGTATATTATATGTATATATTTATCAATACCCATCCTACGAATATACGACACACAGTTTCCAAGTTACTTTTAATAAAACAGTCAAATATGTATATTAATGAGAAATGAGAACTTTCTGTGCTGAGTTTTAGGATACAAACTCGTAGTAGGGGTCTTATTAAAATAATATTGCGACGAATTTTTAGAGCAAATTATTTTTTAAACTTTTTAAGCGTTTAAGGATATAAACTTGTAATGGAGTAGATATATGGACGGTTTAGTCTTTTTTCTGGGTATAAAAGTACTTACATACTTACTATGTACAAAAATACTTATTTAAGTACTATGTATAAAAACTTACTGAATCATTCCTCATCATATATAATCTGACGTCATCTCCGGAGCACGCTCCGAACACACAATGTCTGAACACACCACTTCTATAATCTATCAAATTCTTCAGATTCAATATTGGCACAGAGCTGTGAGGTGTGAACACGAACACTGAAATATAAATAATATTACATTTTATTATAATTATGACTTTAATTCTATATATATGGCAGAGTTAAATATGTTAATTTAAATTATAAATACCTACTAACATTATAAATGCGAAAGTAACTCTGTCTGTCTGTCTGTTACGCTTTCACGCCTAAACCACTGAACTGATTTGATACCGAGATAGAGTTGACCTTGAGAAAGAACATAGGACAGTTTTTATCCCAGACTTTTGAAAGGTTCTCTTGGAAACGCGATATAACCGAACTCCACGCAAACGAAGCTGCGGGCGGAAAGTTAGTACAAAATAGAATAAAAATTCATTGATAGAACCGGGACTATGACTTCATGTTATTGTAAAATATGAGAGCTTTATGTTAAAGAAAATGCAATAATATTCATAAGAATGATTAATTATTGATTTACTTACCGTCATTATTGGTCGTTAAGACAGCCATTTTGTTTGAACAAGGGTCGGCTACAAGACAAGTTGTATTTAATGGTACAATCCATTTCATAGTCAGAGATAGAAGACTCCATACGGCGAGACATCCCTCGGTTGTACATACCAGCTGTTAATAATTATAAATTAATAAAATAATCTCATAAAATAACATAAAAATACTAGATTTTGTTAAAAAAATATGAAAATTGTATATAATCAATGTGTTGCATAATTAATTGTAAAACATAATTTCAAATTTTCAAATAATGTTGAACGAAAAAAAAAAATGTCAAAATGTCAAATTAAGGCGGGAAATTCAAATAAAGAAAAATATATTTTAGGTCTTTCTTAATGATATAAAAAAAAAGTACTCACATAATGAGCAGCGTCGTTATTACCGAACTGAACGTGGACACCTCTCGGTCGTAACGCGGGATGGGATAGCGTAGTCCGCAAGTTACACAAATGTGTATCCCATAGAGTTAACTTGCAACCAAACCAAGCGGCTATCAAAGACCCATCCTGCGATATGGCAACACTGCCCATAGAAAACTCATCATCCCTATCCTCATCGTTATTCAATACCAAATTATTCTCCTTATGTATATTGACAATCTTTGTCAAAATATCATTTGTTCCGCAACATTTTTTCATATATGGCAACTCTGAATCATCTGTAATAGGTGTTTTATTCCCTTTGTACTGATTTAGGACCGAGTTTGATAAGAAATGTGAAATCCCCGATGAATAGTAACAAGCGGTTAGACAGGTCCATGTTATTTTATTCCTATTATCCTGTGAACTGGTATTCCTTTTCCATATTCTGAACTTCTGATCTGTGCCTGATGATACGCAAAACTCGCCCTTATTATTTAGAGCTAAAGCCACAACATTGCATCCACCGTGCGATAGATTCACGCATGTGTTTAATTTAAACGGTGTAGCGGTGTTCTGTTGGGACGCCCAGAATTTTAATTTCTCTTCTGGATATAAAACTCCATCGTTTCTATATTCTGAAGTAACAAGCCAAGATCCATCAGCGCTCATCGCTGTGCAAGTTACTTCCGTTTCCAATGGTATTAAATTTAGTCGTTCCGCTGGCAAACTATTCATTTGAGTTATATCAACCTGCAAAATATAAAGCCATTTTACTTATAACGATCTCTTTATATTCTAACAATAATATATTGCTAGTACAATGCACCATGAATTTATTTAATTGCTATGTGTATTTGTTAATTTATGCCCTTGGTAAATTCAAAACTGACAAAACCAAAAGCTTTTATTTTTGGCAAGACTGATAAAGCTCTGATTTAACTTGATCATGTAGTTTAAATTTGGAATCCTAATTAATAGTGTATTGGAAAAATATAATCACTGGAATGGAGTGATATTAGGGAGACTAGCAAAATAAAATTTATTACCGAAAATGAATTAGCAAAAACAGAAATGAATTAGATTAATACTTCTTCAGCTATCAAATATGTCTTTTATGCATAACTAGAGGCGCCCCGCGGTGTTACTCGCGGATTTCCGAGATTTCCGGGATGTAAAGTAGCCTATGTGTTATTCCTGGACGTCAGCTTATATACAAAATTTTATCAAAATCGGTTCAGCCGTTTGAGCGTGAAGAAGTAACAAACATACACACACACTCACAAACTTTCGCAATTATAATATTAGTAGGATAACATCTTCAGATATTGTTAACCTACATTGCAAAGAACAGTATCGCTGCTTGTGGAATAAAGTTGCAAGTGTCCAGTTCGGCCAGGGAGTAGTAAGGCCGCTCTCGATCTGTCCCATACTAATGTTGACGCCAGGAATCTCACGTGAGGGGATGTTCCACCACATTCTAAGATAGTACGGGATACAACGAGCTGCGGACTGGCTATCACTATTGCTGTAATGTAATAGTGTAGAGGTTTTATATGTATGTACATATTACAGGCAAAAAGCTCTTAGAGTATACAAGTGACTGTTTTATTGTTATACTAAAAAAGGCATTTAAATGGTCGTAAGTATATATGATTCTAGAGTAAGATAAATAAGCATGTCATAAACGATATCTAAATAGTATCATAATAGACATACATACTTAAAAGAATATACTACTAGATATGTACATATTTATTCTATTAGATCCCTATTAATATTATAAATACGAAAGTAACTCTGTCTGTCTGTCTGTTACGCTTTCACGCCTAAACCACTGAACTGATTTTTATGAAATTTGGTACAGACATAGAGTTGACCTTGAGAAAGGACATAGGATAGGTTTTTATCCCAGACTTTTGAAAGGTTCTCTTGAAAACGCGAAATAACCGAACTCCACGCGGGCGGACCTGCGGGCGGAAAGCTAGTATGTATATAATTATTACTTACAGTTGTTAGACAATGTGACTGCTATATGGGAACTGCTAGCAGTTATGAATCTCACAATACCAGGCAGTCGAGGTATAAAGCTCTTCTCATTAGTTTTGGTGGCCAATGAACCTAGCGTCCATTTGACCAACACTTTTTCCATACCACCAGTTAAAAGATAATTACCTTGAAGTATATAGACAAAAGTTTTATATAGCATATATTGTTTTAACAAAGTGACTTATGTAGAACTATTTTTATATCATATTAATCACCAAGTATTACACAAAATTATATGAAACTTTTGATCAACAATAAAAACCTTTCTTGGATTTATAATTATAAGAATGTGCAGTACATAATCATATTTTATATAGAGTATAAAAAATAATGTTTTAAAAATTACCTTGAACTGAAAAACACACAGCTAATGGTGGTAGGAAATGCCAATGCATCACCTCTCTTGCTATACTTTTGGAGTCATATAAATTTCCTCTTAAAATTGTAACTCTCCCGATTGCATCAGTTATAGCCACTGTACTATCTTTTTGATGAGCTGCTACAGCCATGATTCGAAGACGATTATGGTTGGATATTCTAAGAGAGAAATATGTATTTAGTTTTTACTACATACTCTTTATAATTTAATAGTATGTCAATAACTTACATTGAATACAAATGTGGTTGGGATAAGTTTTGTATGAAGAGTTTCCTAGTTCCGACTGTAAAAGCTGCATATCTATCGCCATTGCACCACCCGAGGGCCACTGATATGATGCCGTAGTAGAAACATTCAATTCCAGTATATTCATACAATAATATGCCGTCTTTAACTGAATATGTTCCAAGATGTAGTGACTTGTCCGGTCGAACAGCAATTATAAAACATTCATTGTTGTCTACTATGTTGAATGATATTATTTTCAAGTTATGTGGCAGGCTTAATTTCTGGAAAGCATTATAGAATAAATAAGTAATAACAATCACATAGTGATTTAAATTTTGGAACAAATCTAAGATTCCAAGATCACTTTTATTATGACAAACATTCAAATGGACTGTGTTTATTTTGATAGAAAAACAATATGTTGTTTTTTTTTCAATTTTCCTTTTCTGTTGTATGCTTTGTGATAACTTAAATGAGAATATTGCTAAACACAATAATATAAGTTAACTTGTTTGTTTAAAATAAAAAATAATGTTTCTTATATTTCAATCTCATTTCTTTGTATTGTGTTGTGTTTTTTTGTTAATAAACATTTTCCATTTTCATTTTCATTGTTTTATCAATTTGAATATAAAAAGAAGATTGTAATAAGTTTGATGTAGATGTCTATTTGTGTCTGTGGCATTGTGAGACCTACAACTTTTATAGATCTACAGATTTTTGGCATTTGAACAACATTTTCCTTATGGTAGTTCATAGCATTTTTTTAAATATGAGTCTAGTAATATTAATTTAGTGTATAAGTACTCTATTAAATCCTTTATGTGTACTAGTTTAATAGTAAAATTGAAATTAATTCACTAGTTTTTTCATTAAAAGACTGTAATATATAGGAGCAAATTACTAATAAAAAATAATAATTACAATTTCACGAAGCACTGCACCCTGCTCCCAAGTCCATGTAGTGACGTATCCGTGTTCTGAACATCCATACAAGTTATAACCATCATCTTCTGTGAACTGCACCCCTACTAAATGTCCCACTGAGCCTTCCGTTTGTAGTGTACGAACACAATCGCCCGTTTGTATATTATACACTCTTGCTAGGTCCTCTACAACCACCACAATTGATCTGAAATTATAGTTTTCATATATTACTCACGTTATTCAAAACAATAGTTAAGATAATAAAGTTCGTCTAACTGTTGCTTCTATGACTTACTGTCCGTCCGGTGAAAATATAGGACGATGTTCAATAATACTTCTACCGGCTTTTCTATTAAAAACATATTTTGCCGATGCTTTTTCACTAGTTGCCGTTTGCGTAACCATTATATTCTTTTATTTTTTTGATTTGGTTATTGAGCTTATAAATAAAAACACATGATATAACCTCAATTTCATATATCAACATTGACGGCATTGACATTCAAACTTCATTTTTGAGAACAACATTAATCCTAGCATGTAAATAATGTCAAAATCATCTATTTATTTAATTAATTAGAATTGACCAGTTTTTTAGTTGTTAGAAATAGATTTCGTTGCTTAAAAATATTAAATGATACTTTTTTAAGAATTAAACATAACTAAAAAAATTAAGGTAACCTTTAAAGTCTAAATTTAAAAAGGATATTAACGAATTTACAGAAATTTCCTAAAATTAATGTATTTTATTGAAAAATAGAAAATGTAAATAATATTTTGACAAACTATTTTCTGTTTTATTTTATTTATAATTTAATTGTACCTATATCTGTATTTTTTTAAATTATATCTATTACATTATCTATGTTGTATGTTAAGGGCTACTTACACTTCAAATTATTGTGTTGGTGTCGGTGTGCTTTTTTCATGTGTATTTGTTGTTATTACATTTTCTGAAACTTCCATATTTTAACAATAGTTCAAGGAACAAATAAAAGTCGCTTTTAACAACCATTTTTTAGATGTTTTATTAACATGGCTGATTTAGGGGATAGTCAATTACTCGTGCGATTCGTAACCAAACAGGAACAGTAAGAAACTACCTTATTTATTTTTTTAATATGTGAAATATTGCTTATTTCACTCTCTTTTTTTTTTAGATATGCTGTTCCAGACAGTCCTATCGCTATACAAAGCAATGTTTTGTCATCGGATCTTAATACTCTTCTTAAAGCGCTATTAAAGGAGACCAATCCATCTTTAGAAAAAGTTCCTGATTTCGATTATTTAATATGTGGGGAACTGTTATGTACATCAATTGCGGAGCATATACAGGAGAAAGGTATATCCACAGAAGACACATTAGAAGTTGAATATTTAGAGAGATTTCCGGCACCAAGACCTCAAGACTGTTTGATGCACGATGATTGGGTGTCGGCTGTACACACTCAAGGAAACTGGTAACGTGGTTCTTACAGTCTAATCATTATTAAACATATATTATTGGTGTCAGAAAATTTACAGAAATAATTAATTTAAGATACAATTTCAGGATATTATCAGGCTGTTATGACAACAGTATACATATTTGGAGCACAAAAGGTCAACATAAACTCTCCATACCTGGTCACACATCTCCCGTTAAAGCTGTATCATGGGTTTCTGTTACCAATGACCAAGCAATCTTTGTGAGGTATGTAGGAAAATATATAAATAACATAAATAAGTCCAACGATTTATATGTTTAATCATTTACAAACACTTCAATGAAAAAATTAATATCTTAGTAATATTTTTAAACACAGTTAGCATAAGCCTTGTAATGAAATACTTGATTTATTTTCATTTGTATGCTGATAATATTAGATATAAGTATACCAATATTTATTTCTTATATATGAAATTAATTCTTCAGTGGTTCCCACGACCAATCAGCTATGCTGTGGGTATGGAATTCATCCAACAATTCTGTTGATTGTGTTGTTACTTGTCGTTCACATGAGAAGGGTGTCGAGTGTTTGTCTGTGTCAGCCGATAAACAAAGATTTGCTACTGGCAGCTGGGATAATAATATCTGTCTTTGGAGCACTAGTAAGGATTACTCTTATATTTATAATATATTAAATATTTGACTTATTTATTATTTATAATAAGTAACGGTCACACAATTTTTTAATCACTAGGTCTTTCTGATGAACATAATGCACCTGCCAAAAAGAAGAGTCGTCCAGAACAAGGAAAAATAAGAGTATGTTAATAGAACTTTTATACTTAAGCAGATTAAATAATACATATATGATTTAAAATTCATGTAGGAAATATAGATGGCACAATGACTTAAATGAGAAAGCAACTGAAATGCTTATTCTGGAGATTGCAAGTTCTAATTCGGCTTGTTTTGATGAAATCTTTATTCTATACTTTCTATTTGAATTTTAATGAATATATAAGTTTATTGTAGCTCTAATATTAAAATATTTTCATAGAAATTAAATGCCAATTATAAATGGTATGTCTTCTAGGAACCATTATCAACATTGAAAGGCCATAGAGAGGCGGTTTCCGGTATAAAGTGGATGGATTTTAACACAGTTGTATCGAGTGGTTGGGATCATTTGATTAAGATATGGGATTGTGAACTTGGTGGTTTGAAACAGGAAATTGCCGGTGAGAAATATATAACTATATATAGAATCTTAATAAATAATTGAAGAATTTGTTTTCTATATGCAGTATTTAATAAAACTATAAAGTGCTAAGTAGCAAGAGTGAATGTCAGGAACTAATATAATAAAGTATGCCTACATAAGACTTGACATCATATCTTTATTTAACAATACCAAGTAAGTTTAACTTATTCATATCACTTTGATAATATTATGTAATGTGTCATTACAGGTAATAAGGCCTTCTTTGATCTGGATTGGTCACCGTTAAACAACAACATCATAACAGCATCCGCAGACAGACACATTAGACTTTATGATCCAAGATCAACAGGTATATGTCTTTTTGCATTGTTTTATTATGTATTATAGGTATATAATTTATCTCAAGTTCAATATCTAATTTCTTTAAATAAAAAAATATGGATATGCACTACAGTCAATCTGGGTAACTTTGACAGATAAGGGTGATATTTTATACTATATTTAAAAGAATTAAACCTATCCCTCGGGAGTTTTTATTTTATCAGTGCTCTCGTATTACTTTCCGTCTCTAGAAATCCACAGAAAGTTTATAAAACATACCAATATAGTATAAAATCTCAGAGCCAAGCATAAAAATGTAGTAATAAGTATTATTTTTATCAATCTGGGTAACATTGGGGTATATATTTACTAACTAATGAATGCATGTGACACAATAAAACGAACATTTTGCAATTTTGTCTTATATAAAAAAAAAATATGAAGAATCAGTCTACAACATTTGGCAATGTTACACCCATTGTTTAACACCATCAAAAACGCTTAAAAAACTCCTTTAATTTAACATTTTTATTCAAATTATAAAGAAAACAAGCAAAAATAATTTTAACAAACAAACATTTTGTAAAATCTTGAGCATAACTTGTCTATTCTCCCCACTCCATATAGAGCAAATCGTCAATAATACTTGTGTAGAGCCCAGGCTGCTTTATACTGATTTTACTGTTATCTACTGGAGATACAACATCATCTTATCTAATTTAGTAATTTCTCTTTTATCTGGCCATTTCCAACCACCTTGTGTTGATCTACTCATTACAACAAGTGTATAATACGGGAATGTGTGTGTAACTCGTCACTTTTCCTGGAAACAGTGTGCCTTCTGTTTTAAATATAACTGTTGATCTAGGTGAGAACTCAATATATTTTGAAGTTCATGTTGCAAAACTCCATCTTTAACAACAAATTCTTCAATCACCTCTTCCGCCACCATTTTAGGTTCTATGTAAGTTGACAGTGTCAAAGTTACCCAGTTACTGTTCAAAATACGTATTTTCATATTTATGCATGAAATTTCAAAATAAGATTTAATTATATGCAATTTTTTCATGAAAATGCGGTAGTACAATCACAAATGGCTCTGTATAACATCTCACTTACCTTATCAACAACCAAAATCACAAAATATTCAAAAAGTTAATCACCCTAAAGTAAGCTTAAATTCGCGCGATATATTCAGAAACGAAGTTATGACGTTTTTTTACTTTTACAAGTTACTTTTTTTTAAGTGCATTTAGGAAGCTTATTTAAAATCACAAATCTAAAATAAACATATATGAATAATGTTGGTTTCATGCGAAAAAATAATCGAAACTAGTTCATGGTCCCACTGTCAAAGTTACCCGATGAATCAAAGTTACCCAGATTGACTGTATATAATTTTATATATCGTTTTCATAAAGATATTACACAATTACAAAATTGTAACATATTTTTGAAAATCTTTAAATATTAATATTATTTAAGATTTATTTGCTTCTAAAAAATATTTGTTAAGGAAAGAACTAATCTCGGATCAAAACATATATTGTAATAGGATTTTATGTTGTATGGAAATAAAGTCAGCAAATAAGATTAAAGTGAATTTTCTTACTTAGCCTTTAAATTTTCGTTCATCTGTTGTCGCTGCTGGCATTACCTGGCTCGTCATTTTTCGTTTCTGTCTATAATGCAACAGAATTAATATTTTCACTTATTGAAATGTTCTTTGACATTTATATGTTCAGTAATTAGTGATTATTGACTTGACATGCTTATCATATAAATGATTGTATCAATTGTTAATTGTCATCTCCGAATCTGATAAGTCACAGAATACTTTTAGTATTTAACTTTAAAAAAATATTTATCTTCCGTCATGGTTTTATAACACTTAAGAGTTTAGACTTATAATTATAAAATTATTCCAGATAGTATAGTTCGAACTACTTACACATCACACAACGGCTGGGTGCAATCTGTACGTTGGTCGACTACTAAGGATACATTATTCCTCTCTGCTGGTTATGATGGCCAGGTCAAGTTATGGGAGACGAGAAGGTATATGATTTATTCTATCAGAGATTAACTTGAATATCTGTACTATATTACCAACTAAGATTTTCGCGAGTACTCATTTAAATGAAACTAATATTTTCGGATATACTAAGCGATTACTATGTGAGTGACAGACACTCATATCTCGTCTGCCCGTGATCACGGTTGCTGTAAAGTAACCGAAACGTCGGGAGTATGTAGTTTGTAGTTGAAAATAAAAAACCGCGTAGTAAATCCGAAAATATTAGTTTCATTTAATATAAATAATACAAACCTTGATACAAGACACAAAACTCTAGAAGTAATAAGATTTTATATTGTGTTCATAGCCTTAAATGGAGCTATTTTTTTATATTGGATACAGTATAGTAGATTTTTGTATAAACATTTATAAATATTACTTTGTCATATTAATCAAATTTTATGCACTTACAAATTGTAAAATGCAGTTGGTAATGATTATATGTATATGAGAGTGATTTTGCTATTAGTATTCATAAATCATAAGGAGCAAACTTAATAATTATGTTTAATATTACTTTTTATATATCAAATTAGAAGAAATGTTCTTACAAATAAAGTACATAAGATTTTCTGGAAAACAAGTTCCAATCATTTTTTATTTTAAGCTGTCATAATTAAGTCATTGAATATAATATAATGCATACATAGTGCATTGAATACTCTTCTTCTTCTTCTACCTGGCAATTTCCCAGCTATAGCCAGGGTCTGCCTTACATGCTATGAATAGTTTTTGGCTATTTGTTTTTACGACCGGCCGCCTGCCTGACATCAACCCTCTTTTTGGGAATCAACATTAATCAGTGATGTCTAAATACTCTTAGAAAGTACATATGATTCAAAGTGCATTGAATACTATTTATTTAAAATATCTTTTAAAAGTTAACTTATCTCATGAATTATAATATATTTTTTATTTCCAGTCCAAAAACTCCACTATATGATCTGAGTGGTCATGAGGATAAAGTACTCTGCTGTGACTGGTCAAACCCTGCGTTACTTATCAGCGGCTCCTGTGATAACACACTAAGGATATTCAAATCCAAACATGCCCTTCAATAAAATAAATTTGAAACAAATACATATATTTTATTATAAATAAATCATACCAATATCAGTAATGTTCCCTACTTCACTTTCCTTTGAATAAAAAGTAAATTAATGCTTTCAGGGAAGCGTCTTTTATAGTGCACTTTTATTGTTAAAAATATGAATTATCATCTAACATACAATTATATTAACAATTGCAATTAAAAAAAGAAAGTATTTATTTGTAGCATTCAAAAAGATGCTATTTCTGTTTGAACATGTACATGAGTAGAATAAAAAAATATGTAATAATTTTTTTATGTATGTACTCTACAAATAATTGCTTTTAAAATACAATAAAATATTTAGGAATTGTGGAAATGAATTAGGATTAGAAGAGTTCTCGAGATCAGATCCATAAACAAGTCAAAGTCTATATTTGGAGTAATTATATATAAGTTATAATTTTTTTTTACTAATATATTGGGATTTCAAATGAAACGATGGCGAGGTGTTTTAAAGTAAATAAAGCACACAAGTTTGGTTTTGCTTGTTTTATTTCAATCATTTGCTCTTACAAAATATGTTCAATGCAAAGGAACATGAGTCGTCACAATAAAACATGCTTCTTAGTACCATTTTGTTTTTATTTATATATTTTAGTCTCCATTCAGCATAACTATAAATAATGCGGGTCACATAAAATGCTTATAGCATTATATAGAAACTTGCAAACACTTTGTAACAAAATAGATACATAACTTTCCTCTATGTCTTTTCTCTGCGAGAAATGCTTTTACACTATTATCATAGTTATGCCAAACCTCACATCATAACACAACGAAGCAACATGTCCCTTAAAAATAATCTTTCTTACCAACAATTTCATCTTTTTTTTTACATTTTATGAAGTTTTATTTTTTTGCATTTCGTATTCCTAGGCTACCTAACTAAATTGTTACCTAAACTATTCTACAGTCTAGACTAGTCTGCTGGGTAGAACACCACACTATATTAATACACATTGGACAAATACAATCGTATCGACACTTCCCACTGATTTTTTCATTTAGTTTTCTTTTACACTTAGTCCACTACATAACAGAAGAGGTGAAAGCAAAACTTGTTCAACTGAAACTTATCCAAAAGTGTCACTATTTTTCTTAAATCTCTTATGCTAGTGGCGCCACCGCGCTCGCACCGCTCACCGACTTCAGTCCATTCAAATTAAATTATTTAATAAACTAACAAAGGAAACTACCCTAGAGTCGGCGTGAGGCGCTCGCGGGTCGCGGTCCTACATATGCTAAGGCTATTCTATTTATCTTAGCATCGAAACATTTTTTTTACTATTCTAACCTATCTATAGTTAAACCTAAACCCTAAAGATAACCGTCAATTCATATCCGCTCCGTTAGCCTGTCACTTCACCGTTGTAAAACGAGTCAACATTCTCTTAAAGACTAAATGACTTAATTTTAAAAACATTTTCTTAACACTTCTATTCATCGACATGATTAAACAGTTTTATCGCAGTTTTGGTATTTAGGAATTGGTTCCTCAATATGCATTTTTTGTGCTTTTAGTTTTGAGTAGCTCTCCTTATACATTATAACAAATCCTCATCAATAATCTCATTGTAACGCATCTTAACGACACATGTCAAGAATGTTGAAGTGAGTCTAACTAGGAACATCTACGATTTTATATCCACGAATTAATCCTTACATCATGTGTGAAAAATGCAACGATTAGACAGCCACATTATATCCTTTAGTCGTTAGTACAAAATATTTTAACCACAATTTAATATTATTACTACGTCTATGAATACGGTAAGTCGTCTTATGACCTGTAAAAATATTGTGTAAAGCACTTGCAACTGCTATATTATATTGTTAACTGTTCATTATTTAACAAAGCTGAAGGCACTACCATCAAATTAGGTTTATTGCTTCAATGGAAGGAAAGCATTACAAAAATAACTCGTACTGAATTACATCAATATCTTGTTTTTTGACGGTAAACTACACTACACACAATATATTCTTTTCGCGACACACTATACTTACTATTAGTCACATATTTTTTGTATATTCTATTATATTTGGGAAGTTTTATCAGCACTGTGGAATGAAAAAAACAATCTTTTTAAATGGACACCAAAACGGAATGGGAGAATCTAAGACCCTGGTTAGGTTAAAAAAGAACAAAATGTTTATATAATGACCACAATGTATAAATGCATAAGCGGAAACATCTATCGGAAGACTGCATTTACAGGAAGCCACAATTGTACTTCGAACAATACGATCGAATTACTAAACTAAATACGACGCGACACATGTCCATCGCATTACGAATGTCATTTGTTAAATTGTCAACGAATCAAGGCGGTACAGTCAGTTCAAGATATTTGGCCTGATCAGAGATTAAGTTTGTAATTAGGTACATACATCACTGATCTACGGAGTTATTATACGTTCAGTGTTATATTCACAAGGCCGATGTAATTTATATGTGTAAATAACAAATTCTCCGAATCGTTAAAACTAGAGTTTTCGTCAGACCAAATATCAATAGCACCTAAGAAGATCGTTCACTCATAAATTATCGGATACATTTCGTGTCTTCGATGACTTGTGAGTGACGAAAATGGAAACTATTGGTATTGATATCACGATGCAATCTTATATCGATGATTTTGCTTTATATGTAAATACACACTGAATGTATGTCAGTCAGGCAGTCAGCTTATTAATGGTAGGTAAATTACGTAGTGTCTAAGTAAAAAATATAACAATTTTATACATTCCATTCAATGTTAATGTTTAATTAATTATTATTGTTTCTAAACTGCAAATATTTTATCAACTTGTAAGTCAATTATTCGATCTCAGTCTATTTCTGAAAATTTGAATCAAACTAATAAAATCTACTAATTCGTTCAAAGTCTACGTCGTTCATTCAAAACCTGCCGTCATCTAATTCATTTCCTGTATTGTTTTATTATAAGTCGGTTCACAGGTTTTGAATAAAGAAGTTATCTCCTTATCGCCAGTTAAAATACAGTTAATATATCAAACATTTAGCTAGTCTTCAGTCCCTGGGTTGTATAAATATTTCCCTACTTCTTACTCGATTTAAATGATTTGTATACTTTGGTTCTGATGAAACTTGACGTGCCAAAATAGAATTAAACAGTTGCGATATAGTAGGCTTTACTCGTACCCATCAACAATATATACATGTATACATATCCATGTATAATTTATATATATTCAATATAAAAATATCAAATTTTATATAAAGTCATAAAGTGTACCCAAAACCTACGTGATGGTACAAAATGTTACGCCAAAACGGCGCCCGTACGTCGGATTTCGAATCCGTGTTTTTTTTCATAATGTGGAAATCAATCGTGGAATTTTTGGTTGATGTTTTCTAGTGGAATGTGCCGACCGCCTAAAAATAACAACTACGTTTGATTCAGTACATGATTCTCAAAAAAGGATCACTTCATTCACGTATTTCAAACATGAGTTTCAATGTACAAAAATTTGTATAGACTCGTAAAATGTATAAATAGACTTTACATACAACTGCTTATTGCTAATGTTGCTTACCAGCGTGCCTGAGCCTGCGCGACTCGCCAGGCGCTGGCAACCTTAGTCTGTAGCTCACCAGGGTTGCCACTTAACAGTTACTCACTCGTGTCACACATACGCTTCCCTCCAAAACTAATCATTAATTAATCAATTTAATCAAAACGCGGATCAAGAAATATTCATCTGGATATTAACGGTATACATAAATTCAGTCTGTAGTTGGCAACATCGTTTTCAAATATTATTTCGTGTGTTGAAACATAAACAAAAGCTGTGATAGAAACGTGTACAACCACGAGAAGTTAACTCTAGGACAAGTTAGGTAATATAATGTATAAGCGTCTTGAGATAGCCGAAGGTAATCACTGGCTTACCTATGTGTGATACGTTTTAAACAGAAACCATGAATCGATAAATTATATTTTATACGTGCTTCAAAAATATGTATGTACTTGCAATTGGAAGACTGCACCAGTATGATTGTTTTATGTAGATAATACTGTATAGTTTTATATATATAGTATCATTTTTTTCCAAATAAAATGACTAAAGCACCATGCCAAACACATTTTGAACATATACATACATATAATCACTATGACCCCAAGCGGTTGTCAAAAACACCTACGTCACCTATTAAAAGTCTAATCGAAATGGTAAAATATTAGTTGTGTTTGTCATTTACGATACCTCTCTTGTATTTTAAAAATACAAGTTACACGAAAGATTTTAAATCTCCGCAATAATCCTTTGCACGACGTCTAAACTGTGATAAATCTTTCTTATAACAAATTAGTCGTTTCATACTTTACAATTTGGTAGCATATAAATTTGTTTCCACATGATATGACCTTTTCCCTCACCATCTTTAAATTACCCGCACAGATATTGCTTTCTCACGACTATCGATCTCAAACACGAAATAAACTTTTTTGTTACAAAGAAATATAAATTTTCTAATAAATTTGATAATCCAGATTGCACATCGTTCAGATACACAGTTAGTGATTTCACTTTTTTTGGAAAGTCTACTACAATTGTGTTTAAATAAAATAAATTTTCTTTAGACGATAATTAATTTTCTTTTTTTAAATCAATGAAATTAAATTATGCTAAAATAAATACCTAACTATCTTAAATAATCGTGTCAACATGTTCAAAACCTGCGCCTAAAATGTTACATAAAAAAAAATTCCATAAAACAATAATAAAATTATAATTAAAAAAAAACACATTTAAAATTGCAGCTATATCTATACATCGAATCCTCTCCCCGATACCGTCAAAAGACCTCATCAAACAGCGAAATCGCACAGCACGAAGCCGGATCGTATGAAAGCCCAACAAATAAATAAAGGCATAAATTGCCAAGAAAAAAAGGCTAATATTATAGCGTTCGATGAAGTCCATAACGCAAATTAAAACTAAAACAAATTAACATTTTAAAGTCACAGTTGCTTTGATTTTTGGCTCGTGTACAGCTTGTATAGGCTTACTGTCTACTTGGGGGGGTAAGGCTGGTAGGCCTCGTCCGGGGACGCGGCCGTTGACGCGTGCTCGCTCTCCATAGGCATCTGAATGATGGGCGGTGTTGGACCAGTGAAGTACTGGTAAGGGTGCGACGCGAAGTACTGAAATTAATGATATATGTTATAACTTAGTATTAAAACAACTATTAGTTAATTGTTTTTTGATCGGAACTCACGTATAATTCATTTTCCGGCCTTAAGCTGTCCCAGTTCACCTGGAAACAGAGAGACGGTTTGTCAGAGTTCTTATGTAATGTTTGCCGGATTTTTTTTATATAGATAAGATATTATATGTCTATGAATATAGGAAATCAATTCAAATTTATCAAAAATATCTCTTTTTTTCTTTTACATTTGTGAGATTTATAAGATAGAAAACTAACTTGTTTCGTATTACAAAATATCCTTGCAAGTGCGCAATGTTAAAGTGATTTTAAATTTTTTAAAATCTTTGAGTTAACGCATATGATATTCAGACTCTCAATGATAACTAGACTATGAAAGGAGGTTATAATTTAAAAGATCATGGACCGGTTATAGTGGTTATATAAATATTCATGTGTTCATAGTATAAATCCTTTAGAGAACGCAGATGCATAGAATATATTATATGTAGTATAACAGACATATAAATCAATACAAAGTTGACTTTTATAAGCATACGCATGATTTAGTTTTGGGAGAGAAATTACTAATGGAATATTTTGGAAATTAATAATATAATGTTCTCGAAACGAAAAGACTTATTTTTTTGATATCGCTTTCAAAAACAATTCTCAAATATTATTTCAGGAACACGGTTGAATAAATAATAAATAAATATATTTTTTTTATTTTCTTTAACAAATTTGTACTTAAATATAAAGTTATTGGAGTCTTCTTTTAAGCATATGAAAAACCTGTGCCAGGAAACTCCGCTCTTCCATACCACGAATTAGGTACAAGTATACAAGATATTTAAGGTACAACAGGATAGATCTGTAGTACGACAAAGTACTCAAATGTAAGTAACATGTAATATAAGGCCACTCACATATTGACTAGGCACTGTATCGATGGGCAGATGTTGCGGGTGTGCGGGGTGTGCGGGATGCGGGGCGTGGGGCGCGTGGTGGGCTGGCGGTAGCAGAGCAGCATACGGCAGCCAGGCTGGAGCATGCAGCTGAGGATGGAAGGCCACGCCGTATACGTTACTGCGGTATACACCGCATTCCCCGCCGGCGCCGCCCACACCGCTAGCGTATACACCCGTCACACTCATCGCCTGAAATAACATATAACATCAATAGTAATCTAAATAGATTAGACAAAAGAATTTGAGTGGTTAGTTGGTTGTTTGTTTAAAATCTGCCCTTCATCAGTGTAAATACGTGTACAGTATTCTGTCAGTATCGTGTAGTGAGGAGACATTGATTAAACTAAACTATGCATTACTAGTTTACAATTGGACACGTAATTGGAGTTTTATTCAATCCAAATGAATTAGGATTATATTATAGGAACAATAAAATCGATAAAATAGCTACATTTCAATATATTATTAACCTCAATAATGCATTTGTTAGTAAAATAGCAAAAAAAAAATCTCTAATGATATAAAAATTTTACCAAAAACATTTAAGTACATGACAGCAAGAAAAATAGTTTTCATATGGAATGTATGTATGTATATTATGATAAATGTAGTTGGCTTATTGAGTTTAAGGTACGAAGATTTACTCCCTCATATATTGCAAATTGTATTTGTTCTCTCGTCGCTATATAGAGCAAAATAGTAAACACGAGACAACCTTGTCTTTTTGGATACCGTTCATTTTTCATACAATGGTATTCAAAAGACGTACAAGAAATATAAGTTCTTTTTATACTATTTCTTATCTTAAAAAAATCAAGAAAAGTGTCTTTTATTTTATTTAAATTACATGCAAGCAAGGACTTAGTGCTTGAATTATATTGAATAGCCCCAAAAATTGTTTGATTTTTTATTCCTATATATTTCTCTAAATTATTTGAAGTTCAAGAAGAATCAGCCATCAGGTCGTTTTTTTAAAATGCAATCGAAAAGCAATAATCTAAATTAAATCAACATTTCTTTAACTTTAGTAAATACCTGAGTGATTGAATCATTGTTGTCTCGCCACACTCTACCGTTGTTGTCATTCTGCTTATTATACAAAGCCTTTTTCTTATTACCCCCATCGGCAAACTTCACAAGCAAAGGCTCCTTAGCTCCCGGTATCGGATTTCCATTGAACATCTGTAATGAATAATGAAAATAATACAAGTGCCAATTCATGAATGTAAAGCAAGAGCGAAAAAACAGAAAACTGGTTTTGACAACGATTTTAATACGACCGAGACTTTAAAGGCTAAAAGGAGTTGTAAATAAGATTAAAGATTATATGTACTTGGATAATCTGCTCGCATTTTTCTCTAGACTCCATTCTTGCGAAGCCTACGCCTTTGCTGTGTCCATGGGTATCACGCAGGATCCTCGTGGACACAACCTGACCGAACTTGGCCAACAGTTGGTCAACATCGTTCTCTTTAAAGTGAGGTGGCAAGTTGGCCATGTACAGGTTGGTTGGATCCTGTTCCTGTTGCTGTAAATTTACGGGGAAATAGTTCAAATAATCGCTTTCCAAACTCATCATATCAACCTATCACTGGTCATTTAGTATGTACTTTTTAATGTTGCTGTAAAATATTTAGTCTATTATATTAGAAAACTCATTTATTTATTATTGCTTTTTTTGTATGTTATAGAAAATTTTCTAAAAGAAAAGGCTCGTGAATTTGGATATTCTTTAAACATAAAATTTTGCATCAATGTCGTACACTATAAAGTTAATGTCTCTCAATAATCCCAAGGTTATTTCAGAGTAAACTGATATTAGCTTGAAGCTAGCATAAATTATCTAGACACTGAAGCCAGCTGTGACGTAAATCAGCAGATTGAATCTAATATGCTATATTATTATTATGTAGGTGTTATCAACGAAATGGGCATATACATCAGCATAGAGTTATTAAGCTTGTCAAAGTCGCATACACACTAATTTAATATCGAAAGCATAGAAATACCCAGAGCCCAATAGCGAAATACATTGTTATAACGCTGAAGCAAACGATAATATTAGAATTAACAGGATGAAACAATGTTTGAAGTAAGTAAGCGTTATTATTATTGCACTGAAGTTGCGTATCATTTATAGGGGTTTTTTGAATACTTACAACACTATAGTGTCACTGATCTGTTCGATAAAATGTAGATACAACACTACCTCGTGACGATCCCAATAAACTGATAAATTAATACGTTTAAATATTTTAAGTTTTTCTCATTAACCAATGTCAATGACCTCAACTCTTGTCCTACTTCACGCTAAATAGGATTCAAACAACTAGTTATAGTCAATATGTGGCTTACTCGTTATCTAATATCGATCACCAAACATAGTACAGGATGCTGTTGCTACTATATGCATAGGTAATTGAACTAGCAAATTATTTATAGTAGTTAGAAAACACGACTGAACTTTATATAGTATTAGTATTTTAGCAATTATTGAATACAAAATGGGGGTAAATACGAATACTAAAGCTATAAGTAAGGGTAGGCGGATAATAGGAACGGATATAGGAGGTAAGGGGACACTAATCCTCAATCAGCTAATGACTTATATTTATGAATTCGAAAATCTAAGAATTCTAATGGACTTCTGAATACAATTCTTTATTCAGTGGAATCTATGTTTATATTCTGTAAAAGGTAATAAATACAACATTGTTTATAAATAGGGATAAACATTGAAACTGGATAAGTTATTAGTATCAATGGCATGACAAAATCGACCAATAACCGTTAATAAGTAATGTAGGAAGAGCGGAAAGGGAGCAGGCGGTTAGTCATAATAGTATTACTTGCATGCACAACGTACACGGTTCAGTCTACGCAGGAACCAGATACCCACTTTAGCCATTTGGGCCTGAACACCTTTGGCTTGTAATCCTTTTACAGCGGCCTCAGCTGACGCGATTGTTTCAAAATCTACAAAACCGTAACCTGCGAAAGTAAAAACAGACACGCGTATAGTCGTTAATAGTCGCAGATATATTTTTATGTGTTGCGAACATGAAACATGCTTATAAAAAACACTAAATATCAACATTACAGATAACTAATACGAGAATAATTCAAATAACGAATGATTCCAGCTTATATTAAGGAGCAATGAGATGTGAAAAGGAACATTGTGAGAGATATTACGTGCGTTCATTTAAAATGTTAAAATTGAAAATCCGCTGTGCCGTAGTGCAATATGGTGGTACTCGATAATATTAATAATAAAAATAATAAATAATAAAAACATGTAGGAATGGTAAATAATTATATTTTCATGAGAATGTCACAAATAATATCGAATTCGAAACTAATGTTCGTGCATATATTGGAAAAAGTCTCACCATAGATGAATTAGTTTAATGAAGGTATATGGTATTCTAAAAAATATTAATATAAATTCAGTTACAAATAGTTCCCTCAATAACAAATACATCTCAGTAGATAGATATATAATTGTAGGAAATAATTTTAAATACATACGTGAATATCTAGAAAAAATTACAATATTTCTAAATAGTAATGTTGAAGTCATAGGAAGAAATCTATGATAGTGTAAATATATGTTACTGTTAAAAAGATTACCTTTACATTTATTTGTATTTTTATCCAATATTGCTTTTGTTGATATTATGTTGCCATACCTGAAAATTACGTGACATGTTAGTATGGGCAAAAAAAATACATGAAATCGATACTGGCAACGATAAGCTTACATCTGGCACATTTGGACGAGGTCTTTATCGGTTGTGTTCTGGCTCAGGCCGCGTATGTAGAGATTGGTGCGGCTGAGTTGTTCGCCGGACGCGCCTGTGGTCGACGCTGAGGAGGCGGGCGGAGGGGGGGCCGTACTTAGGCTGGTGGATCGAGTGCCCCCCGCTGAGTTAGAGGACGAGCTGGACGCCGTGTTAGCCGGCGACGCAGCCGTCGGTACCCTCGTACCCGTCGCGCCGCAACCTCCCCCCATCGTTGCACTCGTGTACTGCAAAATCAAAGTCTACATTACGCTATACGTCGAATTTCCGCTGATGTTTTCATATAAACATTTTAATGGTCTTTATATAAGACGTTTTAATGTAATAAAAGAAAACTCAGTTAAGTTTTACGTGCCGGTTCATTGAAAGTAACTGGCCGGCTTGTACGTGTAAGCACCGAGTCATTAGTAATTTAGCTGGCAGGTAATGAACGTGGAGGGGTAATGAACGCATGCCGATTCCAAGCACGCGCCCTTAATCGACTCGCACGCCGTACGGGCCATGTCAGGAAAAGAGAACTCTTTACGGTATGGTTTGCACGTGGTCCAGTTAAGCACACATTTACGGCCGAACAGTTATAAGGAGTTGAGAAGTCTGCATTCTTACTGCAATGCAGGAAGTTAGCTTTGTGGTATAAAGGAACTCGGCAGTTAGTTTAAATGTCGTTTGTATGGTGTGAGTTTTTTTTCATATAACGTACAATTCTATTTTATTTCAAACGTGTAACACCATTCATGGATGTGTACTGTCGTTGATCGTTTGCCATCGATTTGGCGGCAGTTTAAATATTGTGTTCCAACAATCTCCTTACCCTAAGGGAACGCGCAATAAAAGTATACGGTACAAATGTACACGAGTCACGATCGATTGCAAGTTAAAAGGGATAGCTGCGGAACGTACATTGTGAAAGGAAATTTATTCGCACCATTAGTGTCTATAGAGGTACAAATCTACATGTTGTTGTTATTTGCATTAAGTTTACATATTAAACCCATAAAATGCGGCGTCGTACAGCTAGACGTGAAGCGATAAACGTGTGTAAGCAAATTCGTAATAAGTACGCGTGTTATGTACGTACACATTCTTGCTTGTACTCCGTGTCGCGACGGCATCTCTACAACATATTAATATTTAATATAAGTTCTATTAAATGTTATATAAGAAAAAAATATTTATAGCGTCGTAAGTGAAAATTGTGAGTTTTTATCACAAACATAACGATATGACTGCAATGGTTTTGAATATCACGATGTCAATTTATCTTAATTTTATTTCCGATGCGAAATGCGGTCTTTATTCAGATTCAAACTAGAAGGGTCAAACTTTCTCAGACACAGAAGTAAAGTTTTACCGAGATTATGTAACAAGTGGCAGCCTTATTTACTTCGAAGTTTAGACAGGCTTTCTTGCGATTGAATTTAAGAACGAAGATCGGACACTGAATGTGCAAGTTCAAAATATCTTTATGAAAAACTTTCTTCTGAAACAAACTTCTACCATTGCGGTGAAATAAATCATCATATAGGTTACACGTGTAAATAAGCATAATCTGAACTCTTGAACTTTATATGTTTAATATTTTTCATACTTAAATGTGAAAACAAAATACTTTGGTGAAGACATTCTCAAAACAAAACCGACGCTGTTAAACAGAGTGGGCAAACGCATTAAGAGAATTAAATCTAAAAAATGTTCTAGGGTAAACAAAAAGTATTCAAAACAGGTTATTATTAATAAGAAAAAGAAGGAAGCTGGGATGAGACGTCTCTTGACGTGAACCAATCATTACTTCGCAAACGCTTCGAAAACTTTTGACAGGACATATTCAAATTTATTGCTGTGCGCGAATTCCCAGAAGTATTCTTGAATTTATTACGTCTCGGCTTATAGGGATAAATCTTTGAAAAATATTTGACGAGGATATCTCACCTTTTACTTTTTAATTATTTTTGTAAGTGATATTTTATTTTTAATGATATATATATGATTATTTTTTTTTATACTTGGAAGCGCGATCAACTCGTATCAAGTTAAAGCAAGAAGTCCATTTGAATATACAAGCAAATAAATCACAATTTTACCCCTTAAATATTATTTTATATTTTCAACATAATATTGATTGAATTCATAAACAGTTAACATAAAATTATCTGGATGTTATGCTATATTACGTATACTAAGGAGACGAAGTTTATTTTGCGGCAGTTAATTCTTGGTTGGAGTCCATTCAAAAGAAGTTGTTAGAATTTGAGAGTCATTGTCGTCATTACTGAATATAGTGAAGTGTAGGGTGTGGATATCGTTAGCAACCGAGAGGCTGAAGGGTCCTTGGTCTGTTATGAGGGGTTTATCACAGTTTATAGAGGGAGAATGCCGACAAATGAAGACTAATTCAGGTTTAAAAGTTCACCAAACGAAAAAAGGTTCCTTTTAGTTATGACGTACATATATTAGTTTAGTTTTATTTCCTGGAAATTTTTAATAATGTATAAGATTTATTATAATCAAATCGTTCTTCGTGCTTCAGGACATGAAATAAAAGAGTGGAGTAAGAGTTAAGTTTCAAAATTTCTGTAATAAATAAATTCAAGTGACAGCTGTAAAGATTCGACTTGAAACCAGTTTATGGCAAATGTAATAACAGGACATGTAATTTAACTTCGTACTTTCGCTATTTAAAGTTGTGTCCGATTGTATATTAATTTTATTTCACTCGTACACAATGTGTGATAACTTCCCTATACCATATCCGTGATCCAATTATGCGCCTTACTACATTCATGTGGCACACATCGACACTGGTGACGTCATAGTGGGTGGCGGTCGTGGGGGGAGGGGGGGGGGGACTCAACAGTTGGTGCCGGCTCGATAGCTCAGCGCGTGCGTGAAACGCGCTACGTCACATGACAGGAAAACCGCGGTGCATTCATCTTGGATACAGGATATTGGAACTATTTTACATTTTTACATTACTTTTATTATTAAAATATAATCAATTTTATTTAATATATCCTTCCTTATATTTAAAGTCGCAGTCGTTGATAACTTTTTAAAGTAACTTTGTATGATAATACTTAAAGTGATTTCAGGGACTTGATTATTTCACCATAATAATAAAAGGTGAGAATGCTCTCCTTTATATTATAACATAAATTTTATTGATATTAAAAATGTATTGTGACGATAGTGTGTTAAAAATAAACCAAAAAGCCTTTTTACAAATTTAAATATCGGCAGCCGGCGGGGCCTACGTCATTCTCCCATTATCATAATGTAACAAAAAACACTCGGCCTTCCTTACAAAAAACCCTTTTTACAGCTCACCCGACCCGAGATCCACAATATTAAACAAGTTCTGGCTATATAAGTGCTCTGTCCTATAGTTAGGTACGTAATGCATTTCTTATAAATAGCCAACGTTATGTACGTATGTTAGCCACGGCATCTTCGACGCAACCAATTAAGAATAACTAGTAATCTGTAGTTAATAGCATAAATATCTTTCACGTAACATTAAATGTATAATGTTTTATGGTTTGACGCTCTCCCGGGTCTGAAGCTCCCTCGCCGTCTGCTTCGGTATAAATCTAATTCCTCGGATGACAGATATCAGCAAGGCTTGTTTATTTATACATTTATTCGTAGGGTCGTAACATATGGCAGCCCTGCCCTATTGTACGAAAATAAACTATTATCTTTGCTAAGTCAATAAATAGATCGTTGCTTGTTAAGTAATCATTTCCTAGTCTAAATTTAGCTGTGAAGATATATGTAGTGAGTGTGGGTGTAAAGTAACATTCAGTTATGAGGGGAGATGTTTAAAGGAAATTATTATTTTTAATATCATACGTATATATAAATGAAATTCTTTTAATTTAGAAAATAAAGACGTCTGTAATATGAAAGCAATGTATTAAAATAGCACAGAAAAAATAGTTTTGGTAGCTGTGATAAAAAAAACATTGAGAGCAAAATGTTTAAAAGCTTTCCTAAAAAGATGTTGCTGATGTTCTGAGCTTGTCAAATACCTTCTCTACTGCAAGGACATCGATCTCTCTTACTAAAAAAACCCTGAGTATTAGACGAACTCGCGATTTTAGGGTTCCGTATATGTTTTTCATATATTTTAAGGTTTAACTTAATGAGATTGTTGTGTTTGACATCTGATCCTATTGTTAATTGTGATGAAAAATTTTATAATGCTCTTTTTATATACCTTTCTTTTACTTTACTTATTATATGATAATGTTGGTTAACATTGTAGATAAAAAATATATATTTGTAAGATAAAAAAATGTTCAAACCTTACATCTTATTTATTGCAATCCTATTTATCTCAAGAAATTTCTTATAATAAAAAATGTTAATAGAATAATTACGAAATTCGTAAAGGTATCGTATTTTAGGACGTACGGTACCCTAAAAAAGTAAGTTCCATCTAAGGCTGCCACGTACTAGTGAGGGCGCGATGAATCTCACAAGCTGCACGTTGTGACACTTGTGACAGCTGACATATAGCTGTCATTAATCAAATGGTCACAGATACTTAAGCACTATTAAAATGGCCGTTCCAATCAAAATCCTATTCATTTATTCGATAATGTATTTCGTATCCTTTCTTATGTCACGAACTTTAAACCATTAAGGTTTCGTCCAAACATATGTACTGCTTTTTTATTTTTAAATGTCTCATAGATGTACTTTCTAAGAGTTTACGGATTTTGTTGAAAAAAGTAGGTTAAGTAATTAGATAGAAGTACTAGTTTTAAAAGGATTTATTGTTTCAAAGAACCGCATATAGAGAAAGAACGAGAATCGATTGCAACTGTGCAAAAGTATCTGATGGATAAATTGATACGACGTTAAATTTTTGTTACAAATATTGTATTTCAGAGTGTCATGTCGTACAAGTATGCAAAGTTGAATAATTAATAAACAATAGAGATTACATACAAATGAGTAATGTAAGTGTAATATTCAAAATGATATTAAAACTGTTAAGTACGAGTAGGTATAAAATTGAAAGGAATTTAAAAATTAATAAAACGAACGTTTAAAAATAGCTAAATTTGGTCCGTTGTTTACGAAACACTCTCAAAACTTAAACTGACGGTTAACGAGCAGACGATACAAAAACTAAATGAAACAAACAAATAAAATTTATAGCTTCAAGCCTTCTACAGCATATAATTTTATGACTGCTAAGGATCACCGAAGACTCGACTAATTTTATTGCTACACCATATGCTAGAATCGAAGTGAGTTTCAGAGCGGTTATAAAAAACTTTTGTTATATTTAAGTTTCGTCATAATAGATACTATATTTTATCGTTGATCTGAAAATGTTAACATGTATGGTACTTGTATACAAACTTCACGGCAGTAAATGGATTATATTGAATAAGTTTCTTACGACGGGAGTGGAAGATATAAGGAATGATAAAAACTTCGCCGGATTGAAGTTATATGTAATAAATGATATCCATACTTGTTGAGAATCTCAGCGTCATTCAGTGAGAATGTGTTTATGATAAGTAGCATTAAAATCCATTAAAAGAATATACATACATACATACATGTAAAAGTTTCTTTTATTCGTACAAAGTATAAAAGCCGGAACTCTAAAAGGAGTTCTGCAACGCAACAGCCACAAGATAAATCCTGTAGGAGACTCCGTAATAAAACACGAACGACGCGGAGCGCTACATTTTATTTCAGAAAGCGATAAGTACGCGAGAAATTCCTTTTACGAGATTCCTGTGGAGGGAGGTGGGTGCAGTATACCCGTGCGACATCTGGTTTATGTCAGTGATGTTTCGTTAACTGAGGGAGCTTGTCTCGACTTAAATGGCCCGATACACTGTCACAATGATCAATGTTCTGTAATTACTCACCGCGTAAACGAAAGCTTGGGCCCTGGGTTTTAATCACCACAGCTAGTGGTGCACGGTCCTACCGTCTGACCTTTTTGAATTTTATATTTGTACATTATTAAAGCATAGCCCCAAGTGTTTCGTAAAATATAATTTTATATTTTAAATACTTGTAATATTAACAACAGTTTCGCCGGTGAAGCTATCAAACCATACAAACTTGACATCATAAATAATACCAAAGTGGTACTTCCGTATTTTTCCGCATGCAACATTTTAGTTTCCCACGAAAAATGTATGTGATTCAAAGCGTAGAAACACGCTCTCTAAAAGCGTTCACGGTCCATGGCCTAGCATTACCGTTTATAGGGGATTGCCCATCGGAGCCGTGCTGAAGTAGCCGGTAATAACGCTTGTTGCCTCCCTGTTCCCACTTAACCCGGATGAAGTTGTGTATAATCCGTCAACAAGACAAATTTTGATGTAAAAACGAATAGTGAAATCTTTGCTTTTAAAAGTAGAACATATTTTTTATGCTAACCAACGAAAAAAAAAATTATCGTGCCATGTCGATAACACGTCTTCTGTATTTCAACTTGAAATATAAGTTTATTCAAAATTGATTAATCGTATAATTCCAAGAAGATTTATTACACAACATAAGAAAATTGTATAGTTTATCCATTGTGACCCAAACAAAGCATTAAAAAATACCGAGATAGAAAGAAAACATTCAAAGTTGCCTTAATTTACTTTATTTATTTGATTGTGATATATTAGTTGACCAACGATAAAATTAAAACAGAAAAATTATTTATGAGTCATAAAATCTAATCAGAATAGAAATCTGCTGTTTCCAAGGATGAGTGGTCATCTTCCAACTTTCTATTGATCTAATATAAGTCATTAAAAATATATGTGAAAATAAAATGACTTATACTTATAGAATACTTTGTAAAAATGTCTCTTAAAAGCATAAATTCCTTAATAGTCTCAGTGATGTCAAATACTTTTACAACTCCGGGAACTCGTTGCGAAAGCAGTGTCAGAATGTTCAAGATGTCCTGTTCAAAGTTAGGAACACCTGACATAGGCAGAACGTAGTGACATTGCTAGAAGATGCTTTTAGTCGTGTTCCAAACTTAGCTATTCATGTTCTTAGAAGTCAATTAACATCTTCACTTACTACAGTAATGGACGTAATGGTTCATGGTGAGAACATTAGTAGCTTTAAAGCACGAGAACTAATGGCAGGGTCTGCTCGCTCATCCCATAGAGCATTCCTTTTTGAATCTCTCTAATGAATATACGCTGACTAATATATGACTTGCTTTAAGCAAACAATAATAAACGTGCAGCTCAAATAACAGACCGAAGTTTCTCCGTTGACGCTTAGTGTCTGAACATGGAGTACATTTATTAGCGAAGTATAAACTTGTGTATTAACTAGTTTTATGCAGATCATGATATAGACATTGAAATCTGCTACGAACATTAATCATGTTATATTGTTTATGTCTGTATTCTGTATGAGGGTGTCGTAGACTCGGTTAGCCAAATTGATGAGGCGGCGGCCAACTTCTCTTAATTACGACTTACACTGACTAACTAAATTAGTTTTATTGCCTTGCAGTTTAAGATTATTCTTGCTTCAAAACAAGCTTTATTTATATTTCCTTTTGAATAAAATAAAAGAAACCTTTTAGATTTCTCGCGAAATCTACAAGCGAAGTGTATTTGTATTTATTAGCGGAACGAAGAAAAGTGTTATCGATTCATTTCATTTAACATTGCAGAAGCATCTATAAAGCTTTGATTAATTAAAATCAGTTAAAAGGTTTCCCGTGCCCGTTTAAGTCCACTAGTGAAATATTTTCTCACAAGCATTTTTATAAAATACCTCATAGATCATGAATGAGATTATTCCATGAAAGTAGACTAAATCTTTTCAATATCATAATTTAAAGACTATTCAAAAGTTGAGTTTTTTCACATAACCGCGCCGTTGTGATATATTACGTAATAACGGACAATACAGTTCACGCAAAGTTGAACTTTAATTGTGGTTAGGTATAAATTAACTTAACTATTCACATAGTTAAAACTCAGCTATTTATTTCAACTATGTTACCGTGGGAATGTTGAGATTGGAAGGACCTTAAGTAAACCACTGGCGAAGTCGCTTCCGTCAAGTTTGCATTCATTCTAACTTAATGAGTAACGCGAGTGAATAACTATCTGTGTGTAAGTGAAAAGAATCGTAATTGCATTATTGTATCAGCTATACAGATTATACATTGAAATGTGTCGTTTATATGGTGTGATAATTATTATATACAAGTTTTGAATATCGTTATGTGATTCTAAACTCATTAATATTGTACTGATTTTATGGTAATAACCGTGCAATACATATTTTTAGTTATAATGTGTAAACAACTCAAAGCAATTACTGTGAAAAGAATTCTGTTTCTATGACTTTTTTGTTAAAAATTTAAATGACTGGTAAAAAAGAGTTTAAGGATAAATAGGATTGGTTTTTTTGGTAGGGTTTTTATGGGATAATTACCTGATGGGGAGTGAAAGGGCTGGGTGCCGCTGCGTAGTGCTGCTGCGGCGGCGGGTAGCGGCACGGCTGCGGCGCGTATGCAGCGGCCCACTGCTGCGCGCCGCCGCGGTACTGCGCGCCCGCGCTAGCCATGCGCGCCGCGCACGCGCCCGCGCCCGCTCCCGCGACCGTCACCGCGCTGACTGCGCCCGCGCCCGCACTAGCCGAGCGACACACGCTACTCTGGAACAAAAAATGACGAAAATAAATAAACAGAATTCTTAATTTAAAATTAGAATTATTATTTATCATAAGCACGAAATCATTTAAGCAAAACTATCGAAAAGTTCCGATATTAGTTTGATTTTGTTTTGTTTTTCGACACGCTCAATATAAGACTTCAGTAAGCAAAAGAAATAATAATTAAATCTATTCCTTGTGAAAATGTTGTAAGGGTCATGGTCTTAAAGAATGTGTCTCCAGTAAAGATGTGTTTGTTTTTAAACCAAATTGCACTTAAAGCTTTTTTCAGAGCCTAGGTATAATAATAAGCAGATAATTGAACGTTGACAATTTTCCAAAAATTCTTTAAGTGAAGATATCAAAAGACGTCTTTAATCTCAACTTAATAATTCTAAAAGTGGAATTATAATTGTAGAACTATTGTAAAGAATTTATACAATACTGCATTTTAACTTCAATCTATTTATTTTAGAGCACTATATTTAGCCATACTTCGTTGCCGTCTGTAGCTCGACATGCAATAGATGTATGAATTAATTAAGGATGGAATAAAACATTTATTTTATCGATTGTAGATAATTGATACTGGTGTCTAATTAGAAATGTTTGACTAATTAATGAGATAAAAATATTAGAATAAGGTATGAGAAATAAAAAAACATTCATGAACCGTCGGACGAAGCTAGATTTAAATTAAATAATCTTAATAATTATTTAATAAAATACGAATTCAAAGTATTAGTTTTATTGTAATTTATTCAATACCCGTATTAATGTTGTCTGTGTTTACACTTAAGTAATGTATTTAAATCCTTAAGCCGCAAGATATAATCAGGGCTATAAAAATAAAAAAAAGCAAGACCGGCGAGAGCTTTAACTTGTATTTGGTCTAAAAGGTTCTGCTTTAAGTTACCAAGATACTAAAGAAAGCACTAACGCTTAACACATTAAGCCATTGTGTGGTGGTTGCTGTCAATAAATCAGTTCTAAGAATTAATTTATAACACGTTCCTATTAATAAAAATACAACATCTTTATTTATGAAAATACTTGTATAGTTATTAAGAATTACTATGTATCAATTTAATAATGTCACCGCAGACTGAGATATAGTAATATCAGATATAAAGTATGTTTACAGCCTTGACGAAGCGTCTTTAAAACTTTCGCAATGTCTGGCCTTCCTTCATAGCTTACTTCTAGTGTCTAGATTTACAGTTATTTTTATCACCAAAATCTGAGAACGTCATGACTAAGTGGTTCAAAACTAAACGGGAAATAATTTTTTATTCCAATCACGATATATATTTTAAACAATATCGGTTAGAGAAATATGAATTAAATAAAACGTTTACCGTACACCGTATTTGTTATTCTGCATGAGTTCTTTCGGCGAAAATGAGATTTATAGTGGTAATAACAATGTACAATTTCACCCGCAACCCCTCATACTGAGACTTAATTATTTTTGTCACGGAATTCCAAAAAACCGTCCGGCGACTTGGGGGATCAGAGCTTTGTTGCTTTTTGGTTATAAAAGCGATATTATTCTTTATAACTATATATTTTTTTTTGCTACTGATAAAACGTGGGTATGCCTGTCAGTTGGTAAGCTGACAATCGGCTTAAAGTTTGTGGGCGTGCGACCCAAGGAATTAGAGTAAAATAAAGATCCCTAATAACGTAATACTTAGAAAAATCGTCCCTTAATTCTAGTCTATTTGAGATCAGGGCAGTACCGGCTATTCTTATCGATAAAATCGATCCAAAACATGATATTCTTGTATAATAATACATTTTGGTTTGGTTCAGTTACTACTGTAATAACTGTAATTTGACTACAAGTGAACGTAAGTCTATATACCTACTTAAAGCGGTCACGATGATTAAGCCAATTATTTTTAATTACATTTACAGCTTTAATGAGGGAGCACCTTTATTACTTTATTATATGTCACATTAAAAACTTTCAGTTTCTGGTTTTTATAGTCTTGTGCTCAAATAACTCATATAATATATTGAGTTTATTGATGTGTGTACGTTCTAATGAAAATCAAATTAATTACTATGTGGATTTGCTGCATCTAAGTTAGAAATATACTTGCCATATCATGTATGTATCAGAAATCCATATTATAGATATATATTCGATAATGTGAAGAAAGATGTAATAAAAAATAGCAACTAGATATCAGAGGAAGCTAGTAAGAGATATTATATAGCGTTTTCTAGTTGACGATACACTTTATGTTGAGTGGGAAGGCTGGCGTCGTTTGGCCGCGACGTCTGGACGCTTCTAAGAAACTACTTTTTGTCTCCCAAGGTCGATAGGTTTAGAACTAATACATAAGTATATAGCATAGAGCTGTCTAGTTCTGGAAACTATACTATAAACTCTCAGGCTAAATTATGTAAATGAATAAATTTGATTTTACGTCCAATACAATAGAGGGTAAGTTTTTATGAAGTACATATTACAAATGTGACGTATTAGAACCTATGATTTTATATATTAATTCTGGATTGTTGAATCTTATTTGAATCTCTATAAAGCACTCTTATTATAGTTGTAATATGGTATTTCATTCTTATACCATCGATATTAATACTCTGTTATGCTTATTAACAACCACGTCTAGGGTTTTTCCGTATAAATGTTTCAAAATTTTCCATTTCATAAATAAACTTCTCGTATATTAGAATTCTCAAATGATGAATAATTAGTTCATCAAATTATGTATTGCTTGAATTAGACTGTGAAACATTCATTTCCAATATTTATTGCTTTGGGCATAACGAATGGAACTTTTTATACCGTAATGTTATTGCAGCTATAGAACTTAATAGACGATTAAATAATTTCTAAAGACGTTATTGAAAGGACACTATTCGAAGGCCTTGTTTAATAAAATAAAGCTGCAGCAAATAATTATTTCATTATTTTAATTCCAAGTAACTCGATACTGGAAATGTAAAGAAAGTGAGCTCAATATCTAGTTTTGCCGTATAACGTGACAGCGGATGAACAGTTAATGTTGACACTTTAACAGCTAGCCAATAAGAGGCAATAAAAACGGCCCCAAAGGCCACAACACACATCTCAACTGAGAAGAGTAAGCAGAGTGACATAAAAAGGATTTAGTAGGACCCAAATATTACAATGTCACTATTTGAACTTTCATGCTATATACATAAGAGCTACATACAATTCCAAGTTACATGTATTTACAACTAAACGCGCTTTTCATGCGCGTGTGGTTCACTTTCTTTTGTGTTGTGATTATTGTTGTCGCCAGGAGCGTTCTTACATTCTAATAGATATTACTGTTTGATATTAACATAGAATGCATAACTATTGAAGAATTAGGTAAATACGAGTATTTTTAACTAGAATACAAATTAAATAATACATTGAAACAGTCAAACAGTGGCATAGATGTGAGACGAACTTCATTTCGCTGAACAAATTAGACGGCGCCTTAGACATTGCAACTAACACAGCCCATTCCCCCCCTCCTCCCACCCCCTTGATTGTCGGTTCCTAACCGCAAACAAAGCCACGCTGACGAGCTCAGTTGTTCTCCCCGAATTCCAAATATCGTCCGCAAATTGTTAGTCTGTCAACGATGTAAGTAATTTGTTACATTGAATCTAAACCGTCAATAAGTACCTTTACGAAGGAATCTGCTTAGGAATGCTGGTTGGTATGCTTTAAAATATTTATGATAACTCAAACGACAATATTTAGTGGGATTTAATCATTATTTTGATTATAAACAAACGTTATACTAATAATGTAAGTTTGACTATTATATGAATCAATTAAAACTTATAATATTTCAGTACATATAATTTTAATACTCTTGTATGAATAAAATGTATTGTAACTGTATTAATTGTGACAGTCGAAGTATCTGTTTTAATTATCCTGACATATGCGATCTCGACATATGCGTGAACAATTAAGTGATTGGTATGATCTGAAGCCCGACTTTCATTCAATTGGAATACGTGAGGCAATTATTGCATTCACGTGCACAATTCATTTAAATTGATATTTCCTTCATGCTACAGTAAGTTCAAAGAAAATCGTACGATTTGCAGTAACGGTCAGTACTGTTGTTGTAATTGCACTCGGAAATTAAATATAGAAAACACATTTTTTGTTAGGGACTGTTTTAAAATAACATATGTTTTTTTAAATGCATCTCGATAAAGGTTTAGATTCTTGTAATAAGTTAAGATGGCAGAATAGTATCGATGTCAGAGCGATGACGCAGTTGGCACATGCCAACCACATGACCGGTCTATTGCATACAGCGCAAATGGAAAACGCATTATATTATCAATAAAAGTATGTCACGGAACTGTTTAAAATGTACAAAATTTTCTACATTATCTGTTATGTGCACATGGCGTGTTATGACTATCGTTTGTGCTGCACAAAGCTCGTCCGAGTGCTGAACAGAGAGGGTTATTATTCAGCAGTTTTTGCTCGAGTGGACGGCACATTTGTATGCGATCCGCTTCGTCGGTGGCCGCCCGCGAGATTAGCTCCTGAAAGTATCTACCCACTGCGTAATTAAACAATTCTTGTCTGTGAACTATGTATTACATACGATTACCCCATCTGGCGGATGAAATGTTTGACCGATGCACATTTATATCAGTCTATCTCATGGCTAGATTAAATTTTAAATTGAAACACGCCGGCTGCTAACGGTATGTAAGCATCACGGCGCTAACCACATAAAGCAATGAGTGCTCATAATAACAAATTTCATAATCGTGGTACACTAACATTCCAACTAAGGCCCTGTGCGAAATTACTTATGTACCTTACAGAATACAGTGTGAATGCGTCGCACAATGCACTCACACAAAGCGGATCGTGTAGGTATGTGTGTCAT